CTCTTTATCTGATCTTTGTCTTGACGATCTGGTGCCACTACGTCTTTATACAGTTACACTACCTTATAGGTTATAGTAGCGTTATAGGTTATTAACTGTCTACTCTATCTACGCCTTATATTATTCCTTATAAGCTATAGCGATATCGTTAACGTAGAAGAATAGAATTAAACCGCGGCGTAGAAAATAATACGGTTTTTACGGCATTATCTAGAAGCCGTCCGCTAAAAGGATAGCCGAAAAGTGCTTTTACTAAAGTAGTAAAGACTCCTTAAGTCTATATAACGCCTTTTTTAGGTGTAAACGACTCCTAAGAGCTAAAAAGCCTAACGGCGGGTATATAAAGATATTATAGCGGAGGGGCGCGTGTATAAACGCGCTTATAACGTTAAATTATAATAGCGTAAGGTTAAATCGGGCGGTGATAGCTATTAACGCGCGGAATAACCGTCCGGCTAGTGTTACTACGTATATCTTCTTAAGGGAGGATTAATACTACTAATCTCCTCGCACTATAAGCCTTACCTTATATTTATATAGAAACCTATACTTATCGAACTTATATATTATTACCTATATCGAATTAAGAATCTAATATCTATCTGCTACGGACGCCGGCACCCGTATCTATAACCCTATCTCCTTATAGCTCCGCAGGTAATCTTCTTATGCCTATCGGAATAAGTGGCCGTAAGGGTATAAGGGTATATCGCGAGGGTTCTTCGGAGGAGGAGGGAGCTCTTTACGGTGGATTTTTATAGCCGCCGGGGTAACCGCCGGAGTACCCGCTAAAGTAACCGCCGGGGTTATATTTCCCGAGATAGCCTCCCGGGATATACTTCCGGTAGCTATTACCGGGGCCGTGAATTCGTAGGGTATTATTAAACGTCGCTATAACGCTATAGGCGTAGACCTTTTTAACCGTAATTTAGTTAGCGGACTCGTATTTAATATATATATATTAGGGGCGTAGCGGTTAGCATTAAATATAATAACCTAATAGTCTCTTTTCTAGCTATCTCCTTACCGAATTAGTTACGCTCCTCTATTTAATAGGAGCCCTATAGCCGTAGCTATAGGGGTATTATAGTACCGTGTTCCGTTATCCTAGAACCCTATGGCTATAGGGGTATCACGGTTTCCTAATAGAACGGCTACTATTAGCGCTATAACCGATAGCGGGGTTACTAGTAGAGTAAGAAGTAGTGGATCGGGCGGAAATAAACGGTAATCAGGCGCTATACCGGCTAAATCACACTATTTATAACCTAAATCTTATTCTAATTACCTTAAGATAGCCTCCTCTACCCCTTTACGGCCGGGTATTACGGACTATAACCTTAATGGTAAAGCCGTTAAGGAAAGGGATCCGGGGGCGTTTATTCCCGGATCTAATAATTCAAAATAAGCAGTTATATAAAGGGGGGGTCCTTAGCTTATACATCCGTAAACGGCCGTGAATCTCTAGCCCTCTTCTACTTAATCTAACTAATTAGGTCTTCTAATTACTCCTCGGTTAATTAATAGAGGTTATCCTTAAAGGTAGCGATATCACCGTTAAAGAAGACGCGTTCGTTAAAATCCATATCGCGTATTCGAATAACGCGGTTATAGCGGTATAGGCTGGGCACCTAGATACGAAAAATATTAGTGGAATTATAGCCGATAAGGTAGCCGATATAGGCATGAGGAGCAATACGATTTACTAGCTTATTAACAGCCTTTTAGGCGTCCTTTATTATCGCGTACGCCTTATAGCCGTAGGCTTAAAGGTATAATAAAATCGGCTTCCTTTTAAAGAGGACCTTATATAGCGTTTTCTATTCCTTATTATACTGCCTTCGTGGCGTGCGGTTATAGACGTATGTAGCTATAGGAATAGCCTTAGGCTATATAAACAGTGGTAGTTTTACGTGGATATTTATCGTATAACCCTTTAAAATAACCACGGCAGCAGCGTGTTCGGTACCCCCGTTCTATACTTAAGTATCGGTAGCAGATACCTCTAAAAGGATACCCTCGCTATATAGGAATTAGGTGATATCGTGGGATTAAGTTAGCTTATTATTAGATTCGAAAACGCGTACCTTATAGTCTAATTAGCGGTCCACCTAAACGAGGAATTTCTTAATTATTACGAGGATATCCACTACTAGCTTACTCTTTATAACGTAGGTAGCCGTAAAACCACTATAACGGTCGGTGAAAAATATAAACCTTAAGTCCCCGTCGGACGTTTATTTAAAATCCGTGAAATTAATCGCCTATCGCTCCCCTATATAGGCAGGTATAGTATAAGGGCGCCTGCTAACATACCGTTTTATCTTTATAAGCTTGTAGGCCTCGTAGTCGATAGTTATTAGTCCCTTGATTTGAACCCCCTGCGTCTACTCTTCTAGGTGCCGAAGTGGTTTAGGGCCTATATACCCTAGGCGTAGATACTATAAGATACCCTTTATAGTGCTTAAATACTATATCGTCGATTTATAGACGCCTTTTCGGGTAGTAGAAGAGAAAGAAAAGCCTAGAAAAGCAGCCGTAGATTAGTTAGAGGGCACGTATTCAATAACGGTTTAATTAAAGCGGTGACTTAGCTAGTATAGTATAGATCTATCGGAACGCCGAATATAGTTATTTAGTGGCTTCTGATCCCACTAGTATCCTCGAAGATATAGGCGTTAGTTAGAGATTAAATTATAGATAAAATTCTCGTAGTATACGACGTTTAATAGCCTAAAATCAAGGCCTCCTATTAGTCCGTTTAATCTTATAGTCACGTTACCGTAACCTTTAATAGGCAGGGATAAACTGCCTACGACTACGTAGTCTCTCGGCGTAACGAGTATAAAATCCGAAAAGGGGGAAAAATTGTTAAAAATATAAATAGTAGTACCGGAATTAAGGATAGCAGAGGTTCGAAGAGGGTAGCTAGTAGTAGTACTAGCTGTAAAGGTAGCGGCGTAGGAGATACCGCTACGGACGCTACTATAGTTAAGTCACGCCTCTTTAAGCTATATAGAGTCCCGGCTTATATCCTTCTTCACCTTCTTTACGGCGCGTAGTTCTTCCACTTCCGCGCGCAGCGAGGGGTCGTATTTAAGGATCCGTTAGACGGTTATTTTAGTGCTCTTAAAAGGTATCTAATCGTTATATACCGTATCCGGGAATAAATAAAAGCAGGCGTTAATATCGTGGCTAGGTATAGCGTATACGCGGTAGATCTACCCTCTCTATAAAGCAGATTAGCGGCGCTTAGAAGAGAAATAGTTAGTTAAAGCAGCTAAAGGTATAGCTATAGATACCGCGGTAGTAGGATTCTTACCTTTATTCTTCCCACGGCCGCCCTTCTTACGGGGCTTAGCCGTGGCCTCTAAGGTATCTTCACCCTCTTCGCTTCCGGTATATAGTATAGGGAATACTATAGCGCGGTGGCTACCGTGTTTTCCTTAGTCTTTAAGTCTAGTATTAATATACTTCTAGCCGAGGGTATAAAGGTCTTCGGGTATAACTACTTAGTTATCTATAAAGCGTCCCTTAGCCTTAGTCTAATCGCGGCCGGTATAGGGGCGTATACCTTTAAAGAAATCTATAACCTATATATACGTGGCGGGCTTCGAACCGGTATCTTTATAGCTTTATAGTAGTAACTACTACTTATCTAACTACTCCCCGAGCTTCTTAAGGCTATTCGTAGGATAATAAGTATACTCGATATACTCTTTATAGGTATCGGTTTAACGGGTGGCTAGGTACTAATCCGTATCGCGTTTAACGGCTTTATATACCTCGCGAGGTATACCTCCTTATAGTAGTTATTTACGGCTTTAGTTAATAGTATTAACCTGCTAGGTTAGTATAGCGTTAATCCCCTTTAGGTAGCTATCGTATTACGCTTATAGGATCTTCTAGCGCGCGATTTCGACGTCGTACGCTTTCTGGCCGGCGTCCGTAAGGTCGAGATATTATATAGGCGTACGCCTAGGTGTTATAGATAGGAAAAAGCCGTAATCCGGTATTATAGGCTCCTCGGGGGACTAAGTCGGATCGACTAGGCAGAGAAACCTCTACACGTTATTATAGATGGTAACCTATTCGTATAGGCGTCGCCAGAGCTCCTAATTCTTATAGGTTTTATATGTAATAGGGCTAAGATACGATATCTTAATATAGATTAACACGCTATATCGGCGTAGCTAGATAGCTTCTTAAATCGGTAGTAGTGGTAAAAGGGTAGGTAAAATAGGTATATCTTCACTTAGTAAGTAAGAGTCTGAATTATCAGATAAAGCGTAGTTAAAATCGTTATAACATAGGTTAAAATTTAATTAAGGCAATTATATATATTTTTAACTGTCTTAGACCGTCAGGGAAACGCTGCCACCGTATTTTATATAGTGCAGATTCTGTAAGCGTCTACCCGGATTATACTCTTTGCAATCCGGCCCATTACGTAACCGAAAAGACTGTGGTCTGTTCGATAACCATTGCATCTCAGTGCTCACAACTCACCGTCTATCCCTCACGATCCGGACTTTCCAAAGGCATCAGAACAGCACCACATAGATCAGTCAGTCATATTTTATCGAATATTTCAATCATGCAAATATTTCCGCCGTCCAAGTCGAGTCGATGCTATCGGTAAGCAAGATCGATCCATCACCACAAGATGGTTCACCATACACCACGGGGCTCTTCATCTCCAAAGCCCCCATCTCCGTCTAGGACTCCATCATAGGGCCGGCAGCGGCTCTTCCGAAGACTGAGACTCCCCTTCCATCTTACATAGGTACATGCCCTTTTTCTAGTTTCTCGTCTTCCTTGCGCTGGTCATGCCAAATCTCGCCAACGCCTTTCGCCATGCCATCTCCGTGGGGGGAATAAATAGGAAGCAAGAGAGAGAGAGAAAGGATGGAATACAAAAAGAAAAACAGCAACCGCTAGTGAGAAAGGAAAAAAAAAAGGTAACATCACCGAACCACCACCAGACAACTACTCCGTGTCTAGACGTCGCCTCCCCTGTCTCTCTCTAGCCTGGGGTTATCCCACACATCTCTCTCCTCCCACTGATCCCTTGCACCCCACCTATCTCGCCCGTCCCACCCATTATTACTTCCGTCCCAAATGTCTCTGCCATCCCGCCCCCCCGTTCTCGGCGACCACGCATGGGCCTCATAGCCAAAGTGCGGCGGACTCACGCGGCCCATCGGGTCATTCTCTCCCACGACAAGGCTCTCCCGGCTCTGCCTCCACCTCACCCGAAGCGGGATCCTCTGCTGATACTGCGGCGGCGACGGCCTCTCGTCGTCCCGTCCCGCCTCGAACTGCATCTCGCTCATGACCGAGCTGGTCTGGCTGTTCTCCAAGATGGGCCGGCCGTCCCCCGTCCTCGTCTGCTCGCGGCTCCGGCTCCCCGAGGTGCCGACGCCAATGACGGACGCCATGCTCCGCAGTCTCAGCGGGGGGATCATCGTCGTCGTCGTCGTCGTCCTTGTTGCTGGTGTTGTTGTTGTTGTTGTTGTTGTTGCTGTGGCAGTGCGGCCGTGGCCTGTTCTGGTGCTGCTGTTCCTCAGCACGGGAGCCGGGGCCGTCACGGGTCCGATTCCCTTCTTCGATAGCCTGTTGAGCCGGCCGCCGTCGCTGGCGTCGCGGCTGTGTAGCACGAGGGGGGAGTTGGTGTTGGTTGTTGTCGTGGTTGTCGGCCGCATGGGCTCGGTCCAGGGGTACCCGTCGTAGCTGACATTGGTCAGGTTCGGGGTGTTGTTATTGTTATTGCGATGGTGGTGGTGGTTAATATTGGTGTTGTTGTTGTTCTCCCAGTTTGGCGACCGGCGTGCGGTGAGCCTCCTGACGGGGGACGCGAGGGCGGCCGCAGCGCCGGGGACGAAACCGGGCCGCATGGATCGGCGGCGCGGGTCGCGCATGATCCAGGGGAACATACGGGCGAACAAGGGGCGGAGGGTGGGCGCGCTGGCACAGATGATGGCAAGGTCGCACTCGAGGATGGTCATGACGAAGAAGCCGAGGGTGGTGGTGACGCCCACGAGGTCCGGGCGGAAGTTCTCGCGCAGGCTGAGCATGAGGCGGACGACGCCGGCCGAGATGACGAAGATGCCGAGATTGAGGACGATGGAGAGCACGACCTTCTGCTTGGCCGGGATGTCGAGCCCCGAGATGACGGGCACGATGAGGAGGAGGAGCCAGGTGTCGGTCAGGGCGTGGAAGGTGGCGCTGGAGATGAGGAGGTCGGCGAAGCCGAAGCAGTACATGGGGCGGCCGAAGAAGCGGCCCTGGGTCGGGTGGCACTGGAAGATGCTCATGAAGAGCATGGGCAGGCCGAAGGCGATGACGAAGGCGATGGTGCACAGGACCAGGATGCGCTCCTTGGGCCGCGAGCTGAACATGCGGAGGTAGAACGAGAGGATCGAGAGCTTGTTGAGGCAGAGGCACATCTGGTAGAAGATGAGGCCCAGGTAGGTCCGGAGGATGTACGGGTGCACGGCCCACTGGTTGCCCGGTCCTAGGCTGGACTGGAGCGCCTCTTCGTCGGCGTGGAGGATGTCTGGCCGCCGGGACGCCACGCTGTAGACGACGCAGACGGCGGTGGAGAAGAGGAACGAGAGGAGGATGAGCGTGTCGTCGAGGAACCACTTGCGCAGGAGCACGACGCGGGCGTATAGCCGGCCGAGAATGAACAGCGTGCATACACCGTGAGGGATGACCAGGCCGAGGAGGGCCAGAGGGAGTCCCGTGTCGACGACATCACTGGCCTGAGAACCCGGGGGTATCAATGTTAGTGGGCACGGAGTCCACGGACCACAGTAGATAGATTGAGATCAACACCGACCTGGTTCCCCGGACTGGGGGTCGCGTCGGCCATGATGTGAGTGTCTTCGGCAAGGGGTGGGGCGGGGGGAGAGGGGAGAGGGGAGATAGGAAAGAAATATCAGGGGGGAAATATGGAACGATGGTGAGGACACTTGGAAAGTGTGGCGTTCGTCCCCGTAGGCCGTTATATTGTTCTTCTTATTTCTTTCTCCCGTTCAACGACGCCGATGGACTGTGGTCATGGCAAACCCCTTGCGTGTCGCCGGTAGCATTACATTACCTGGGCATGGGTTAGGTTAGGTAGGTTGCCAAAGCCCAAGGAGCAAGAGAGGAAGAAAAGAAAAGAAAAAATGACGAAACCCTTGGGCCCTGGATTGGAGGCATCTGTTCATCTACATATATCTTACTTACATGGACCCAATAGAACCGACACGCAGGCAGATGGAGCTGATGGAGCTATGGGGATACCTAGTCATCCCCAGATTCGGATGCATGCCATTTCCATGCCGTAGAAGGAGGGATGTGTGGGCTGGGGCTGGGCGGCGGGCCATGCGATGCCATGCCCACCCATCCATCACGTTCTTCTACCTTGCCTGATCCAAGCTGATGCGCCGAACCAAGCTGGGGAACGAAACATCCCCTGCCTCCTGTTCACCCCTGTCAACCCCGGCCGAAGCGTTGGAACTTGGAGGGGTAGGGTAAGGAGGGTGAGGAGGGTGAGGAGGGTGAGGAGGGTGAGGAGGGTGAGGAGGGTAAGGGTAGGGTCTCATACAGCATACGGTCATGATGTGAAGAAGTCTTCCCCGGTTTATCCGGCCCTCACAGCTCACGTGTGTCTACGCCTCAAAGTCCGAAAACAGTCCAGAGCAAGAAGCTAGAATCCGCAGAAAAGTTGGGGGAGATTCCCGTTGATTCGTCCCGATCCAACCAACCACCAACCACTGACCGCTAACCACTGACCACTGACCACTAACCACTGACCTCTAACCACTAATTACCCACTAACCACTAACCATCGATCATGAACCTGTTATTAACCAACAACCGCCTTTACGGACGTCTTCTTCTCGTCTCCCGCCAAGAGACTTCACCGGGAAAAATCTCCATTTCCTTCGGCTGAAGCATTAGTCTCAAACTTCACCGCAGTCTACATATGTACACCAACGGCCATTTCCCGTTGCTGGTCTTTTTCTTTGTTGTCGGTAGTACTGATTCCCCCTTTCCCTTACTTACCCTTACCCACACATTCCAACCGACGAAGGCTCTAATTACTCCGTACTAGTGCTTCCTACAGAGGTGGGTATTTTGCCCAATTTCTCAGAAGCCAGATCGGTGATTCGATTCCCAATTTCCCAGGACGAAGAAACGCCACCTCTCTTCCTCCAACCAGACGAAATACCTAGGTCTCTCGCGTCGTTTCCTTCACCGGTAAGTCCCGTGTCCCACCCTACGAAGGCGGTCATTCCGTGATGGGATTTCTGCAGCTCCTTCGCCATGCACGACGTACGTACCGCAGCTAGGCAGCCGGCACCTCGGAACGAGAAGCGCCAGGGCCGAAGTCCCACCCACTAGATCGGGTAAAGCGAGATTTTACCTGGGTCAAAGATCCCTGCGCCAACCAGGAAAGAAGGAGAAGGGAACTGAAGCTGTCAAATAGGTAAGAATAATAGTTAGGTACGGAGTACAACGTACGGAGGAGTCAGGACGGTATTGGGGCATAGGTACTGAGAAGCGAAGCCGGCGACCTTTCCATCCCGTCCCGCGTCCCCGCTTTCCCCAGCTTTCTTATTATAATCATAATATTTATTCTTCATCAATCGGTGCGTGCTTTCTTTTCGAGTTGGGAATGAATTTGGCGATCCGCATGTGCTGTTACGTATGCCACATGTCTTCGTATGTCTGTGCTTGTCCTGCTGCATTGATGTTGTCATGGCTGGACATTTGATTCTCCTGCCCCGCGGTCGCATCTTGATCGCCATGACTGCCATCACTTCTTTTTCGTGTAAGTAATGCGTCCTGTCCAAGACCTTCCCCCGCCTTTCCCCCATCTCTCCGTTTTCTTTGTCTGTCCATAATCCGTTGTAGGTATATTCGACCGGCATTCCCATGTGATCTTCTGACTCTTCTCCTCCGGTCACCACCAACCACCACACCGCTCGCGTTATGTAAATTCCCCGCGTGCGGGCTCCGGCTCTTCAAGAAACTTCCATCACCACATGTGCAGCCACAACAAACGCTAGAAGAACTTCCCCGCCTCTCCCGAGTGAGCAAAAGGCGGACTATGAGCCTAGGAATTGCCTGCCGTTGGCGTATGAAGTGGAGCACATACGTACTCTGGAATTAGCCAAGGTACCTAGGGGACCTTAGTGTAACGTAACGGTTAATACAAAGTACCTCCTGTCAGACTTGGTGGCGTTCAGGGGTAAAGGGATCTCGTCCGTGCCCTTTTTGGGCGGCGGGCCGTATTCCGCCGCTGGATCCGACCCGGTGGTACGAAAGCCGGGGTATGGTGGACTTGGCCTTTCACGCTATTCCACAAAGGGGGCGTATAAGTACAGCGTATGTAGTTGGCTGATGGTCCCATGGAGCTGAGACCGCAAGTTTATCCGCATCCCATGTCGATGCCCCTCCCTCTTCGCTTGCCACTTTGACGTCTGCAAAAGGCGCATGATTTCGTGCGTGCGTCTGCCGTGTCGTGTCCTCGAACCCCAGAAGCCATCCGTACGAGTACATACAGTCCACATCAGACACTAATAAAGCCCACGCGAGCACTTGACTGGGGTCATGGATACTAGGCAATTGGTAATTTGATACCTAAGCAGTTGGACTACGACTGACTTGTGCGACAGAAAGTCTAGAAAGCCAGCCTTGGGCAGGTTGACGGATCTCGCCGTCTCGGGGGTATAGTATCGCCCGATTAGGTTTCAGTAGGTGTTCGTCAAACTAACGAAATCGTCGACAAAAACCCAAGCCACCGGCGGCATTTAACCGTGGATAATCCCAAAGCAATACCAGCCCCCGGATTCCCCGGATTTCCCGATAAACCCCGTAAGCCTAAGCCTAACTGTAGGTACGTTGGCAGCGACGGACGCTTGGAGACAGGCCACCAGGTCCCAGCCAGACGGGACAGCGTTTGCATTCGTTTCATTTCCCCTTGCCTTCTCGGCCAGTCGCGTACCCGGTCTCTATGTTGCCTCTTTCCTTCTCCCGCCTGGTCTCGCTCATCGACATAGTTACTGCACCCCTTCTGCGGCCGCCCTCCCGTCTCGCGACCATACTTTCCTCTCAACGGCTCTGCTTAGCTTCTTTTCTCCTCTTCCTTGAATTTCTATTTCTATTTCTATTTTTCTTTTTTTTTTATTTAATATTATTCTTGTTTCTTCCTCGTTCCCCCTCAACCGCGCCTCCGAATGAGCCCCTTCCAATAGTCAAAGCTGTTTTCGTCGCTCTGCAGCGCCCACGCCCTCCCCGTCGCGCGTCCGTCCGCATCCACCTCGACGGCGCGCAACAGGCCCCAGTCGCGCGTGATACCGATCACGCGCGCCCTCGCCGGACCCCCCTCCTCGCCGCCCTCTTCGTCCTGGAGCGTCACGAGCTGTCCCCCGTGCAGCCAGTGCCGGTAGTACCGTTCCTCGATGCTGCCCGCGAAACCGTCGCGCAGGAATTCGCCGTGGAGGCACTCCAGGCGCGTCAGCAGGCGGGCCAGGAGCTTCTCCAGCCGGAAGGCGGCAAGGTGGGGCGGGCGGAGGTCGTTGAGGGAGGTCGTCGGACGCGGGTTCGCGGCGTTGATTCCGATGCCGATCACACACGTGTAGCTCCCCGCTGTGTAGGTGCAGGTGGAGAGGATGCCGGCGATTTTGACGTACGACGGTTTCGAGGGGGATGAGCTAGGGTCACGGGCATCTGGGGGTGCAGGGCGATAGATTGGGTAAGCACTCTTATCACCGCAACGTATGCAACGCGATGCAGGAACCCAGATTCAGGGGCTGCGGGTGAATTCCTCGGTGCGTGAATCGGGTAAATAGGGAAGGGGGGGCCAGGAATATGTTTAAGTGGGGTTGCGCGGTAGGTATGTAAAGGGGGGAAAGGAAGGGAAAGAAAAAAAAAAGGAAAAAAAGGGACAACCTACAAACGTCGTTCGGCCATTTGATCCTAATGGGCATTTCCTCGTACCCCTGATCGTACGTCTGAATCGCTTCGACGACGGCGATGGCCGCCAAGTACTGTAGGAAAACGAGGGGACGCGAGGCGGCCAGATGGGCCGGGTGGCGGATGACGGCGGAAAAGAGGAGACTGCCAACCGGACAAACCCAGACGTTGGCACCTCGGCCTCTGGCGGCGACTTGGTGTGTCGCAGTGATTGTGAAACCAGTGGGCAGCGTCGCGAGCAGCTTCGGGTTCCTGGCATGAACAAGTTCAGCTTAGCATCTAACACACCGAAGCCACCTAGCTCCGCTCACAGTTCCGCTCCTTTGGGACCTGTTGGCTGCAGGCCTCATCAAGGAGACGACCGAAAAAGGGAAGAGAGGGGGAAAAAAAGTCTTACTTGTCAACGAGCGTGTTGGTACTAGTGACCACCTTTCCGTAGAGCAAGAGCCGACCCCAATCGCCGACGCCGTCTTCCATAAGCTGGTAGGCCCGCAAACACTGGTAGAAGAAGCCGTGGTCGAAATCAGGCGTGGCTGCCTCGTCAGGCCAGGCGCGGTCGTGCGGCACGATGTCCTTGACGACATGGCTATAGTCGATGGCCGACCCGTCCGCCGAGAGCCTGCCCTTGTCGTCATCGTAGTCGTCGTTGTCGTCCTTCGTGCTCGGGAGATTCTTTTCTTTCAAGTCTTTGAGTGACCATCGGCCTTCGCGATCGATGCGAAAGGTGTCGGTTTCGGCGCGGACGTACTCGTTGCCGTCCTCGAGCGTGATGATGCCTCCCCACTCGTGAAGCAGGTCCTCGACTTCCCTGTGGTGGAGCGATGAGAGATGCAAGCTCGACAGGGAGGGAATATGAGCGTCGGTATCCGGTACGTCGAGGCCCAGCTTGCGAAGACAGGCCCTGAGAAGGGCCGTCCGCGAGGCATGCTCTGCTTCGAGGTCCCTAATCAACTGGTCGTATTGCGGCACATCCGGTTGGGGAAAGAGATACTCGGGGGCGAACCTGTGAAATGGGGTCATGGTCATAGGTCAGTCCAGCGCCCCCCGGGGGGGTGGGGTTCCTCGCAGGGAGTGGGTGATGATACGCACTCTGGATGAGGACCCATGAGGATAGCAGCTCCGTCGCCCACTCTGCACCACACAATCGCAGCCTCGCCATCCCCTCCATCAACATCCATGGGCCGATCGTAACTCGCAAGAACCTCGACTCCCTGATCCTTGAACGACCTGGCATCGACGAAGACGCCGCCGCCGTTGTAGTACGACAACGTCTCGGGCGGCAATGCCTTTTCCTCAGCGAAGGCCTCGCGCTCTATCCTCAACCTCATCGCCCGAGCACCGTGTTCAGAATGGTACCGGAAGCCGGAAAACGCGCCCCCGCGACAGGTGCCAGGGAAGAAGGCCAACTCCCGCGGGCCGACGATCTCCATGCCTTTCTCGGGGCTCCCCACCTCGAACTCACAGCGGGCAGAGCCGAAGTAACCCCCGGCGCAGAGGCCAAGATAGGCACCCCCGCCGCGGACGTAGTCGGAGATGCGACCAGTTCCGGGGCCGTTGAGGGATCTGCAGTAGGGGAGGTCGGCGCCACCGGGGATGACGAGAAGCGCGCAGGTTTGCGGCCAGGGTTCGTTGAGGAGGACGGCTTCTGGGAGGGGCGTGACGGCGTAGTTGGGAGTCAGGAGACGGCGGAGGGTGCAGATGGCATGGCGGACGGATTCGGTCGTGGTGCCGGGACCTAAATAGAGAGTGAGATAATGGTTCGCGGGGCCAGAGTCATTGAGGCGACTCGATTGGAGGAGGAGGTAGGACCTGTATAGACCAGGACGTTGAGCTTGCGGGAGGCCATGGTTGACGTTTGGCCAGCCTCCAGGTGCCCAGGTCTCAACCTGGTATTTCTAGCCGAGCCTGACCTTGTCTCCCAGCTTCTTAAGAATTTCAGGGAGTGAGACGAGGCTCAGCCCTATTCGGGTGAGGTGATGTGTGAAAAGTAGACGTTTAAGGGTCTGGTATGTGAGGTGAGACCGTGAGTCTTGAGTCTTTGAGATGACGGAGGAGTCGTGTAGCGAATAAAGTGAGCGAGTTCCGTATGTATCTCTGTATCTCACCAATTGGGAGCCGAGTTGTTGAGGCCCGAGGGTCGGAGATCGGGCCACTGAAATGCCGAAGCATTAACCCTTCAATTGCCGCTTCACCGAATACCGACAGACACCGACAAATAAATACACCGAGCTCCAGATTCGGGAGTGACCAACCTGGAACTTTTACCTTCGCCAAGGTACACCGTACCAGTAAACACCCTCTCACTCAACGTGCACCCATACCAAAAAGCAACGTCGCGCAATCATGTCGAAGAACGAGAGCAATGCTGCGCAGACAGCCGCAACGAATGCTGACGATGAGCCAGACGAATGGTGCGCATTAGCCCTTCGATTTCTCCATCAAGCCACAGTTCAGTTCACGCATTTGCGACCTTTGGTGGGCTGACATCTTCGCTATCTTACTCTACAATACAGGGACAAGCGCATTTTCAGCACCGGCTGTGCAGGTATGACGGGACTCGACGCTCTGCAATTCAATCTATGCCATCCCATTGGCAGAGTACAATGGCCTTGGCTTGCTGACTGAGGGTTTCCAACTGTCCAGACGAGAATTCCAAGTTAACTGACTGCTACTTCGAGAAGAAGGACTGGAGGAAGTGTACAGCCGAAGTAAGCAGCACAGCGCTTTTTTACCTCACATGCAGTCCACCGACAGACAGATTATTGACTACGGATGTGTCTGGTTCGATGTTGTAGATGGAGGTTTTCAAAAGATGTTGGAAGCTCAAAGGCAACGATAAACGGACGAGCATGAAGGATGTTTAGGGTTCCGAAAAACATGATTCCACATACGTATTTGGCTCGCTGTATATATACCCAAATGCCCTCCATCCCTCAACTCTCGTACCTGAACCGTGACCGACTAGTCCGTTGTATCATATCGGAGCCGAGCTCCATGAATCTTCTCGACGAATGCCCAGAAATGATGCCCCGGACGGTGTAACTGTTCTATATTGACACTGTAGATTCTGGAGGTGGCCCAAGCTCCAGCTCTTTCGCATCGAGAAAAACCCAACGCAGCCATTGACCCATCTCACGGTTCTCACCCACCCTTAGACCTGTCAACGTCTATACCTACTTCACCCACCACCCCTTCCACGAGCATATCTGCGCCGACATGTCCTCCCGCTCCGCCATGCGCCCTATCCTTAGGGCGCGATCAGCCCTCCTCCCCAGCCGCAACCAGCTCTCCACCTCGACAATCCTCCACGCGAACCAACCGCAGCAACCACCCTCACCCTCCTCGTCGTCCACCACCACCACCACCACCTCCCGTCCACCTCCCGCAACGCCTTCCAGGCCCGCGCCCGCCTCGACCTTTGCTTCTCGGTCACCCCCCGCGGCAGCCCCGGCGGTCAACATCAACGCCGCCCGCAGCCTGGTCCATTCCCGCCCGAGCCCGCGCGCCCCGGAGACGGAAATCGACTGGTCCCGCTCCTTCCACGGCCTCGGCGAGCGGCCCTTCCCTAAAGAGGTAGCCGACGTGCTCACGCGCCCCGTCGACCCGGCCGACGTCGAAGTCAAGCCCGACGGCATCATCTACCTGCCCGAGATCAAGTACCGCCGCATCCTCAATGCCGCTTTCGGCCCGGGGGGGTGGGGCCTGGTGCCCAAGGGGGATCCCGTCGTAGGGGAGAAGGTTGTGACGAGGGAGTACGCCCTGGTTGCCGAGGGAAGGTATGTACCATCGCCCGACAGTCTGGGACGGGGGTATATATATATATATATATATATGGATCATCGTTGACTGACGGTTGCGTGGTTTTCTTTTGCCACAGGTTCATCTCCCAAGCCCAAGGCGAAAACCAGTACTTTTCTCTCGAAGGCCTTCCGTCCGCCGTTGAGGGCTGCAAGTCGAACGCGCTGATGCGCTGCTGCAAGGACGTCGGCGTCGCGTCCGAGCTCTGGGACCCCGTCTACATCCGCGAATTCCAGAAGCAGTACGTCGAGAAGGTCTGGGTCGAGCACGTGACCACCAAGAAGAAGAGGCAGCTCTGGGTGAAGAAGGGCCTTGATGTCGCCTACCCTTACAAGAAGGCCTAGTCCGTATGGTCGATCCATGATGGAGGACGTGGGGGGGGGGGGGAGGGACGGTTCGATGTGACATAGAGCATAGATACGTGAGCGTCTTGTACATCCCATAAGCTCCGGTGTAGGATATAGTGTTGTCCGGTGTATAAACTAGTCCTGTGTATAAACTAGCAAGAAATATAGCGCGGCGTTGAGGGCCAAGCTCCCGGTGTTGAAGCTGTCTCGTTGGTAGCCTTCCGTCACGGCAAATTTTTGCCCAACGCTCTTCCACATCTCAACATCTCACAATAAGATCAAACGGCCATCGACCGGCAGAGAGGGAGGCCCAGATCTACAAGTCGGCATCGATCCCCGAACTCCTCCCCTGCCGCCCATCCTGGCCCGTGGGTGTGCCACCCCCGCTGCCACCATCTCCAGCCCCGCGCCATCCGAACGGCAACCACGAACCCGTGCCACCACTAGGCGCAGGCCGGCGACGAACACCGCCATCCTCGTCTTCCGCCCCGCTCTCCGCCTCGACCTTCTCGAATTCCGACTCGCTCCGGTTCCGATTCATCTCGCCAAATCCACCCGAGCTGCTCGAGGGTCTCCGCGTCCTGGGCTCTTCGCGCACCCCCAAGCCGCCCTCGTCCCGGTCCTGGTGCCGATCCTCGTCCCGATCCTCCCGCACCGTCGCCTCGCGGTCCAGCGCCCGGGCTTCACGGTCCAGCGCGCCGAGCACGGCGTTGAGGCGTTCCCGCTGTGTTGCGATGAAGGCCACCTTCTCCCCTGCGCCGGTCAGGTTGGACGGGACGAAGCTGGAGAGGTTCAACCCGGACGTCGTCGTCGCGGCAGACACCGTATCCCCCGACGAGGCGTCGTCACCCCTAGCACCGGCAGCAGCACCGGCAGCAGCAGCAGTAGGGCCGGAGGAGCTGGTCGCCGCGTTGGCTGCTGAGGCTGCTGCGGCGACGGCACCGGCGAGGAAGTTGTAGAGGTCGGATGCGCCGGCGTTGGTGCGAGCCGTGGGGACGTTGAACCGCGCCAGAAGAGATTGGGTGTAGGACTGCGGCGCGGCGCTGGCGGGAGGTTGTTCCGGGGCGGGTTCGGAGGGGGGCATGCCGAGGATGTTCGTCTTGACGAACTCGATGGCTTGCTTCAGGTATGACATGCCGGCGGCTTTGAGTCGGTCGTGGGCGTCGGCGATGAATTGTTCGATGTGTGTTTCGTTGTCCTCTAGGAACGGGTGGACGTAGGACTCGTATAGGAAGCGAGCTCCTTGGGTTTGCGGGAGGACGAGGTAAAGGAGGAAGAGGAGACGAGCGTACGAGTATAATGGAACCCTGCGCGACCATACCATGTTTAGACTCGGCTCTCAAATCTGGAACAAGTGATGGTGGCTGGGGAGGGACGCATGGGGAGGAGAATACCAGAAGAGGACCCAGTCAAGCCAGGATTCTATGAGAAGCCCACAGCTCAGGACGACCCAGTACATGAGCCATGGTGTCAGCTGGGCGGGGTCGGACGACTTGAGCGCTTTGTAGGAAGCGAAGACGGGGAACAGGAAGGCGGCGATGGAGCTGAAACGTGTTAGTCGAGCGTACGGACACTTTAAAAGGGGACGGAGCTTGTTCCAGAGGATTTCCTGCACATACGACAGGAGATGGGGGACGAGACCAAACATGGTGTCCAAGTTAGTTTAGTCTTGGGGGGATCGCAGAGGCGGGGTAGAGAACTTGAGGTTCGGTCCAGTCGGGAGCGAGAAGTCGCCAAGGTAAGGTGGAAAGTAGTCGAACGACAGTCAGTGGTAGTGCTGTCAGCGTGAAGACGGTTTCTTTGAACCAGGGAGCTCGTAGAGGTGTTCGAGGCGAAGAGCTGGGGAGGGTTCGTTTAGAGAGGGGGGGATCGCCCTGTGGACGCGTCCGATGATGGAAGAGATTTCAGTCTTGCAGTTGTCTTGGGTGGTCATGGGGGGGAAGAGAGGGGTCTTAACTTTGCCTCTCTCATTGGGCTTGACCGAGACTGGCCGGGGGAGCTTGTTCGGGATGTAGCTGATAGTGCACACCAAAGTCAGCCCTGCATTAACACTAACAGGACCCTTGGGACCTTGCAGGAGGGGAGGGGTTTCTGGCCGGGGGGGGGAGGTTTGGGGGGAGTTCGTCCACGGTCCGTCACGCGGGCGGTTTCTTCATTAGCGATACGTCATGGATGAACCGTGCGCTTCTCATGTGACTCGGACAGGCATGATTAGATAAGCGGGATTGAAGAAAAGGGTGAAGCTTCGTTCGACGAAGTGATCCTCTTGGTTCTCGTCTCTCGTCACGAAACAAGTCGAACAACCGCCATACTTGACTCTCGTCAACCAAAGGACAATTTCGACATCCCTCGACGTACTGAGTACCAAGAAAACTGTCCTTTCCACTACAATGTTCGACTATTACGCGTCGTCGTCCGCTGGAAGATCAGGTGTCCAATTCAGCCAGCAGGCATCCAAGGACCAAAATATTTCTGCCTGCCCTGAATATCCATCAAACACGAGAAGCTTACCTCTAGGCAACCAGGAAGTGCTAGACCAGCAGAGCCATCATATGATCTGTGGCCTGATCACGGTCCGAAACGCCCAATCCGGAGGTTGAACCCCGTATATTAACTCACCTTGGACGGGCGGCCGAGATGCCGATCCAGGTGGCGTTCGCGTACTGGTTCCTGCCGTGAACGGAGCAGATGTAGATGTCAGGCCACTGTTGCCGTATCCAGGCGCCGCAGTCGTCCTGGTCCGAGATGGTGTAGTTCCTGGGCACCGTCAAACAGTTCTTCCAGGTCCATGGCCGAGCAGAACTGACTTTTGGTACGGTTTGCCAATCTGGCCATGATATTTGAAGCATCCCCAGCTCTGGGGCATGACAGTGGCGCTCACCGGTGGTTTCTGGTTTCCTACATATTGGTCCCAATCTTTCTTTTCCTTCTCTTCCTGTTTACATTTCTTTTTGCGGCTTGTCATACATTTCCGTGTCATGGCTGTCAGAGCAAACAAAGAAAGGACACAACGCCATCATGTTTCCACCAGCTCTAAGCAATTGTATTTTCTATCCGCAACTATACATGGCTGAGAGACAAGAGTCCCCTCAGCATCATACGAGGTCGACTCGTCTTGGTACTCCGGCGGGAGGTAGCCCGTGCAACAACATCATCGTCCTCCTCACCCGCGCGTCGTTCCGGCGCCGTCAAATTGGCCTTTTCAAGCTCCTCCAGCTTCCACGCACGCAGCAACCAGACTATAAACCACCCCGTCAGCAACAAAGCGAAAACAAGCGAAACCGACGACGTCCCCGGGGAACAAGGCGCAGGGCGAACACTCACTGGATATAAAAGCACCAATATACATAAACCCGGCCAGCAGCTGCACGCGGAGATACCCGTCCGGGCCGGGCGTCTTGATGGCGAGAGCGATGGGCTGGGCGAACGTGGTAGGGAGGACGAGGATGAGCCAGAAGATGGAGAGGGCCGAAGGGAGCATTTGCAGGCCGACGACTTCTGCGCCCACGGGAGCCACGGTGGGCCAGATGCACCCGGCAAAGGCGCCGAATAAGGCGTAGACGATGATGCCCGGGTAGTACTTCCCCGCGAATGTCCACAGGAGGAGGGTGGAGAGGGCGGCCAGGAGGGTGCTGATGCCGCAGACGTTGATGCGACCCCAACGGTCGCTGGCGAGGCCGATGAGGGGACGACCTATACCTTGGGATACTGGGGCGGGGGGAGTATCAGCAACGTCCAATGGGCACTAATATTCCCGGTGGTTCGAGGGGAGAAAAGGGGGCAGGGAAGGGAATCAGTGGACGAGACAACTCACAGTTCAACACCGCAGGGATGATGGACCCTTGGCTCGCACTGAATCCCACATTTTGTGCGTAGTCAGACAGCGAGAAGAGGACGATGACATAGCCAATGAGGGTGAAAAACCCCCAGCTGAGAAAGAGGAGGTACTCTTTCCTCCGGAGCAAATCGAGGCGGAAAGCAGCGAGAACGGAGCCGACAGCCTTGTTCCTGTCGCGAAACAGGAGGCAGCAGATGCCATTAACGACGAAGCTGAGAATGGCGAGGATGCGGAAAGCCCAGGAGAGGCCGACGGAATCGATCATGGCGTTGGTGGCGAGGGAGTAGACGAGGCCGCCGAAGCCGGAGCCGGCCGTGGACAGGGAGCTCGCGAAGGAACGGCGGCGGTTGAACCATTGGGGCACGATTCCGACGGTGGCGTTGAAGTTGAAGCCCATGCCGATGCCGAAGGCGATGCCCTGGCTGAGAAGGAGGTGCCAGATCTCGGTGCTGAAGGAGGCGGCTACGAGGGCTACGGTTTGGGTGACCACGCCGAAGGCTAGGGTCTTCCGCGTGCTGGTCACTCGGACGCATGTTGTGACCAGAGGAGCGACGAGAAGGGCTGTACTTCGTTTTCTTCTTTGTCAGATGATACTGCCCGGCAGGTGACAAAGGGGGTTGGAAGAGGAATAGCTTCTGCTTGCCCATGGAGAATGAGAGACCGCCGACAAAGGCGAAGGTGATGGGATCGTCGGGGAAGGCACCAGAGTTGAGATAATATGCGAGGAAGACGGCATAGGACTTGGCCATGGTCAATGGATCTGTCGTTGGACTCATCGATGATCGGACTGGGAAGGTAGACTTACCGAGTTGAGACCCCATGTATGAGCGTTGATGAGGAACACGCAAAGAACAACAACCCTAACACAGTAGGGTCGGAAATTCAGAATGATTGAGTTGTGTTCTTGGGCAGACCGAATTTCGAAACTCACCATCCATATCCTCCCTCCTTGAACTCTTCCTCAGTATCCGCACCCGACCCCGAGCCAGAGTCCCTATCCGTCTCAGCGGGTCCGGGAACGGGCTCTTCAGAGCGTTCGGTTTTCTGGGGTTTCGCATAGGCTGCATCGGACGCGCCGTTGCCAGGCGGTGGTGACGCCGGTCGGACGCCGCCATTTTTTTCGTGGCGCACGTCCCGTGATGAATTCATAGTCATGACTTATAGGACGCCCGGACTTGGAATAGAGAGAGGCCTACGCCTAAGCCTAAGCCAAACAAACCTTTGACCCGCCGCCTTCGACGTTAACAAACATGGGGTGAACTGTCGGAAAGTCCAAGTCCAACAGCTGGGGGTTGGAGATTGAACGGTACCGACTCGGATTAATAGGGGAATCGAAATGGAACAAAGGCTTTCCCTTTGCGAAACGTAGGTTTTACTTCATATAAAATTTCGGCTTTCGTTATAAGTGGCCCACATGGCGTATTCGGCACGGGAATACAGCGGCTCACGGTATTTTGGTTCTCTTTCCGCTGACCTGCGGGGATGATGCATATCTTCCGTGGTCTAGCCAACCCGTTCCCTCACATCTCTCAAACATGACTGATCCCTCGGTGCCGCATGCATCCATGTAGTCGGTTCTGCTAGCAGTACGAAATACTTCATCACGGTGTTCTGGAAAGATTCTACCGTGAAATGTGGGGTGTATTAGGTACCTACCTAGTATACCTTATGTAAGGTACACCAGCTTCGTTGAGGCTGAATTGGTACGTACCAACTGTGGCGTCACGGCCTCACATGTGGCGCAGCTAGACCTCGAACAACGACATTCAGGGGCAGCAAGCAAAAAGGGCGTATTCAACATAAAAATGCCCGGATCCATTCAATACCTAGAACAAGCGAATGAAAACATACGACTAACAAGAACGAAACTTGAGCGTGCCAAAATACATTCTGTTTCCAAAGTTTACTCACTGCTGCTCTAGACTTAGAGTCTAGAGTTAGACTGAGATGCCGCGGACTCCCAGACTCCAGAGTACCCCGACCGACGACTCCCGGCTCCTGAGCTCTGGCTAAGTAGTAAGGCGCCAGAATGAGGTTCAGTAAAAGCACACCGAATAGTCTAACCGGCTTGGAGATATGCAAAAGCAACCTCAAAGGCTCACAGGCATCCACTATATCATATAAAGACTTGTGACCCGAAGTCAAGAAGCAATGACACCTCGGCTTCCGATATCCTCGAAACACCTCGGGCTGCTATACTTCGCAAAGCAGTACGCCATAAGGCAAGTCACACAAACTGAAGCTGCCGTAACGCCGTTGGCGTCCATGCCCATCCGCGAAGGTCAACTTCATACCAGGCAATAGAATACCATTAGAAAATATTCCTCTCAAGTACCAGTTCCCGTCACAAACCCCATAAATCGTTGTGTCTCCGGAAGCATCTCACAAGATCAAATCTAAGAAATAGTGACTGTCTTGTTGTAAGACATCTAATAAGCTTTCCAAATTTCTCAGACGTGTTTTGGGCTTGGCTAATAAGTAGCATAATAAAATCGAGAATTGGAGAGACGAAGCAACAAACAACAGAGAACGCAATACACACAATCTTTAAAGTCCTCTCTCTATTGCTAAGCTATTCACACCCTTTTCTTCATTTGAACTCAACATATTAACCACAGAGCACACAATAATAGTAGGTTTTAGCAGTCATACTGCATCACCTTACCCAAGCCCTCGCCTTCCTATTCCACCCAACACATATGCACACCTCTCCCGATAACTAGAATTTCTTAGTATATATATGTAACCTTCCTACTGATGGAGGATTATCAGCACAACGTCACGAATAATCAACAATCACATTTCCTACCTTCAACCCTACCCATTCTGGCTCTTTCCTATCACACACGTGAACACACACACACACACACACACACGTGAATATCTTGTAGAAAACCAAACGTTGCCTCTCCGTTTTTATAACAAACAATTTCTCCTTTACCGTATCAAACAACAAGTCTTTTCTACAACTCCATCCACCATCAACCTACCTATCTTCGTCACGACTATCGCAGTAAGTCCATCAAACCATCGCCGTTTGTTTCATATCCATGAAGCTGATCATCGTCATAATCACCATCAAGTCCACCAAACGTATAGTGAAGATGCCCGGCGTCCAGATCAAACATTGGAAGCTCTGGGAGCCGATATTTGTCGAGTTGAAGAACGATTGGTCGTTCCACGACCTAGGCAGCCGCGTCAACCTCGCGCGGACTCTCCGTAACGTCGCGAGGGGAAACAACGGAAACTACGAAGAGACCTTCTCTAGCCTTCGCGCAACCGTCCGAATCGAATTCGTCAAGATGGCTACGCGGGGAAATCCCTTGATGGTTCTCTCCGTCGTTCTCCTTTCCGGGACGCTCTCTCTCGTCGCGACACGGAGCTCCCTGGCCCACGCCAACGAGTCGGTGAAGAGGTCCTCGCAGGCAGTCACGGATGGGGGCCACCCATTGCCCGTCTGCAGCCACTGGAACGTCCTGGGTGCACTCAAGGGGCAGTCCGTTCTTGAGAGATGCTGCCCCCGCTGGGAGGTTTTTGATGCGCGTTCGGACGCCACGATGAATCTGAGCCAGTACGAAAAAGATCATTCGCCTACGCCTGTCCAGCGGGAGATGGCCCGGCTGGATGCCCTCGCCGCCGAGGCGAACTGCCGTCGCCGTTCTTCCAGTCAGCTGGACGCCGAAGAGATGTTCCGTCTACGTCAGGAGAACGACCGGGTTCGCAACACCCTCCTCGAGGTCCAGGCCGAAAATACGAGCTTGAAAAGCGCTCTCGAGGGGAAGAGTTCCGAGTACAGCAGCCTGCAGAGCTCTGAGCGGGCCGATAATGCCGAGAGGGGCGGCTTTCAGTTTGATGACGGCCAGGACGACGATGAGAGCCACTTCGCAGCCGTTACCGTGGCTCCGAAGACCGAGACCAAGGAAGGCGACAAGGAAACCGTTTTCATGGCGGAGTATAACAAGCTGAAGAAGGAGTTTCTGGCTCTGAAGGAGGAGATGGAGCGCCAGAGCAAGACTCATGAGTCGGAGTTGACCCGCTTCCGTGAGACGCTTGAGGCACAAAAAAGGGAGAACGAAACGACCATGGCCGCCCTCGCGGCCAATACTAGCGAGCTTGAGGCCGCTAGGGAGGAGGTGAAGTCTCTACAGGCATTCAAGAGCCGTGCCAGACCTCTGGTGGAGTTTCTGGCGGATCTCCCTGGCCAAGAGGAGGGGCCTACTACCTCAGCTACGCATTCAAACAAGCGTGTTCGCCTTGACTGAATCATGAGTTTCGGTTCTGAGTTGTGAGGGGAAAGGACACTGTTGGGGGAGGGTTTGTTCTGGGAATGGACGTTGGTTGCATGTTGGGAATTTGGGGGTTATGCGTTGTGATTAGGTCTGGATGTGATGGTTCTTTTGGGCGCTGACCTGGACTTGGGGGTTATGAAACGATATAAGGGTATAGTCAAAACTATGAAGCTAAAGGATCGGCCTGTACTTCAAGGTGCAATGCTCAATCCAAAATGGCGTAGCTGGTCCGGTTTCCAGCCAATGTGCTTGCGACCTGGAATGATGCGTTGATTCACCTGAGGATTGGTTGGAAGATCTGTTGGAAGGTCCGTTGGGAGTGAAGTCGGAATCTAGGAAAGTAGGAAGATGCTTATGTGGGGCGTGGCACGGATAGCTGGAGGTGAGAGCTACGCGCTGAGAAAAAGAACATGGATTTTACCCGAGGCCAAAGAAGAAAAAAAGAAGGTGGAGGAAGGGAAAAAAAAAGTCTGTGGAGTTCCGATACCGGGAATCGAACCCGGAGCTTCGCGGCACTTCAGTCATGAAAGCGCGATATGTTAACCGTTACACTATATCGGACACAAGCTTTGAAGTATATTCAGGGGCACCTTGGCGTGAAGTGGTCTGTAGACTCAAAGAATGGGCTTCGTCAAGTGGCGCGGCAAGACCAGGAAAGTTAGCGGAACTCTAACTCCGGGCAACTCAAATAACCCTGAAAATTACTACGATTATGATTAAGAGGCGTTGATTTCTTAAGAAGGGGACAAAGAATTTCACCCGCCTGACCTAGAAAAAGAGACAGTTGAATTGCTGAAGTCCCTCCATGGTGGCATGGCCCGCATAGGCGGCATGGCCATCCCTTATTCTCCGCCATGACCCATAAGTCCACTGCATGAATATAACAAAATGCTGAAGCATCGGATATAGGGGAGGTGGCACCTTTGTGTTGTGCGGCAGAGGGTGTTGGGCGCTTGTCTCTTCTTTGACTCAACACCACTGTTTATTCCCACAATGCTAGTCCATGGGCAAGAGTTGCAAAGTGCTTTTGGTTTTCTTGCTTTTTTCTTCTTTCTTCTTTCGTCTTTCTTCTTTTCTGATTCGTCTTTGTCTCGATAACATAATAGGGCTGGTTATCATACTTACATGTACAGTCTACCTTGTGAGAAGTGATAGCGTGCACTGCATCATGGTTGTACGGCAAGTGGTTGGATTCATTTCGACTTGTAGGCCATTCTTTGTGCTGTTTCATGGAATTACAAACGAGACTAGAACCAACAAGATGTTGGCATAACAAGATGATTACTGTAACTCACTAAGGATCTTGTGTATAAGAGCAACATAATAAAGAATTATAAGAGCTGAGGCCTCTGCTGAGAACTGAGAACTGATAGGGATCTCGACAATATCAGATAATTCAAGCTGCATTGGCGTCTGGTTGGGACGGAGAGGAGAACAGGCGGCGGACCCGTCGTCTTCTCTCTAGATCATATCTTGTTCTGCGTCTATGAGATACGCGGCCCCATCTCTACATCGTACTCTATTAAGCACGTCGCAAGGATGGGCTTATGAATGTGATTCATAGTTCGTACAAAGTGGATATAAAGATCATCAGGCTCCCTAGAATAGGGACTGCCGTTGTCCTGTGACTACAGAATACAAATTCTTGTCTACACTTACAAGTTACACATACACAATTTTGTTTCCAAGTCGACGTCCAAGCTCTACCCGTACGATCATCTCGATCGAAACACAAGTTACGCAACCTAAAGTATTATCTCTGCTCAAGTCTCGTACCACTCGCACTCTGCTAACATGAGAAGGACAAAATGCCGTTGGAGAATGCCCAAGGTCGTCATGAACGTCATGCAAACCATAAAAGAATATTGAAGTACTATAAACGGAGGGCTCTCGCTGGCAGTCACCAAATTCTCGGAGAGACGCGAAACGCCCACTGTGGAACTCAAGGAGAGGAGAAGTCCAGTCTCCAGTACCGTGAGAATGCTGAAGCGTCAGCCTCAGCTTCATCCCAGACGAAGCCATGAATCATGAAGAGGGGTTCTGATAGAATTGGAGAGTGAAGCTAGTTGTAGGGTTAGGCAGAATTACATGTGTGCAGGGGAAGAATCCATGAGAACAAAGCCCGAGCCAGTAAATGCAAAAAATGCTTTTGTTACCACCTAGGCTTGGTCTAAGACTCCAAGTTTATCCCAAGTCAGTATAAGAGTGCTGTGGTCTCTGCCAACCTGTTACCTGAACACCTGGACATCCCTTGTGGCCCTCAAAGAATCTACAAATTATGATAGGCGACTTTTTCGTTCACTGTTAACTGCTTCACTCTTTCTGTGTCTAAAGACGCAGTTGGGTATTCTGACTGACGACTTGGAGTACATGCAAGTGTCAAAGACTCGAAGGAGCTGGGCTATCAGCCTATCTCTAGTTCTCTACCTCATATTGCCGGGCACCCCTATGATTTGGTCCCGGCCATGCCGAGTAGTTAAGCTGTTTTGAAAGAGACTGGAACATTGCCTTTGTTCACAGTAAGCCATTAGAATTCTGGAAACCTTCTATCACCACATTGTGTCCGAGCATGGTCCTTTGTTTCTGACTGTCTTCAAAGAGGGAGACAGTGCATGATGGCCAAATGCCATGTATTTGCACATATAGATTGACCTCATGGATGATATTCCGGCGGTAAAATACTATATATTGCATCCCGACCCGCCCATCTGGAGATTGTGACCAGAGTGCATCAACATCAGCCTTCAGAATCACATCCGCAGCATATACAAGTCATCCGTATTTATCTTCTTCATATCCACCACCCCGATGGACAACAACAACAGTCCAGGTAAGTCATCCGAATATTCCAAGTTAACGCATGCTCCAAGCCTGTTGGCCTGCAGCTGCGACCACCCCATCCCCTTAGAGATCTTCCACGCCCAAGCCCGCCAGGCCCTGACCACATTATGGCGGGACGTGAGCCCTGACAGCATCCAGTTAAGCCACGTCTGCGGCGGCGCCAACAACCGCATCATCGGCGTCACCCGTCCGTCCACCAGGGGAGACGCTCAGAAACCCGACCGCTTCGTTGTCCGGGTCCCGAATATAGACGTCGGCTTCCGAGAGACGGTCGCCGCCTTCCTCTTTGCAGACCGCTACACGAAACTGACGACGCCAAGCACCATCCACTTCGACCTCGGGGACCGCAATCCCTTCGGACAACCCTATCTCGTCCAGAATAGACTCCCCGGAACGCCTGCCGCCGACGTCCCCTTCTGGCGCGACCATAGGCGCAAGCTCCGCTTCTGGTCCGACTACGGCGCCGTCTTCCGCGAACTGCTGCAAGTCCACAGCAAGATCATCGGCGTCTGCGACTTCAGCATTGTCGGGACCGGCGTCCCGAGGGTGGACAGCCGCGTCGGGGTTCGGGAGTACGGCACCAGGACGGTATCGCGCCACGTCCCGCTCCCGAGCGTCATGCCCTCCTCCACGACAGCGATCCGGGACTACCTCCTCAGGAACTACCGAACCAGCAAAACTACTTTGGCGACTCTGGCGAATCGTCTGTGCCGACCCTGCCAGCCGATCCGCCTGGCGCACGTCGAGGCCTTCACCACACTGATCCACGAGGCGCACAACGACGGCTTGTTCGACGGCATGCCCGTCACGATGCGCCACGTTGACCTGTGGCCTTCGAACGTCCTCGTCGCGGAGGACGGTTCCATCACGGGCGTGCTGGACTGGGATGAGGCGAGGCTGGAGCCCGCCTTTACGGCGTGTGACCCGCCCGAGCTGTACTGGACTCGCGGGATGAACTTTTGCGACCAGAATTCCCAGGCCCAGTGCGAAGATTTGAAACGAGCCTTCTTCGACTCTGCCGGAGCGGAGTTTTGCCGCTTCGCTCACGACGAGGCCTATGAATTGTTGAGAAGAATCGCCGGGTTCACACCGGTGTATTGGTGTCGTTGCGACGAGTCCCGCTGGCACTATGACATGGATGAGATCATCCGTGATTGGAATGATATCCGCTTGAAGCGGGTTGGCAGGCCTTCGGAGGTCAAGGTTGTGGTGACCCAGTAGACGAAAAGGTAAGTGAGTAATTAGTATTGGCCTCAGGACGAGGCTGCCAATTGAAGGTAAGTGTTTCGTTCCCATTTTTTCATGGTCCTAATCTTGAACCAGAGTCGACCTCGAAGGGCTAGAAGAAATAGCATATCCAATATAAAAGCTGTTATCCACATGGAATGGTTCCAGCCTAGACCTCAAGTCCAATTTCAGTAGCTCTCCCGCAGGAAATTCATGTATGTAACGATAGTCGAGGTGGATGTTCATGTGTTGTTAGATCATGCTCGTAATTCATAACTCGTAACTCGTAGGTTCAGTCATGATGGTGGCGTGCAAACCTAGCAAAGGGCAATTTCACTATTGCCCGAGAGACAGACACTCCAGACGTCACTCATAATCATGAGGATTCGCCGTCAATCCAGACGACCATGTTGGTTGGAGGATCCTCGAGCCCCTTGAAGAACTCACAGATGTCCTTGTCGCTGTACCTCATGCTAAAATGCATGAGAACAAAAGTCGTCTTGGGCCACTTTCGGATAACCTTCTCCAAGTCACCCCAGTACGTGTGCTTGGTCTTTTCGGCCTGTTCCCTGTGCTCTTCGTACAGAAAGCTGCACTCGGTGATGACGACAGGGATGCCATCGTCGCGCAGCCACGGAGGGTCAGCTGCCAGGGTGGCGACTGTGGTATCACCCAGGAAGGCAAATATGGGAGCCGTATGGGGGGCAGTGATCTCGACACCCGATTGGCGCAGGTCGCGAATTTGCGAACCGGCGAGTTCGGAGTACTCGGGGCGGAGGCGGTGAGTGGTGGTGCTGAAGACGTAGCCGACGGATGGGACGGAGTGGTCGCAGTCGAACACCGTGGCCGTGATTCCCTTGAGCCTGCGGAGGGGTATCACGTCGCCGTGACACACGCCGTGGGTGACGTGGGTGTTGAGCCATGCCCTCTCGGACGGGGAGCGGTGCTGGCGGGCGTGGTGGCCGTTGAGACGGGTTTCGCCGTTATGGCCGTTAGGGATGTCAGACACATGTGACTCGTGTTCCCCTTCAACGTCGAGTCCGCGCTTCGCGGCGTCTTGGATGCCGATGAGGCCGCCGGCGTCGAGCATGGCACTGGCAAGAATAAAGTCGTCAAAGGCGGTCGCCATCTCGGCGGGGCAAAAGATATCTGGAGGGTCCTCCCGACTCGTAAAGGCCGGGGATAAGAGAGTGTGGTCGCTATGACCGTGGGTCACGAAGATGTGTTTCGGGCGCAGCTTGTTCACGCAGAGACCGGCGTCAAGAAGGAGGTTCATCTGGGGAATGACGAATGAGGTGTGCCATGCCGCTCGGGACTTGCCGGTGAGGACATTTTGGTGATACGGCTTAGGAAAAGACCACTCAAGAACCTCAGATCGAGAGGACTGCGGCAAGGGAGTTGCAAATGAGGATTTAAGAGAGTCCCGCATGGAAGTGGTGAACCGTGAACGAGCCGGTCCGAAGCACTCTGGATGTCTTTCCCAGTGTACAAATGATATCCGTCTCTGGGAAAAGGTGTCAGAATCGTTTTGACGTTGCTATTATCGGTGTTGATACACGGCTTGTAGCCTGTGGGCGGTCAGAGTCAGAGATCCTGGGTTGCTTCAACTCGACTCTAGTCTCCGTGTCGTGAGGCGGCGAGGCCGAATTCTGGGAATGCGAATGGTGCGCGTCTCGGTTAAAATGGCCGTTCCTCCAATTTGCTACCCGTAGCTCAAGAAGGCGACGATGAAAGGGAGGATAAAGAAAGCGTCAGCATAAGAAACTTCGAAGCCAGGTTGTGGCAGCATGGTCTGGCGACTCTGGTCTGGTGACTGGGGCAAGCGGAGGAAGAATCAAGAGCGAATGCGTGGATGTGAAGACGTTGATGACGTAACCAGAAGAGCTTACATAAACATCCAATACCCCACCGCGACTAATTACCGTATGTCTACGTATTCCGTTCGGACCCGGATTCATCCGGAAAACCAAAGCGATTGGGTAATAACAGTTACCAATGCATTCCCCCTTCTGTTGCCTCCTTTCCCTCACGACTCTCGACCTCACTCACAGACGCGTCCCCATCCCGACAACTTCCCGTCGCGATGCCGGCAACTTTTAGCATCCGGCGTCTGTCCCCAGAAACCTGCTTCTACATTTGTAATCCCAATTGCAAATCACCCCGCATAAAGGCCCGGTCATTGGATTCTACGACGAGGTATTATGGCCAGGAGTCAGGACCATTGATCATCAGACCTCATGACCTTATCTCCCAGACTAGGACCAAGACGAACACTTGGATGACTAGGAGGATATCGTCGCTACAGATGCAGGTCCGAAAGATCTCCGTCGCGGATAATCCCAGTGTCTAGCCTGGCTCATGAGTCTACGACCCAGCTCGGTTTTCAGGCACCTGCTCCCTACGTGAAGAAACACCCCGTCATGCAGCATTTGCCCACACGACACCTTATCGGGACTGATGCGGGGTGAGGCTTGAGAGCTCTTATCAGTACTGACAGGACGCCAATGACAGTAGGAATCTGAGGCATGACACTGCGCCAATGATCTTTCGAGAAGATCGTTATCCTTCAACCATGGTGTCCTCCTTATCGACTGCCGTGGGGCTAATGGAGATATCCCGGCGAGGTGGTGAGAGGTGGTGAGACTGGGGTTCCGGCTTCGGATTCGAATTCTTTGCGATCACAGCCCAAACTTCCTCCCCAGTCAAGACGACAATCGCGGAGAAGTCTTCCATTCATTGACATACCTATATAAAACACCTGTCGGCTATCTGACTTGCGCTGTCTGAGGTCGCAAGTGATCAGTTTTCAATCTCTTGTAACCAAACCATCTCTTCCCCGACTCCGTCTCATTTCCCACCACCTCGCATCGGCAGACTCCATTTGCCATCTCTAAAGCCATGCCGTCCACCTTGGATGTGGCGCTGCCACACCCCTTCGATCCTCTCGGCACAGTCGAGATCGAGGAAGCTATTTCCATTGTCACCAAAGCCCATGGCGAGCTTTTCTTCAACGTCGTTTCCCTCCTGGAGCCGCGCAAGGCCGAGATGACCGCATGGCTCGCCAACCCGGACACCGCGCCTCGACCCACCCGTGTGGCCGAAGTAGTGGCCATTGCCAAGGGTGGAAAAGTATACGATGGTCTCGTAAACCTGGCCGAGGGCACGATCACGAAGTGGGAGCTGCTCAACGGTCTTCAGCCTATTGTAAGATGGGAACTCCTAAAGAGGGGAACAAAATGAGTGAATCACTGACCGAAAATGTCTAGATCACCATGGAAGAGCTCATCGCCGTTGAACACATCTGTCGCAAGGATCCCAAAGTCATTGAACAATGCGAGCTCAGCGGTGTCCCCCGAGAAGAGATGCACAAGGTCTACTGCGACCCCTGGACCATCGGTTACGACGAGCGATTCGGCTCCCAAGTCCGTCTTCAGCAGGCCCTCATGTATTACCGCCCCGACGTCGACACGTGCCAATACCAATACCCTCTCGATTTCTGTCCCATCTTCGACGTCGAAAAGCAGGCCGTCATCCACATAGACATTCCGAAGGTCAGGCGACCCTTGAGCAAGACCAAGCCCATCGACTACCACCCGACCGCCGTCGAGGCAACCGGGGGCTACCGCCAGGACATCAAGCCCATCCACATCACACAGCCCGACGGCGTCTCTTTCCAAATCACAGGCAGGGAAATCGAGTGGCAGAGGTGGAAGTTCCACATCGGCTTCAACTACAGGGAGGGCATCGTGCTCAACAACATCACCTTCAACGACAAGGGCACCGTCCGTCCCATCTTCTACCGCCTGTCCCTCGCCGAGATGGTCGTGCCCTACGGCAACCCGGAGCACCCCCACCAGAGGAAGCACGCCTTCGATCTGGGCGAATATGGCGCTGGCTACATGACCAACAGCCTGTCCCTGGGCTGCGATTGCAAGGGTGCCATTCACTACCTCGACGCCGAATTTCCTACCAGGTCTGGCGGCACCAGGACCATCAAGAATGCCATCTGTATCCATGAGGAAGATGCCGGCATTCTGTTCAAGCATACCGACTTCAGGGACGATTCGGTCATCGTCACCCGTGCGAGGAAGCTCATCATTCAGCAAATCTTCACCGCCGCCAACTATGAGTACGCCATTCAGTGGATCTTTCACGTATGTTTCGCCCTTCCCCTTCCCCCCCCTTTTCTTCCCTCGCGTACCTTCTCGTCATACTGATAACATGATAGCAAGACGGCACCATTCAACCCGATATCAAGCTCACTGGTATTCTCAACACTTACGCCTTGAACCCCGACGAGGATACCGACGGCTGGGGCACTCAAGTCTACCCCGGAGTCAATGCCCATAACCACCAGCACCTCTTCTGTCTCCGTATCGACGCCAACGTCGACGGACCTCGGAACACAGTCTTCGCCGTCGACGCCGTGCCCTCCGAGCATCCCGTGGGGAGTGCCGAGAACTTTTACGGCAATGGCTTCGGCGCCAAGCGTACCAAACTCGACACTACCGGCAACGCGGCGACCGACTACAACGGTGCGACCAGCCGGACCTGGGACATGGTCAACCCCAGCAAGATCCACCCTTATAGCGGAAAGCCCGCCAGCTACAAGCTCGTCAGCCGCGAAGTGCCGGGTCTGTTGCCCAAAGAGGGGTCTCTCGTGTGGAAACGAGCTGGCTTTGCGCGCCACGCAGTTTATGTCACAAAGTGTACGTGCTTTTTCTTCTCCCATCGCCCTAGCTGACCTGTCGAATTTTTTTTTTCTGGGTTTTTTTTCTCTCGTAACGTTGCCCCTGACCTTTCTTCTCGCAGACCGCGACGATCAGCTCTGGCCCGCAGGCCGCCATGTCCCCCAAACATCGGGCGAACCGTCCCAGGGCATCCCCGAGTGGATCGGCGACGGATCCGAGTCGGTGGAAGACGAGGACATCGTCCTCTGGCACACCTTTGGCGTAACGCACATCCCCGCCCCGGAAGATTTCCCCGTCATGCCCGCCGAACCCATCACCCTGCTCTTGCGCCCGCGCAACTTCTTCCTCAGTAACCCGGTGCTCGACGTCCCGCCCAGCTACGCTTGCACCCCCAGCCAGGTTGCGGCCGCAGGTGCGGGAGCACTTGATGCCACGGATCGGATGAGTCGGCTTGCCTTTGAGACGAATGGCGCCGCCGCTTGTTGTGGTAGTAATGGGGCGGCGAATGGGCATGCTTCCAATGGGACGAATTGGTCTTGATTCTGCATTTGGCCCTTCTCGAAGATTAGGGGTCCGTTGCTTCTGGGATATTGATTTCGCATTGATGAGGGGCTGAGTGTCAGAATGAACACAATGACGATGTAACTAACACCGGGGGAACTGGTATTTAGCGAGCTTTTACAATGATTATTACTTGAATACTTTTGAAGCTCAGGATATGGTGTGACTCGACTCTGTTCTGTGCTAGCCACAACCCCCGGCGGTCTTGACTCTTGGCAACGGGATGGACGGCATTTGAGCGGATCGTCCCGCAGAATGGGGACGTTGCATGGGCTGGCACCACACAACAAACCCGTCCTTTCGCTTTCGAAGAGGAAAGAGACAACAGGTCTACTTCCCAGGGAGGATGCCGAGGCCCAGTCCTGCATATTCGTTTGCGCCATCTTACAAGTTTACATGTGATGCAAAACGCTTTCCATAACTTACCATCCATCGCCTGCCGCATCCTACGTGGGTTGGCTGGGGGTCACTTACGTACAGCGGTAGGTCTAAGACTGTAAGACCTAACTCACTGACGGCCTCACCACCATTCTGAAAAGAACAATGTCATCATGCCCACATTCCGGGACGATAAGGTGCATAGCAACCCTCTCCGTCTGCAATCGGGTCGTGGGGCTGCGGCGAACTCGTAGCCCATTTGGCCATTCAATTGTCGTCCTCTACACTACAGGCACACGAAGGGCCGATCTTTGTCTCGAAGAGGAATGTGGGAATGAATGAGGACCTCACCACCACACGTTACACGGTTACACGTGCGGGAGACTGAATAAACAGATAGCCCGAAACACGGAACACCCCACGTTCCCGCTGCTTGTCTTCTGGGGAAGGTCACTTCCTGACGCTAGAGTCGGAATAGGAGGTGATGATCGTCTTGCCGAACCGTCTTTTGCAGAAGCACACCATGATCTTCGTTCTCTGCACGCAATCCCGTCTGCTCCTCGAATGGAGGGTACCGGGGAGACCGATTCCGCCATGCATTTCCAACAGAAAAAGTATAAAAGGCTGGTTGGAAACCCGTCTTGTTGTGGTGGAGAGAACGTAACTCAAGTCATTGAGACACTTCTATCAGAGGATTCAAATCCAAAACCGCAGCCATGAAGCTTCTTACCTCCTTGATGGGACTGGCCAGTCTGGCGTCTCTCGCCGCCGCCCAAATCCACGGCTTTGACATCTCGGGCTGGCAGCCGACCACCGACTTTGCCAGGGCCTATGCCAACGGAGATCGTTTTGTCTACATCAAGGTATGTTAAGAACAAACCCCCTGGCAGCCATCCAGCCATCCGGCAAGGTCCCGCCCGTTCTACCGCTTGCATTCACGGAGAGACTAACAGTATACCACCAACACCACCAGGCCACCGAGGGCACGACCTTCAGGAGCTCCGCCTTCAGCCGCCAATACACCGGCGCGACCCAAAACGGCTTCATCCGCGGCGCCTACCACTTCGCCCACCCCCACGTCTCCACCGGCGCCGCCCAGGCGACCTTCTTCGCCCAAAACGGCGGCGGCTGGTCCCGCGACGGCATCACCCTCCCCGGCGTGCTCGACATCGAGTACAACCCCAACGGCGCCACCTGCTACGGCCTCTCCCACGCCGCCATGATCAACTGGATCGAGGACTTCGTCGCCACCTACCAGCGCCTCACCTCCCGCTGGCCCGTCATCTACACCACCACCGACTGGTGGACCCAGTGCACCGGCAACTCCAACCGCTTCGCCAACCGCTGCCCGCTGTGGGTCGCCCGCTACGCTAGCTCCGTCGGCACCCTGCCCAATGGCTGGGGCTTCTACACCTTTTGGCAGTATAACGACCGGTATCCCCAGGGCGGCGACTCGAACTGGTTCAACGGCGATGCGTCCCGTCTTAGGGCTCTCGCTCTCGGATAGGCCTGCACTCGGAGATTAAGCGCACCGTCAAGCGCACCGTCAAGTGCTCGCTCGGCTGGTTGTCCTGGCTTGTGGGCAAGGGGGCTCGTGGAGATCCTCATCAGGGTCTTCAGGCTCCCTTCAGGCTCCATATCACCTATCATAGTACCAGTGATGTACTAGCAGACATACTTAGAGACACACAAGTACCTATTATACGGGCAGTTATGTCAACCAATGGTAATTCTTGTCTCTCCATGTACATGTAAAAGTATCAACCTGCTCCATGCGCCTACCTGCCCGTACTGATCCGTGAAGTAAATCTCGACACAATCCCCTTTGCCCCTGGGCTCTTACTATCCCACAGAGATCCAAACTTTGGGAAGGAGAAGTTTCAAATCGTAGTCTTCCAGGAACAAAAAGCAATTGCAGTGGTCAATCGAATTCGTGACACGAATAACTTGTTGACTCGTTACGTCGCCCTTAAAAGAAGAAAAAAAGTCGGGAAAAGTTCTCGAAAAGAAGGGAAAGAAAAGAAGAGAACATAGCAAGAAGCGAAGAATCGGCTGTAGCAAGCGGAATGTCGGAGACTTAAGTGAGAGTAGCCAACATGGCCCGCATAAGTGCAGGAGGAGGACCTGCAAGAAGAGCATCAGCAACTTATTTGTTCCCCAGCACGAAGGCTTTGTCGGCAAAAAAAGGAAAGAAAAAAAAAAAAAGAACAACACAAACGGGGCGCACCTCATCGGTAGTACTTGGGCACGCTGATGGACATCCTACCTTTCCTGTCCCTCTCGATCCGCGTCCCACGGTAACCTTCCTCGACCTTTTCGACCTTCTCCTGCTCGAGCACGAGCGCGCCGTCGGGCAGCCGCTCGGCCCTCACGAGAGCACCCGCGTCCCGGTTGCCAATTTTGTAGTCGTGGTGATGGCGGCCGACCCTGGTGTCGCGTAGCTCTTCCTCGAGCGCCTTGATCTCGCGGCGAATGTCCCGCTGCGAGCGTGAGGCCGACCGATGGCGCACCACGGCTACGGGAGCGACGGAGACGTCGTCCGAGGGTTCGTAGTATGTCGTGGGCGTGGCGCTGGTGGTGTAGGACGTCACGGTGCGCGCAGGAGAAGGTTCCCGTATGACGGTCTTGTTGACGATTTCGACGTTTGCCGGAGGGGCGGCGTCTACGACGACAGGAGCGGGTGCTGGAGCTGGGGCGGTGAAGATTTCTTCGCGGCGTTCCTCCATGATGTTACCTGCCGCTGAGCGGGCCGCGGCCAATTCCAGTTCGGCTGGTGTCGTTTTGTTAGCCATGAGTCCATGACCCGAGGGGTGGGGTGGCACGGGTACACGGGGTTTGTTGCACAGCAGGAGTAGGAGGGGTAGAAGGTGTGCTGAGAAGCAGAGAGAAAGGCTGGGGACCTAGGTGGGGTGGGGAAAGGAGAGAGAGAAGGCCAGGTGAGGGGTTTCGTCACTCACTCTTTCTGTAGTCCTCGCTCAGCTTGAGCAACTCGTCAATGTTTTCTCGACCCAAGGCCTTCAGTACAATAACCGTGTTCCCCTGGCAATCAAACTAGTCAGTCGTTGGAAAGAAGGACGGGGAAAAGGCTCGGGAAGAAGGAACAAAAAGGCGATATCCGCACCTCTTCAGTATAAGGATAGCCCAGTTCGATGAGGGCACGCTTGGAAACAAGACGAGCAGGGATGCGTGTCTTGCCCTTCTTCGGATACTCGTTCCGAATCATGGTGCCACCACTGGCACTCGACGAGCGGGTCGAGGTACTGGACGAGCGGGAACTGGCCGAATAGGCGCGGGTTGTGCGAGACTCGCGGCTGCGATCGCGACCTCTCCTGCGACGGGAATCCCGGTAGACCTCGCGTTCCTTCAGACGCTCGGGCATGGGCATGGGCATGGGTATGGGCATGGTGCGAAACTCCTCATCGCCATAATGGCCCGGGTCGGCCACCTGGATCTCGTCGTAGTGACGGCGATTCGGAGGGGGCTCTCGGGTCCGACTCCGCGGCAGCGGGATTGGCACATAGGGCGGCGCTCGGAATTCCTCTCGGTCGCGTCGATAATCTTCGCGTTCGTGGCGAAAATCATCTCGTCGAGCAGGCGGGCCGTACTCCTCACGGACGTGGTCCTTCTCGAGGAAGTGCAGAGGGGGCGGTCGGCGGTCGAAAGTGTCAAGTGAGGACTGACGTCGAAGCAAAACGTTGGGACGACGGGCCGGCGGAGGTGAGGGGCTGCGAAGATCTACATCGCGCTCCTTCTCAAAGACGACGCGGCGGTCGAATTCTCTCTCAGGTTCACGTCTGGGTGGATAACGGGGCTCAGGATCGTAGTGACGGCGGTCGCGCACAAAATCATCGTCAAAGCTTCCCCGGTAGCTTCGGCTGTAGCTTTCGGCGGATCGTTCCCTGGGAGCCCGGGGAGCTGGGGGAGGGGGGCGGGAATAGTAGTCATCGTCTCTGTCGTCGAAACGAGGTGGGCGGTCATCAGGATAGCGATCCCGCTCGTAGGCGAATCGATCACGATCCCACCTGGACGCCATTATGGGAGAAGAAACGTTTGATGCGAATAGAAATTGAATCGAAGGGTATCAAAACGTATCACTTGACGAACCAAATGCGTGTGAAACGAACCCAAGAGATAATATATAGCACAGAATATAGTGGAAAGGTAAAGAAAAGATAGAAGTAAAAGAGATGGTCGACAGATCTGATGGTGTTCTTGTCGTCGTCAACGGTAGTGGATGCCGAGGGGGGGGGCGGTAATCGGGATATCGTAAGTCGGACGTTCAAGCTGGTCCAAGCAGGCGATGACGCAAACTGGCTGAGAAGAAGTGGAGCTGTCCGTATATCTAGGGGCTTTGTATGGGTACGAGCTGACAAGCCGTGGGGTCTGGACGTTGAGCAGGGATCTGATTCGACGAGGTTATCTTTTGGTTCTCTTTTTCCAGAGGACCCTTACGTGAAGGCATAAAGGGAACCAGCTGGAAGTTGAAACCGAAAAGAGCCAGGAGCCAGGTATAGGTTCGTGACTTCCCTCTCGTGAGCAAGTTGGAGACTCGGAGCCACGAGACGAAACACTAAAAAAAATGCCGACACCTTTTCGAAGTCGATAATGGGCCGAGGCAATGTGATCAGCTTCGCTTTTCACTTGCTTGTGACCCTTTCAAGATGATCCGGTGATGGGTTTTAGTCGCCCACCAACTGCGTAGCTTGCGGGTTTGTCTTAGGACGGGAGTGTGGAAGAGGTCGATGGGAGGAGAGGGGTAAGGGAGACCTGGGTGGTCCTTTAATAAACCCAGCAAGAACGAAAGAGAGGAACAGAGCAATTTGGAAAAGGGAGAAAAAAAAAAAGAAAAAAAGGGAAGAGAGGAGGGGTTGGTCGGTTGGTAAAAGAGAGTTTTGTACTAGAGCATCAAAGAAACGAAACGACTCGAGGTAGGGACCAAGGACCAAGTAGCAAGGGCGAGGGACCGAATACCTTACGTAGCACCTATGTACAACGAGCAGGGGCGCCATAAGGTAGGGATCTGTTACCTACCTTAGCCCATATTGCTCGCTGTTAAGTCACCTCCCCCGCAATGTCCCTTAGAGTGGTACGCAACTTAGAGGGCTCTTCCAAGTTCCAGGGCAGGTTGACTGACGTCGTACTTCCTACAGTACGCCCCAAAATATTATAATCTCGCTCCAACCATCATCCGCCTAACACGCTTGTCTCGCTTCCCTACGCACTATTCGTGGGCTCTTCCGACGCTGTGACCAGACCTTTCTTTGTGACAAGAACCTTTTTCTCTTTTTTCCTCTTTTTCCTCTTCGCGGGGTCCCTTTTAGTCATTCGTCTGTTTCATTTTCCTGCGAACCCACGATCGTCATGGTGGTAGCCGCAGCGGCTCAAGCCTCCTTGACCGGGCTCGACGGTCCGTTGGGCATTTCTCGACACTACGAAGTACGGATAGAAATGGAACAGTAACCGTTGGGGCTCCTCGACGGCGCTGCGCCCCATATGTGTCCCGTACCTATGTACCTTAGTGTATCGGGTTTCGAATTTGTAACTTCGTACACCATAGGCACTCCGTAACGCACCTAGTGTTGGTACTGATCAAAATCCAACCGACCGAACAGCATTACGAAGCCCTGCCGATGGCATTTCATTCGTGTCCGACGGTTTGATCTCTTGTTCGTCTTTATTACAGCTCAGCAGACAGTTTGGCTTGCTGGACATGTACCACTGCCGCCATTGGAGTCTGGTCGATGCCCGTGCATCTTGTAGTCGTAGTGGTAGTGGATAACGCCCAGAAATTCCGTGCAATATGACGTCGAGTTCAGCAGAGAGCTGATGCAGGGCCTCTTTTGTCCCCTCTCATTCTCACTGCCTCATTCGTCTCTCCGTCATTGTCCCACTGAAATTGCCCAACCATAGCTAGCATATGGGCCTTGCACATGGGAGTACGAAGTGCCAATCAATACATTTGCAAACACCCGCTGGCCATGGCCACCTATTCCGGGCAGGATGTCCACTTGCTTCTAATCCGAATTGCCATAATCCTGCTTCGGGGAAAGCGAGTGCATAGGGGTCCATGTCCATTGTGAACCCTGAGTGTCGAAACAAAGTTGACCCTGTGCTTCAGGAACCCACCCGCCTGCGCGGTCCTGGTGTCTTTGTGTACCTAGCCTTCGACTCGAGACAGAACACAGGAATCCACGAAAGGTAAACGATGCACGGATACGAATGAAACACAGTCGCGGGTTAACCGCCGTAGTCCCACGTGTCCTCTGATTGAAACAAAATGCCAATCCTGTCGCAATGCCTGTGGATTGGTGGTCCATATTTGTAAAGGGACGATCGGCTTTATGTCAAGGGGAACCGCGAGGAACTCGGTCCGTCCCGAACACTGAAAATCGAATCCGAGTTGCCCGTCCTGAGACCGTCACTTAAGACGTCGTGAACGGATTTAAATCGTCGAGAAATATCATAGTTCCACTATATTTGCTGCCCTCTCGCTGCCTCTTTATAATCGCATATTCTTCTGTATTTTCCGCCAGCATCATAAGCCAAATCTCTGTTTTCGTTCCTTGGGTGCTTTTGACGATCCTCTCGCGTACGTTCCAGGTACTGTACGCGTATACCTTGTGCCTTATATACCTTACCTAAGGTACGGTAGGTACTCTCCTAAGGTATATAACGGGCGCTGTACCCAGTAAGTATCGGTACAAAGTACGGACGAAGCACATTGGGTGCTGTTACCCAGAGAAGGGCAACGCCGCAATGTTATTGTGGAGCCCCACTGTAGTGTACTTTGAACTTTATCAGCCTACGGCATAAGGTAATCCGTCTTCCAATCCATTCGCTCGCAGAAACCCCATTTTTCCCGTCTGGTGAACGAAGTTGCCTTTGGCTTCTTCACCATGTACGTTAATCCCCAGCGCCAATGCTTCCAAGGGATCAGCATTCTAGGCCTTACCTACGTCTCCTGGCCGCCGAAGAAACGGATGTCCAGGTTTATGTAAGTCTCGCCGAATCACTAGATCGCCTCTATGACCTGGGCCAGGGGCGTTGCCCTCGCCCTCGGCCTCCTTTTACGCCGCCCTGGACGTTTCACGTATTGCGGCGCGTAAAACTGACGGGTTGCGGTCGAGATGCGATGCGTGCCTGACGATCACGGTTCCCACAACCCTTCCTGTCGACCGAGGCATCAGTCACGCACCAGACAAGGGCGTATGAAACTGCAAAGAGCCGCACCACAGTGAGTCGGAGATTCTACGGTAGTACGGAGTACAGTTGTATGTCGGTATATTTTCATTTTTGCATTTTTCCTTCCTCTTTCCTCACGCGGAGTAATTATCTATTCGTACGAGAGAATCTAGCCGAGGATGAACCAGCATCCGCTCTGAGGCTTATTCGGGTTGATTCCTCTCCGAGTCTGCCCAATGCCTCTTATATCAACCAATCACCCAAACCCAGTAAGGCTGTGCTTCGCTTGCCCAGACCGGGGCACCCTGGCCGTTAACTTCCCAAGCATGTCAGGACCCTTGTCCAGAGAACACGCCGCCATCTAAAGGTAGGAAGGAATCTTCTAAGAGCGGAGATTCGGACAGTCCACGCTCAGCCAAAGTGGGCAAACTGGTGGAAACACACAAAACTACCCCATATCCCCCGACTTTGTTATCACAAATCCCCTCTTCTTTCCTTTCCCCGTCCTGCCACCACTGCATTTTCATGAAGAGAGCAACATGTCGAGGTTCGTGGAGTTTAGCATCTATTATTTGGCGGCCGCGGGGGTTGTCGGTCTCACGGCTCTCGCTTCGTTTTCCCTCTTCGTCTGTTCTCTGGTCGTATCGAAAGTGCATAGCGACCCAGCGAGGACATGGCTCATTCTGCTTCGCGTCGCGTTTCCCTTCTTCGTACTGTACGTGCCTCTTTGTCACCGACTCGCCGTCCTCTTCTCTTCCGCACCCACATCTCCAGGTCCGGAATACAGTGATAGGCTAATTTGTCTTGGACTCTTGCTCTGTAGCTGGTCATTATTGACCCCCGCGGCATGGGCACTATACGCGATAGACTACGTCGCGTTCAACGACCCCTGGAGATACATGAGCAGCATCGCCCGCTTGAGCATCGATGTCGCCTCCGTCTTGATTTTCCTTGTGCTCGTTCATCTCCACTTTGGAATCACGCTCGCTCGTGACGGGAGTCTCAGTCGAAGGGCGACAGTGGCGAAGAAGGTGTCCTACATCGTCACCGTGCCGCTTTGGGCCTTGGCCCTGGCCACGTTTAGCATCCTCCTCCGCGTTTTCACTGCCGTCGACCAGTACACCGTCCCTGAACTCTATATTCTGCTGGACGACCTCCTCCGGCTAGACCTAGCCTTCATCAGCATCTTATTTGTTCTTTCTTTGGCCGTGGTAGTGGCGGCCGTGTGCATCACGGTTAAGTCACGGAAAAGCCCGCCGCATGTGCGCTATGTGAGTGCAACTCGAAAACCCCGGCCCCTCCTTTTTTCTCTTTTTTCCCCTCTTTTATTCTTATTAGGGGTTCTTTTCTATCCTCCCAGAATTCTCGAATGCAGGAGACTAATTTTTTCCCCCTTTCCAACCATATAGGCGTGTTCTATCTATCTGGCATCCGCCATTTTCTGGTGCCTCGGCCGTCTCTACATGCTCGTCGAAGCCGCCTTGTGGTCCAACCCCGCCGGCGTCTACGTCCTACGTCCCATGTGGGGCATCCTCCTCACTGCCATCTTCCTTGGCGTGTGGACTTTCATCATCCTCACCATGCTCTTCGCCCTCGGTGCCAAGAAGGCCGACGGCCTCTGGACGGTAATTCCTCCCTGGGCCCAGCCCGCATACCTCGGGCATGCTGTTCCGGAAGAAGGATACCACGCCTATGGGACCCAGCCGACATACAATTTCGTGGAGAACTACCAGAAGAACCAGCACCCCGCGGCCTGGCAACAGCCCATGATGCCCGTGTCACCGACGCCTCTCGGTGAGTTGAACGCCGTGCCGCCCGTGAACGAACTGGGCGGATACCAGCGGCCGGGGGAGCTGGGGTCGAACGCGCAGGCGTGGGAGATGACCAGCTCGCCGGCGCCGCAATATGCGCACCTGTATTCGCAGACGCAACAAGACGAATCGGCACAGCACGGAAGTTATGTGAAGTGACCGTCGTAAGTCCAGGATGGAGAAGCAAGGAGAGGTGAGGGGGCGCTCAAGTTTGATAACGATACGGTTCATATGTACCATACTACAGCATACAGTCGGTTTCTATAGATGCAGCATCTAATCTCTAATATATCACATAACGTTACTTGCAGAGGATCGCGGTCCCAGGGCTGGTAGTTCCATAACTGGACAGTGAAGCCTCTTGTGCGGTCATCACTTGTGCGGTCATCACTTCTCTTCCGGATCCACGTACTCCTGGGGCGCCACAAAGTCCTCGTTTTCCCACGTCTTGGCGACGTACCTACATAACGCACAGGCTGTTTAGTCACAACCCTCACTTTCGCGGCGGTCATGAGAAGTGCTTCATAGGAGTGGGACTTACTTGGTATGGCTGCCGCGGGCAGCTAGCTCACCCTTCTTGTTATAGAAGCTCACCGCCGTGAACGCGAGCGTCCTTCCCACTGACGGATGGGATCGAATGTCAGCACCCGCCAATTTTCGCATCATCACCAAGCGCCATATCCAATGACAGGGTCGGGGGCTACGTCGGCGAAGAAGGGGGGACACGTACTCTTCTCGCAAATGGCTGTACCTGTCATGCGATCTCCAACGAGGCCGCCAGGGCTGAGATATGTCACTGAGGGGATATGTTAGCAGCCAGACCCATGATGAGGATACCGAATGTGGTAGGGGGGAACAAGGGGGCCGGACCATTGAGATCGGTCGATACACCTGTCGCGAAACGTCCCTTGGACGCAACTGCTAGGGACCCGCCCAGATCGACGAGGCTAGCGATCGTTCCGCCGTGTATTGTTTGGAGGCGGTTCTACCACGAGTGAGTCGGTTATGTCGGGGATATGGAAGACAGGTCGCAAATTAGTGCGCAGAAACCAGAGAACATACAGTGTGCTCTTTCTTGATGTCCAGTTCAAACTTGACAATGCCGTTCGATGCGTCCGTCACACGAAACTATTGTGAGGCACGAGTGAGACTTGGATTCAACCACGGCCAAAGCGTTCGACCAACTCACGTTATTCCCAAGTAACCTGGCCAGGGCGTCAGTGATTGAGAATAGGGGGGAGGGGAATGGAAGAAGACATTGAGCGCACCTTGGCTCGAGGCCGGAGTCTTTCTGGAATGACCTCAGAACCTAAGTTGGTGAATTGAATCAGTTGGTTGTATCATGGACGGGAAGTTCGCATGCATCTTCGGGGGACCGAGGACCATACAGATCGCACAAAGCGAAGGGGGGTCAAGCGGCCCGCCATCTCGTGAGTTGTGCTTGTGAGTCGTCGGTGCTGGATGATTAACACAGGAGAAATTGAGAGCAAAATGTAGTGACAGTATGCATAGCAATTCAATCAACTAAACCAACTCAAAGACGCGATAAGATGAAGCGCCCCGTTCAGCTTCGGAGTCGATATCTTGCCATTGCATCACCGTCTGTCTGGACCCGACCTCGGCACAAGTAGTCGGGGATGACGATGCGACATGGGGACGTGAGCAGGGTGGGTGGAGAACCGGACCGGCTCGACTCGGCTGTCGAACTGGAGAGCTGCGATAAGAGTGGTGATAAGGTACTGATAACGATAAGATGCAAGTGCGCATGGACCACCTGATCGATAACTTCTCCGTACCGTAGCTTGACGTCTGCTTCAAACTCGCTCACAACAACTACCATCGACGAAACAGTCACCCGCCTAGCTCCCGAGAGCGTCTCATATCTCGGTTCGAATCTTTTTCCCTTCGTCAGGCTGTCGTCTCACTGGCCCTCCTGCCGCCACCATGTCGGTCGGCATGGGCCAGTCGCTCCAGCTGGCCGACTACCTGGAGAAGCTGCCGGGCACCACCTTTCGGAAACTCTACCAGCAGCCCTCTTCGGCCTTTTCCATCTTTCGGCGCATGCTTCCTAGTCTCGGTATGCAATTTCTTTCGTTTTTAATTAAGCTCTGTTTGTTGGCTCTCTTCGTGCCGCGCTTGCCAAATGGGCCCCCGCCCGAACTGCTTTGAGAGTGAGCTGACTTGTTGTCGGAACAGCCAAAACGTTTGTCATGTGGATGCTCTACATGTCGCATCCTTACAAATTGGAAGACCTCGATGCCCGAGTCAAGCCCGAGTTCAAACAGTGCGCTCTTGCTCCCTCCCCTCCCTGGCCTATCCCCGTCCAGTCCTTTCTGCCTTTCCGTGTCGGGCGAATACTAAGACCTGTGCTTCTCCTCCACGCTCCCTACGCTCAGAAGCAGAGACCACGCCCTCGCCGTGTTACGAACTCTCCACATGATTCAGTACTCGGTTCCATCCAAGGATCGGCCACAGGAGATCCAACTCACCACCAACTTCAAACGCTCCATGCAACTGGCCCTCGAAGGCGGCGGCAGCCACAACTCCTTCGGCGTACCCTCCGACCTTCCCCCTCCCCCCGAAGTCACCATCGCCTTCCTCGACGAACACGCCCGCCAGAAGTTCGACGCCATACTACACTACATCGTACACAGCGTCGCGCCGGGGCTAATAGAGGCAGGCGGTCCAAAGTCGTCCGTGAAAGAACTGCTCCTCGCAGGCGGCATGGTCCGCAGGCAAGGCGGCGTCACCTCCATCACGCAAACCGGCTTCACCTTTCTCCTCCAAGAGAAGAACGCGCAGGTCTGGACCCTGCTCCTCCTCTGGATCGAGGCCATGGAGCACTCGCCCGCCTCCGGGCTCGAAGCCACCGAGATGCTCTCCTTCCTCTTCCTCCTCGCCACCCTCGAGCTCGGCAAACCCTACGACACCGGCGCCCTCACCGACCAGCGCCGCAACATGCTCCCAAGCCTCGCCGACTTCGGCCTCGTCTACGTGCCCCAACACAAGCCGCAACAGTACTTCCCCACCCGCCTCGCCACCGACCTCACCGACACGAGCCGCTCCATCTCCACCCGCTCTCTCGGCGCCGCCTGGGCCGCCGCCTCCGCCCCTGCTTCCGGTTCCGGTTCCGGCTCCGGCGCCGAAGAAGAAGAAGCAAGCAGGGGCAAGATCATCGTCGAGACCAACTTCCGCCTCTACGCCTACACCCAAAACGTCCTCCAGATCGCCGTCCTCTCCCTCTTCTGCCGCATGTCCGCCCGCTTCCCCGACATGGTCTCCGGCCGCCTGACCCGCGACTCCGTCCGCCGCGCCATCACCTTCGGCATCACCGGCGACCAGATCATCTCCTACCTCGCCGCCCACGCCCACCCGGAGATGCACGCCTTCGCCGCCGCCCAGGCGAAGCCCGTCCTGCCCCCCACCGTCGTCGACCAGATCCGCCTCTGGCAGCTCGAGAACGAGCGCATGAAGACCCATTCCGGCTTCCTCTTCCTCGACTTCGTCGACGAAAAGGAGTACGTCGACATCGCCTCCTACGCCGACGAGATCGGCGTCCTCGTCTGGCGCAATGACCGCCGCCGCATGTTCTTCGCCTCCAAGCACGAGCAGATCCGCGACTACCTTCGCCTCCGCAAGAAGGCCTAGCGGGTCTAAAGGGCCCGGAAAGCGCGGCAGTGGGTACTGGGGCCACTACCCATAGCTTTGCATACCCAAATTCCCCCATATTTTCCGTTTTCTCTCGTTTCTTTTCCCCCGGGGGGGAATATCGCCACTGAGCAAACGAGAACACTGAACGGAGAGCATGAAGAGGCGGCGGATGTCCAAAAGTGTTCTCTTAATTCTTCATCACGGAGTTGGGAAAGGTGTATGATTTTGCATCAGACATGACATCAAGCATAATTCTGTGACGGGTAGGCGTTGCGATTTTGAGGTGGGAGTACCCGGTTTTGCGGACGATATAGGCATCCGACGGCTGCAGGCCGCCCTCAATATTCATTAAAATACTGAAACTGATTACTCTACAGACGCTGAACGATGGCAAGTAAACTACATCGTACTCGCTGGCGCTCCGTCCCACGACTCTCATGTCCTAACTTCTCCTGTGCTGGCTACCTGACTATTGAGAAACGCTGGTTCTCCGTGTACAGACCCCTCTCGGCGAAAAATCAAAAAAACTTATGTCCCTTCAAAAGACGCTCGTCCTCTCCTTTCTTGTTGGTCCCGCACTAGCCTGGTCCTTGTCGCAGCCATGGTTGTTTTCTGTATGAACACCTCCGCTGAATTTGCGTCCCAGGTCTTCGATTTGCTTTGCAGCGATATTGCTCCGTTCGAGAAAGCGCGCGACAACCCCCTGACCCGAGCCCCACGTGGAATCAGGCATGGTCCCGCCTTGCGGGAGCATGATCTTTTTCTGGGTTTTCCGCGCAAACGACTGCTGCCATTCCTAGAGGCTCTGCTTTGCTTCGTTTGTCACGCATAAACTCTCGAGCCGAGTAAATACGGCGAGTGCCCGTACATCGTCTTCGTCGCGAGACTCCCGTGGAGAGACATGGCGGGATGTCGCGTTGCCAAGCGGGTTCGAGACCGAAATAGGTTTTGGGTACAAGTGCGGAGACCAGGCAGATGGGAATTGAGAAAGCGTGGTCAGTGCCATGGTTGTGTTGCTGTGCGATATCCCGGCCGGCCTGGTCTTGGGCTGCGATGTGACAGCAGCGCGCTTTGCTTTGAGGAGTTCGTGCAGCGACTCAGTAGCCAGACATGACGTGGATCGAAGGTGATCTTCCAACGCGATGAAGCGACCCGTCCAGTAAGGCGACGGCTGGGCCGCAGAAATTTCTTTCGGGGCTGACTCTGGGACATGGCTTGCCGAAACCACGGGTGGTGCCAATGGTATTGGTAACCGCGACGAGGAGCTCATCTTGCGCTCCGACGACGACATAGACGGCGGCAACGAGGACAAAGATATGGGGGCCGTCAGGGTGTTTATTGCTGCGAGGGTACGGGACTTTGGTAGCAAGCGCTGCTTGGGAGGAGGGCCATGCGGGTAGTTCATCTTGGCTTTGATGGACTGCGTCGCGGACCGTATGTCCTTCGCGAAGTCCAACTGACCCTTCAACGGGGCTGGCGGGGGCGCTGGTAGTCGTTTTAATCCAGGTATGTGTCCGGAGGGGTGACCGTTACCATCGGTGGATTCAGGTGCGCTGGCGTCGACGATGTGTTCGCTTGTGGGATGGTGGCCGGTTCGGAAGCTTGTTGGGAGTCGGCCGTGGTTGGAGCGGCTACGCTCTCCGGAGGCGTCTCCTAGTGGTTGACACTCGGGTCGGGTTGTTCCTGATCCCCTATTATTGCCGGGGGCAGGTCTGGGCTGCTGGGTGGGAATAGGGGATCGCCCGGCTGAACGTGTGTGCCCTGAACTCCCGGCACATCTGGCCTGGTGAATGAGGAGGGAGGGGAGGCCCGGGAGGGGCTTCCCTGGGCGTCGGTCTCTGCCTCCGCTCCCGCCCCCGCTCCCGCCGCCGTCGATGAGCCAGGACGATGGCTCTGTGTTTCCGCCGGCTCGAAGTCCCGAGTAGATAAGACCCGGGTTGCTCGCGGCGAAATCGGTCGTTCCAGCGCGTCTAGGGCTGCGACCTCGTCGAAAAAAATCTGCAAGTTCTTTCTTTCCGGCGACGACAGTATGGGCCTGCCGATGGGTGTTGGCGGGGTAACCAGGCTGGGACTTGCTGTCGCCAACTGGGGGTTGACAGAGGCCTGACTGGGGGTGGCAAGTAGACGGGCAGGGGGAGGAGGCAGCCATGTCGCTCTGGGCGGCTCCGGTCTCGGGGGTAGCTCGGGCGGCTGCTCGGGCGGCTCGGCCACTGGCAGTACTAACCTGGACGCCTGGTCCATCGTTGTTTGGTAGTGCGTCACCAAGGGGCAACGTCGGGCCCATACTAGCCATGGTTGCAGGCCCCTCGGCAGTATCTCAGCTAGGGAGTCGTGAACGGCGACGAGTAGTTCCCCGAATATTTCGAAGAACAAGAAGCCAAGGGCGCAGTTGAAGTACTATCCAGAGCGCACAGTGGCGTGGATACCGAAGCTGGCTCTGTACAGGAGAAGTAACAGAGCGATGGGCAGTGGCCTGTTGAGCTTCCACCGAAAGGACAAAGAGAAGGGAGGAATGGAGACGAAAGGGAGAAGGTTAAGGAGGCGTAGGAAGAAGCAGATGTACAGTTGGACGAGGGTGACTAGAATGGGCCAGGTGACGGTTCTGACAGAGTGAAGGTCGGCCAGGGCTGCGTTGAAGCAGGTAACTGAGGCCTTCATTGGGAAGGAATGAAGGTGCTGAGCCTCCGATACGTGTACCGACTTGCGTCTTTCTTCTGAGTCCTGACCTTTCGTCACTTTACCTGGACGCAGATGGAGAAAAGCCAGTCGGGTGGCAATTATGAACAGAGTAAAAAGAGTGCAATAAGGGGGGCTTGTTGGGATTTGCTGTTGCTGAGATATAGATAGTGGTGTTGATGGTGATGGTGACGATGTTTATTTTGGAAAAGAGGAGGAACTGGATAACATGAACAGAGGTGAACGAAGAGAAAAGAGGGTTCTGGGATTCGGGACAATCACCCAGACACCCACAGACCACGGTCGAAGCTTCCTCGCATGGCGGGAAGCGAGGGGGTCTTTCCTTCCTACTGAACTGCCACTGCCATTTTAAAATTTAGAATCCCTTGTCTCTGTTGCACCTACTCCTGCTACCCTGCCGGATATGAGGAAGTCATGACTGGCACCAAGTAATATAAGGTACATCAAGATACACCTAACATAAGGTAGACCAAGATTACTTTAAGGTACCTTGCAGTTTGATCTTGGTAAGTTCTGCCCATGTACTTGCTCGATTTGAAAACAGTAAAAAAGTAACTCGGGGTCCTCATACATGTGTCTTGGTCGTGTATCTACCTACCTTACCTATTAGCACAACGTGCTTCTACTCTAGGTGCTAGTGCCACAAGCCACGATGCCAACTTCCAAGCAGCTGTGGTCTCATGACAACCATCTATGATAGCCCATGTCACGAACTTTATCTTCTTCCTTTCCATCTCTCTAATGCAAGGTACCTTATGCTTCCATCCCATCACAGCATCAGCTCTCTTCCTTCCTCTTGCCCATCTTCACCATCCCAACCCTGTATCTTGAACCGAAACAGCACATCGCCCTGCCCCTTCTCTATCGGGTTGCCGTTGGAATCCCACAATGCGCGCTCCCGGTACGAGACATTGCCGTCCCAATCCACCATGATGATGGTCTGCCGCTGCGTTCCATACAGACCCGTCTCGAACCCGACGCCGGTGTTGACGTTTGGACCCGCCTGGCCATCCTGGGAAGTCGTCGTCGTCGTCGTCGTCGTCGACAGCCCATCCGGCCGCGTCAGCTCTTCGGCGGCCCTCATATCTTTGACCTCGCCCTTCCCCTTGGCCACCGCCGCCTCCATCTCGGCCCTATGACTCGCATCTCCGATGGCGGGGACGAAGATGGACTTTTGGAGTTCCGTCACGTAGTCGGCGAACCCCATTTCGGGTGTCGCCGGCGGAGGCAGGGTGTCGCGGTCGAGGATCGCGTAAAGTCGCGCCGTTAACTGGTCTTCGTCGAGATGGTTGGCGATGGCGTCGTCGATGGCTTCTCGTAGGAGTCGCTTGCCGTCCGCGACCTTGGGCCAGGGGTCCGGGTTATCGTAGGTCGTGTTGCTGAGGCCGTACACCTCGCCCCGCACGTCAGCAATCCAAGGCACGTCGTGGACGTGTGCGCAGCGATTCGAGACGATGGCAATGGGTTCGAGGGGGTTCTCGTCCCGATTGGGTTTGTTTGTTGTTGTCCCGTGCGTCCCGTTCGTGGCGGCCGTCGCATTCGCTTCGCCCGTCGGCTTCTCCTCTTCCATCTTCTCCTCCTCCTCCGTCGTTGTCCCATTAATCACGACGGCGTGTGGGTGCGAGCGCACCTGCCGCTTCTTTCGAAGTTTCCCGGCAACCATGGAGAAGCCACCGACGCCCTTGACGCCTTGGTCCCGCACGAGCCGATGCACGTTGTCGGCGACGGATGCATCCGGGTCGGCGCCCAGCCAGGCCGTCACCATGCCGCCGCGGCTGCGCTGTCCGCAGACGGGATGATCGGCGTCTGTCGGGTCCGTCTCGCGATAGTTTGTGAGAACGGCGAAGAGGCCCTGGTCGGTGATGCCTAGCCAGGTGCCCATCTCGGCGCGTTGGAGATCTCGCGACGACAAGACGTTGGCGCCCGAGGGTTCGTGCCTCCACCAGTGTGGGCGGCTAGTCGGTCGGAGGATGAACTCATCCCGGTTATCTATCGCGATGAGAGCATAGTCCGGATGAGCTGTCGTGAGGAGTACGATGCACATTTTCGGCGGGTTGTGTCTGGTCGAACGTCGTCAATGCTCGAATCGTCTGGGCCGTTGGTGATGATGTAATCCCAAGCTGCGGGGTAAGGGGTATATTGGTGTGTCGTTGAGAGGATGAATGGCAGTTTTGCGTGAGAGTAAGCGGGGTTAGGGGAGATTGAGTCGATTGAGTCTCGTGAGAATATAGGAGGCCGCAGGCCGATGAATGCTGACTCGTATGAATGAATGATGTCGAGGGGTAAAGGTTGTGGTTGTGGTTGTGTTATGAAGCGTTAGCGGTTCTCTGGTTTCTCCAGGTATTTGCCTCTTATGAGAGAACTTTGGGACTCCACGTGGGCGTGGGGACGAAGCTTTTCCAATCCGTCTTTTATTACAGGAAGGAAAACCAATTGCAAAAGAAAAAGAAAATTTAGTGGGCTGACAAACATTGCCATCCATTCAATCAGCCCACCAGTGGTCCAGACATAATCCCAGGGGTCTGGGCTATATATCCGCCTCGTACAACCCGTCTGGTTTTCAAATATCGTGGTCCGATACCAAGCCGAATCCAATAAAAGTCGATGCGTGACCTCATGTAACGGACGTGCGTCCATGCGTGGACGTTGTGGCACATCCCGGATCTCACAGGAGACTGGCCACTCGATGGTCATCAGGGAACGAGCTCTAGGCAAGGGTTCTACGGACGACGGAGGACGGACGACGTGTTGCCATGGGACCTCCGACTCCGGCCTCGTCCGACGGGGGGGCGACGGGTGGGAGAAGACGAGAATGTCCAAAAAATTAAAAAAAATTCACTATCCATGTGCAGTGTAATCTTTGTCACCGGGAGGCGGTGACACCCAACTGTTTGGGACCAATGCTGGGCTGGGCACGGATGACTTTTCTACTCTATACGTCGCGTCCCGTGGAGCAGGAGAATCCAGCGCGTATTCGCTTTAGGGAGCATGCTTAGTGGGTTTGACCAGATAGCATGTAAGTTTTGGTTGTAGACTTTGGAGGAGCGCTGTAAAAGTCGTACGAAATATGGGAAATTGATTCTGCAAAGTACCTAATCACGAGGTGTGATGTATCGAAGGTCGAACAGTGATGTGGGGAAAGTGTGTGTGGATGTGTAGATGTAGAAGGAAGAATATCCCAGCCCAAAAGGGTAGCTGTGGAGGCTAGATATACCCGTCAACAGGTGGTGCCTGCAGGCAACCACGCAACATGATGCACTTTACGGAGTACCGGGAGTACATATGTACACGACTGTGGACATAATAAATGGCAGGCATTGTGGGGATTCTGTACTACCTTAAGCCTCATTTCTCAGCAAGAAGGATAGAAATAGAACCCAGTGAGCTTCCGTGGTGTGTTAATCATGATTTATTGTAGGTTGTAGGTAGTTAATAAGCGCAAAGATATAAATCCAAACCCGACGGCTATTGAAGATGGAGAAAAAATGGAGAAGCTTAAAATGACGAGCAGACGATCACATGCCTCTATTCTGTATTACGTAAGAAATGGTAGGGCTCAACAGTTGCGTCTCCACCCAAGCCAAGGTAGCCACAAGCCACAAGCCACAACGGCCACGCCACCCCAACGTTTTCTTCTCGTCCCTGATAAGCTTCACAAGCTCCATCACCACCTTTTTTCACCCGACTTACCTTGCCTTGCTTACACTTTACACTTCTGAAAACCCAATTCTAATGCCGTCCCACTCGTTTCCGTTCCCCGCCCTACGATTTGCCCCGGCACTTGTTAGCCCAGGCGACCGCTAAGGCGTTGACTAGCCTGGGGGGGCTGTCGCGGCACCATCCCGATAGTTCCGGTTCTAGGGGCACCTAAAACGTCCTCAAGCACTGAAGAATCCGATGCCAGCGCATCCTGAATTGTGGCTTCAGTTGCTTCCTATCGCCCTGCCTCATCGAACTATTTTTCACTGATGCTCCTTGCTGCTTGCTGGGGGCCATATCATTCTCAGCCGTTTCGGGAAGTTGTCAGGGTAATGACGATAAGCAAATGAACACGGTGCAAGACACCAAACGACCAATAACGCCTTTTATCCTCTGCGAAGTTATGCAGAAAGATGAAGTCGGGTGCGCATTCCCTGATCCGTCATCCTATCAGGTTTGTATTTCTTCCCGATGGAGCTGTGCCAAAGTCCTTTCTCGGGATTCTCACCATCATCTTCTCTCCCATCCCAGTCCTCTGGTTCTAGACCGCCTTGATGTGATCACCAGGGGACTAGGGGACTAGGGGACTAGGGAACCTGGGACCAGAAGACCAGGGGTATTCTGCCGCGCTTTAGGCTCATCACACCTGCCTTTTCAGGGATTATAGCGCATCACGGCCCTGTCTGGAACATACCTACCTACAACTTACCTACCCCCTATTTATCAACCAAGACGTACGTCAGCAGCAGAACCGAGACATCATCACCACCAGCTGTCAAAGCGTATTTTTGCCAAGTCAGCAAAGGATCAACCCATCGTGATCCCCTCTGTCTTTTCGGTGGTTCAAACTTCACCCTGCCGCGACGCTGCAATTGGCATAGTACCTATCACCAATTCTATTCGTATGACGGACTCGTTGACCAGAAGGCGCACCGTGATCACCGCAACCAGTGCAACAGCAGAGCACGCCAGCATGCCAAAGACCCTAGCCAAATGATCCGTTAGCTTCCCAACGACTGCCAACATCTGGATCGGCACACCGTGAATCTCATCATCCCCGGTCGCCCAAGTGCCGCCCTCAGCTCCCAACCCGGCAGGTCCATATCCAGCGCGACTTGTCAATCCGGTATATCATCCGAAACCCACCTGCTAACCCCTGCTGACCTCCGATTCGCCTTAGGGCTGCCCGCACCACCCCTCCGTCGTCCGTGTATGTCTCCGACTTGTGCCAATAAGGAAGCTCAAGGGGCCTTGGCCTTCATCTCACGATCCCATCACCAGACCCTTGCAGAAACACTTCAACATTGGCGTCTTAGACTGTCGCGCCCTCCTTCCACTTACGTCCATTTTTCGGTCGAGACGTTACACCGGCGATCCTCTCGCTGGCTCAAGTCGTCATGAGAGCCGAGACATCCCTATCATCGGAGGGACCAGAGTAGCCTTGGGGGCTAGATCATGAACGACGCCTTCGTCCGGGTGGAAGGGAGAAATTGGTCCCAAGTTCTAACCAGTGCACGCGATCTTAGCATGCCTGCACCGTCCCGTTGTATAAACTCGTCTGTGCCCCCCTCAATGGCAAGCGGCTGAAGGAACGGCATGCCCGTTTTGCGGTACGAGTACGAGTCGGTCGGCCATACCTGGACATCGGCATCGTGATGCGTCTGAACAGCCTCATCCTCGGCCTCCCCCTCGCGGGGAGCGCCCTGGCTGCAAACCTCGACCCTCGACAATCTACCCGTATTGGAGAAAGCGACGAGGGTACAGCGCCTGTGGCTAAGAGTTTCATCATCGAGTACTCCCGTGTATGCACGCATGCCTCCTTGCACTGGCGGAGAAGAGAAGACAACTAGCAATCCGATCCGTTCACGCTTCCGTACTGACCCACCTACTCTCTTCTTCAGGCAGCCGTGAGAAGGCGACAAGAGAGCCTGGCCTCTGACGACAACATCACGGTCGTCAAGACCTTCGAGACCGATATCTTTTCCGGCATCAGCGTCGAAACGGACACCCACAACATCGACAGTCTCTTGCGTCTCCCCGACGTCGTCAACGTATGGCTGAACGAGGAGGTTCGTCTCGCCCCCATTGAGGTCCACCGACAATTTAGCGACGACGCTGCCGCTGCCGACTATTCCACACATAACGCCACCGGAGTCTCCAAGCTGCATGACCAGGGCTACTTTGGCAAAGGGGTCAAGATTGGCGTGGTTGACACGGGCATCTACTACCTTCACGAAGCTGTGAGTTGCCGTGCTCTTTATCGACTTTTCTATTTCGGCATGCTGATGCATTCGAATCACCTCCTTAGCTCGGCTCGGGTATTGGTCCTGGGTTCAAGGTCGAAGGTGGCTACGATTTTGTTGGCAACGGCTGTGAGTATTTGGTTCTCGAACTTTTGGGCCCATGTCAAGAGACTAACCGGCGAGGATCAAAAAGTCTGGCCTTCCGAGCCTGCTGAGCCGAGCGATGACCCTCTCGACTATGGGGGTCATGGTACCCATGTTGCTGGTATCATCGCCGGCCAGACCGGTTTGTGAGTTTCCATGCTGCACCTCCCCTGACGATAGTGGCCTCCTATAATAACATGACTCTGACATGTATACAGTTGGAAGGGTGTTGCCCCTGAGGCAACTCTCTATGCCTACAAGGTTTTCTCCCAGTCGGTGCGTTCCGACCCCCCTTACTCGTCGTCTTCACCCTTGACTCGGAATTCCTAACTAGTAACTCCCATCAAGCCGAGCACCACAACGTCCGTTTTGATCGAAGCCTTCCTTCGTGCCTATGAAGATGGTGTAAGCACCCTCGTGACATTCCTTCCTGCTCCTTTCTACATTGGTCGATCCGGTTTCTCAACTCCCACCCTAGTGCGACATCATCACCGCTAGCATCGGCGGCGCCAACGGCTGGTCCAACAACCTTTGGGCAGAAGTGGCCTCGCGTCTCGTGGAAGAAGGCGTCGTCGTCACCATTTCCGCCGGTAACAGCGGCGCAGCCGGTCCGTTCTTCGGTACCTCGGGCGGCTCTGGCCGCAACGTCGTCACCGTGGCCTCCCTCCGGACCGAACTCTTCCCGGCCTCGCCGTTTGAAGCCACTTTTTCTCTCGATGGCGAATCGAACACCACCAAGGTCGGCTACTTGCCAGCCACTTTTTACTTCCCCCCATCCGTGGCCGGCTGGCCCATCGTACCCTTGACGCTGGACACTTCCGTCGTCGATGACGCATGCCAGCCTTTCGGCGAAGACGGCCCAGACCTGACCGGCAAGGTCGCGCTGGTCCGCCGTGGCACCTGCAACTTTGCGGTCAAGCAGCAAAACGTCGCTGCTCTGGGCGCCGAGTACGTTCTCATCTACACCGACGACAGGCCCATCGTCACCCCTTCGACCGACCATGAGACCACTCTCCTTGGTATGGTCACGGCCGAGGCTGGAGGAGCCATCATCGGTACCATTTTGGCTGGCGGCAACGTGACGGCCGACTTCTCCGTCAACCCGGAAGAGGTTGTCGGCCTGGAGTACCCCGCGGGCGGTCTGCCTAGCACCTTCACCTCCTGGAGCGCCCTGTACGATTTGCAGATCAAGCCTGACATCGCTGCCCCCGGCGGTGACATCTTCAGTGCCTACCCCAATGGCGAATATGCCGTCACCAGCGGCACTTCCATGGCATGCCCGTACGTGGCCGGCGTTGCAGCGCTCTGGATCAGCGCATACGGCGGCCGCGAGGTCCACGGCAAGGGCTACGCCAAAGAACTGGGCGAGCGTATCATCTCTAGCGGCACGTCCGTCCCGTGGTCCGACGGTACGGAGACCGACTACGGCCATATTGCCCCTGTGGCCCAAGTTGGAAACGGCCTCGTCAACGCCTTCAAGGTGCTGAAATACGACACCGCGCTCCGGTTCGACAAGATTGCGCTCAACGACACGCGGTACTTCAGCCGCTATCACGATGTCACCGTCACGAACAACGGCGAAGAAGCCGTCACGTACACCTTTTCGGCCGAGCATGGTGCTGGTGTCGAGACTGTTGGGTGGCTTCCCACCGTAACTGGGGGTTTCACGAAACGCCTCAAGCGCTTTGTCGAGTTGGTGCCGATCGACTTGGAAGTGGACATCAGCTTTCCGAGGGCTTTTACTCTCCAGCCAGGCGAGAGCAGGACCGTTTCGTATGTGGCTTCGGTTTGGCTTCACAGTCGTGGTGATGCGGAGTAACAACGTACTGACCACGAGGTTTGCAGGGTCAACTTCAGGAACCCCGACACACTTGGCTGGAACGCCACGGCTTTGCCCCTGTATAGTGGCAAGGTCATCGTTTCGGGCAGTAACGGCGAGCGACTTTCTGTTCCCTTCTTGGGTTCGTATCTCGACCGCCTCGTCATCCTAGGGTGTCCACTGACCGTATGCTAGGTCTCGGTGCCGATTTGAAGCGTCAGACAGACCCCATCTACCACAATGGTTACCCATTCTCTGTGTCGGGGGTGAACAATGTGGACATTAACCAGGATTCATCGTACGTTCTTTCTCCCCATTTGGGATCCGAAGGGTGGACCGTTACGCGTTCGGGGCTGACATTCTGGACCAGGTATTCCTTCGACCTGAGCGTCGATGCACAGGACTTCCCCAAGGTCTACAACCGAATCAACTGGGGCAGCCGCCAAGTTCGTTGGGATGTGCGTTGCCATCAATCCCCCTCCTCATCCCCTGAACCTGCTTGGCAGACCTTGTTGTGACTTGAAGTAACACTGTGTCTTCCAGATCTTCGAGGCCGGTTGGCGAGAGCGCAATTGGAAGTATCCTCCCGTAGAAGGCGAGAACGGCTACATCGGCCCGGCGGCGGGATGGAGCAGCGCCGGATCGGTCGCCGTGTTTAACCCGGCCATCCACAACCCGAACACCACCTTCACGTTCCCGATCACGGACGTTTACCGCAATGCCGAAACGACGGCCATCGAGTTCCGATACTACTGGTTTGGCAAGCTCGGCAACGGGAGTCTGATTGCCAACGGCCGATACAAGTATGGTTTGGCCCTGTTCCTTCCCTATATCCTCCCCTTGTTCACCCCTATTCCCCTATTCCCCTCACCCCCTTTTCTTCTACAAATTCAGAACGACAAAGATAATTCTGGTGGATGTTTGTGTCGCTGACTAGAGCGTGCAGAATGCGCTTTGCCACGCTTAAACCGTTTGGCAACCCTCATGCTGCTGATAATTGGGACGTATTCCACACTCCTGAGATCGAGGTCACGGGTCAGCATTATTGAGCGTCATTGTTGCGGGTTGAACAGACGGAGTCACGGAGAGGTGAGGCAATGATTCATAAACAGGAGCAACACAATATTGCGCATGTCTTCTAGAAATAACGTATATTTAGCAGGGCTCCTGCCCGTATAGAGATAAATAACTATGGGTGGACTGGACGATCTGAGCTGAACACCTCACACCATTCAAGTCTTTTATGTCCCGAATTGGTGGCTTGCCGTGTGGGTTCACCGTTCAGAGCTCGGCCCTTGGCTCGCATTCCTTGGTCACCTGGAAGTTGACGTCGACAACAACGGCGCGGTGGTCAGAGATCCAAAGACCATCGTCAAAGCGGTTCTCAACGACACCGTACGTAAGAAGGTCCATGTTCCGAGCCTCCTTCCTCCAAACGAAAATATGGTCGATACGACTCAGGGAGCTCTGAGGGGGGTTGCCGGCATGGAAGCCAGTGAAGGTGTAGAAGTGGCCATGGATCCGGCTCTCGCCCACCACGTGGCGGACGTCATGGTAGTGGCCCGGGGCAATCATCTCGAGGTAAGCAGGGTTATCGGGACGGATGTTGAGGTCACCGCCGAGGAAAACGGGCGTCGCATCCGCCTCGCTGGCGCCCGTGCTGCTGCTGGTCGACCGGGCATACTTCCGGGCAAGACGCACGAGGAGCCTCGCGCTCTCGACGCGGGCGACCTGGCCGACGTGGTCGAAATGAGTGCACATGTAGACGAAGGGGAGACCGGACTTGATGTGGCGCAGGTGGGCGACGGTGACGATGCGCGGCAGGGCGGCGTCCCACCCCCGGGAGCCCGGGACGTCCGGGGTCGGGCTGAGCCAGTAGGTGGTGTTGGCGAGCATGTCCCAGGTGTCCGGGCGGTAGAAGATGGGGCTGAACTCGCCGCAGTTCTTGCCGTCGTCGCGGCCCACGCCGACGTGGTTCCAGTCTCGACCCAGGCCGGCGGCGACGTCGGCGAGCTGCGTGGGGACGACCTCCTGCATGCAGACGAGCGACTCGGGGCGCGCGGCCGTCTCGTAGTTGAGCTGCGAGAGGAGCGCCGGGAGGCGGTCTCGCCATCGCGGCTCTGCGGCGCCCGGGTTGTTGGTCGCCAGGCGGATGTTGTAGGAGATGAGGCGTGGGTTGACGCTCAGCTGCGTGGTGCAGGCAGCGACGGTGGCCATGAGGGCAGCGGCCGTAGAGAAGAGGGCGGCGGTCTTCATCTTGACTTTTGACGCTTTTCTTTGCTTGCCTTGTGAGAAGTTAGAACAGGCGGTCGGGGCTTGTCTTGTCTAGTGGGCTGCGAGAGCATGGGCCTAGCCTGATGACGGACTAGGACGCTCTGTAGCCTCTGTTGGCAGTTGCAACTTGCAACTCGTGGGATCCAGAGTTGGGGAAGGACAGATATTTACGTCGACGCCATTCGTACGAAAAGGATACTTACCGTGGTCTTCGTCTCGCTCCCTCGCCCCCCCCCCCTTCCTTTGCAATTCCTACATACTCCATGTCACATCAAAACGTGCGTGTCGGATCACTCGGGGTAGGTCTTTCTTGGCACGACCACGGTCCACAGGGTGAGACTGAACGGTAAGATAGGCCTCTTCGTCATAGGACACCGAAACCACGCGCACGTGTTGCTGAAGCCACAGCTATCGAACAGTGTTGACTGAAGGTTCAGGAACCAGGAAGTCAAAAATATGGAGCCAGAGCTACTGGTGGTTGCAACTTGCAACCTTCGGAGCGGGATTCGGGGCTCACGTGGGGTTATGGCCGGTGCTCATTCGTCCGAACACCCAACACAATCCCGGGGCTGCGGGTCCGACTCAGTGGAGACATGATGACATCCAGATGTGGGATATATGCATTATTCATGGTCTTTGGATTTCTGGCACTTTGTGTTACTCTTGTTACTCTTGCATGCGTAGAACTTCTTCTAGCGTGGCGCATGTACTATATTAGTCGAATGGGAAAACTGCCCTGTATCATGTCATTGGCGTTGCCTTCTGGAATGTAGGCGAAGCCAAGGAACCTGGAAGACTGCTAGACTTGGTATATCAGGGACTGAACCACGTGTGTTACTAAACCGTATCGGATCTCTGGTATCGAGCAATATGTTTTGCCATAAATAAGGATATTTCTCCGTCGGAGGATTTGCTGCGATGTTCGGTACCAGATGTTGGGGCTCTCCAGGATAATATAGCCGACATTTGTGCTGGTGTAACTTGGACCTCTATAAGTCGACCACGGCTCTGATTACCCGAGGGCGTGGTAAAAGATGTTCTGGGGTTAGCTTGATCGTAGATGGAGGGCTTTTTGAGGGCGTGCAGTTTGGATCCTGGTTCCGTATATGGCGGCGGTGTATGTCTACAGTCTCGGTGAATATTTCGATGACCGTTCCGAATCGCTGCTCTCCGAAAGAAAAGACTCCACTTTCCCTGCGGCTTGGATGGCGCCTTGATGAAGTCCTCTTTGGGAAACCAAAGTCTGTAGCAATGTAAGTACGTAAACCCATCAAAGTTTCGGGGAACGTGGGCCTGGCCTCTGTATACTGTCTCGTATGTTCAGAGCCGATGACTTCCCAAGAAACGGCCACTAGTATAAACAAGTGGATGGCGTTAGAAGGGGCGAAATTGGGAAATCAGATGACATTAAGGAAGTATCTAGTGTTTGCCCTTCAGCTGGTATTCTAAAAACTTCGAAGTATCCACATCCAACCTCAGAGGATCGATGTAATACATGTAGTACAGATGATATGGCTGATCACTTGGTTTTCGGGGGTTCGACCTCCGGCCCCGGCTTTGTCGCGGTGATGGCAACGTAGCGCCAGTACTTTTGGCCCTCCAGTCCTCGTGCACCAGCCACAGTATTAATAAAATAGGGCTCGAGATGGAACAGTTTGACGAAGAAATAGGGGACGATGGCCAAAGCCCAGAAGAGCCGCAGCATAGGTCGCACGTTCTCCGAATAATCCTCGACGACGACGTCGCGAAAGCCAGCCTCTTCGAGCAGCTGTTTGAAGTAGCCCTTCTTAGAAACCATGTTCATGGGCATGGCGGCCAACTCGTTGACCTGGTGCATGGGACGGGCCAGGTGTCCCAGGACTTCCTCCGACTCGTACTCGTGGTCGTATTCGAACATGGCGATGCGGCCACCGGGGCGTGTCACGCGGTAGAAACCAGCCAGCACGGCGGCCGGGTCTGTAGCGTGGACGAACGTCTCCATGGTGTACACGCCGTCGTGGGACTCGTCTGGAATGGACTCGAGGTGGTGGTAGTCCATGCGCGACACCGTGACCTGGCCCTTGGGCAAGCCTGATCGCTGCACATTGCGACGCGCCTTCTCGACGTGGTGTGGGGTGAAGTCAAAGGCGGTGACGCGTAAGCCCTTGTTGGCCATGAACAGGGCGACGTGGCCCACGCCGCACCCGGCATCGATGACTTGCGACCCGGGAGGTAGGTCTAGACGGGTATGCATCTTCTTCTCCATCTTGCGGAGAGCCCGACGAATAGGGAACGGCCATCGCGTGTCTTTTTCCCAGTATCCAAAATGTCGAGTGCCTCCGAGCACCAGGCGGTATCCAATGCGAGACTCGAGGGATCCATAGTATGATAGAAGCGTGGGGTTGTGGTTAATCAGAGGCGCATCCGCCGTCGTCGACTCCGTGCTCATGGTAATTTGTGTCTGCGTATCTGCAGTTTTGTCTCTCTTCCTCCCAGAGACTTGTAGCGATCGATCGAGGGCGCAATGGACGACGGACGCGATCGGACACAGAATCGAGTAAACGACCGGGTAAGGGGGGCGAAGAGCGACTACAAATGCGACTGTGTGTTCTGAAGAGAAACAGATGTTAGCCAAGTGTAAAGATTCATTGACGAAGTTTTATACCTGCCATTCAAATTGATTCTCGACAGTACGCAGGTGGCTGTGCACGCCGTAGTCTCGGTAGGGTGGAAGGGCGGCGATTCAGCAGTGGTTGGTGTGTCGAGTTGGGAGGGAGAAAATGGTGAATTGCCCCGAGTCGGCAGCAAGTTTGGGATCTCGAATCCGCCGCGGAGATAAGATAAGAATAGTTACCTACCTAAGGTACCTTAGGTACCTTTGTCTATACCTTAGTACACACCACTCATGCATGGCTGCCTTAGAATTGGGGCGAGGCAGTATCCAAACGCTGAGGCGTCAAGAAGGCTTGGTCGCTTCAGCCAGTTCCCGCTAATCACGGCAAGCCTTAGCCGCCCATTACCGCCCGCGGGGTCCGGCCCGGACGCAATTAAGCGGGACCGACTCCGCATTGAACTCCGTCGACCTCACCCGGAGACCAATGGCAACAACGGCAGATAAATCAGGTAATCGATACGATTTTTGGAGACGCATCGCGCTCGTTTCATGATACCGAAAGGACCAACGACACAATACATCACTCCAATATCGTACTGCAAGACTACATTTAGAATTTCAGACATTATGCGACCACGCGGCCAACATGGCAAACAGCGATCTTAACCTCTGGGCGCTGTGTGGGCCCCTGCTGACTCTGGGTTCAAAGCATCAGCGTTCCCCTTCCCGAGCGACAAGCGAGAGTTATGTTCCCGATGTTTTGCTTTCATCGCCATTCGCTTTTTCAGAAAGCAGCGAACAGTTACGGTTTCTCTTCCGGAGAGAGGAATCTTCTCCTTCTAGTCCTTCGTTTGATTTTCCTTCCGTCTCTGGTCGTTTGATTCCCCAGGCTGGACCTCAGGGGGATCTCCCGTATCGAATACTCTCAAGTTCTCAACACTATATCTATTATCGGGCAGTCTCCGTGTTCAACCCACGAGAGAAATGCCTGCTTTCGGCAACACCACAGTCATCAACAATACTTCGGCAGCACTCTCCAATGGCGTCTCTGACATCGAACCGGGCTCTGCCATTGTGGGCTGGGTGAGGGCCAGTGATGATCGCGGCACTGTCGACATTCTGTTTTCTTGCTGCCTCACCATCGTTCTCTGCGTCTGGGTTTCAACATATCCCAACGTGCCATCTCCTCAAGACCGCTGGTATCACCAAGTCAGGGATAAATTCAATCTTGCTTGCATCGGATTCCTGGGCCCCGACTTCCTATTCGGTATCGCCATTGGCCAGTTAACGAGCGCGAGAAGGAGTGTTAAGGTCAGTCAGCTCCCTGTCGCCCAACTCACATCTCTCGTAGTCTGTTCCCTCCCAGGCTCTCCCCTGGTGTAACCTGGTTGCTAATATGGGACCCGCATAACTGCAGATGTTCCGCGACAGTCCCGAATTGCTCGAGGGACGCCTATGGACTCTGACACACGCCTTCTATGCTGATATGGGGGGATTCATACTCACCAGTCCCGACTACCCACTGGGATTTCCCATCGATGCCGAGCAGCTATATTACCTCGTGAAACACGGCCATTTGGACTTCCCACGGTTGACCCTGGATAGGATCAAGGAGAAGAGCAAGGCAGACACGCTCTCCAGGTAAGCACATGATGGTCACCTGCGCACCCGGCGCCTACAACTAGTGTCAGACTCGTAACGATTCCTCGTCCTCTTTCGTTCTAATGTTCTGTGTTCCCTTCAGAATCCTTGTCCTATGGCAAGTTATCTGGTTTAGTGCCACGGAGTTCCACCGCATCGCCAACGGCCACCCCATTACTACCCTGGAGTTGACGGCCTTGACATTTGCCTGCGTCATGGTCGCGACTTCGGCAGTCTGGTATTTCAAGCCATCCATCGCAAACGCAGAAATCCTTGAGACGAGGGAAGGGCGAACAGTCGCTTTTATTCGAGACTGTGCTCGACACAAGGTGAGACCGAAGCCTCAATTCCTCCCTGAGTTCATCTTTGATTCTTTGCAAGGCAACTCAACTCGGCTAATATTGAGTTTCTTTCATTCAACAGACTCACCCTAACCTACCGATCAAGTGGTACCGGACCCCACTTGATTTCATCTCACGCCGTAACTTCCACATAGACAAGCACTGGCAGTACTATTCACGTCTGACGCACATTGTCGGCGTGCCGTTCTTCAGTCGCGAGGTCAGGACCGTCCCCTGGGACCGCTTCCCCTCCGATACTTGGATTGCTCCAGAGGGCTGGATCATTCCTTTTGGTCTCCTCATCCAAATCCCGTTCAGTCTTGCCTTCCTCGCCGGCTGGGACATGCACTTCCCCTCCGAAGGGGAGATGTGGGCCTGGCGGGCCTGCAGCATCTTCCACGCCGCCTACTCTCTCCTTGGCACCGTCTACTTCATGTTCGGTTCACTTCGCGGCAGGGGCGAGAGGCTCATCAGCCTCCGGACAGTGGGGGGCCTGGTAAAGAGTCAAAGCGACGTCAACTCTGGCGCGACGCAGAACCATACGGAGCTCTCTTCGTCTTCCGACTTGGAGTCACAGCTGGTGCAGGACGACGTTACCCTCAATGGCCTTGGAGCCCTCCGTGCGAAGACAGGGGCGGTCAAGCCCCTGAGGCGTGCGAAGACCGGGTTCACAACGTGGGTTGCCCGCTGGAGGAATATCTCGCTTGACCAGGACCCCGATATGGAGGTACCGCTTCGATGGATGGTACCCTTCCTCATACCGACCTTTCTGTATATCTTTTGCCGCCTTTACTTCTACGCCGAGGACTTCATCGCCCTTAGACAACAACCCGAGGCTGTGTACCTTGGCCATGAGCGCTTTATCCCTTTCTTCTAATGTTATGATGATTAATTCACCAGTTTGCAGTACGATAAGACGGTTGTTAGACCTTTGGGATGTTTAGATCTTCCTTGTCTACCTACCGCAGGGGTATTCCAACAGAGCAAAATGAATACCGATGAGCTCAGCCAAGACTTGCAGCACTCAATTGAATAAGTTACCCATGAACATCTCGGAATCAATATGAAAGGCCATTCTCGCTCTATTACGAGCTAGAGAGCCAATTAGCTAGCGAACCAATTCTGTATAGAGAACTATTAAGTGGGTAGTCACGAGGAGTGGAAAGGTAGTAGCGAGAGGGTAGGGAGTAGGCGTGGATTAAGTGGTAGTTATAACTAGTATAAATATAGGTAGTCCCGACTCCCGACTCCCTAGAAAGTCAGAATAATCGCTCGCCCTCTTTACTGAGAAGGATATATTACTCTAGCTCTTAAGCTCCTATACCCTTGCCGGTATAGTTAAACGGATATCGTGAATAGATACCTACGCCCTAGTCTAGCCTACGGCTCCGGGCGGCGGTATCGGCCTAGGGTAGTAACGGCTATCTTAGTATAGGAACCTGTCGTGGTCCTGATATGGTCCTGGCCTGGCCCCGGCCTCTACCTCCTAGGCAGGGGCACCTGATAAGAACCATCAGACTATAACCACTTATTTACCTTATACATTATATTACTATCGGCCGAAAGTTTCAACGAACTTAACTTGGACTGTCTCTTTCCGGGGACCCGGCATACTGAGGTAACTCAGGTGAGGCTCCAGGCATCAATGATCAGATCATCAGACTACTCCAAGTTGAGAGCAGAGTCGCAGACTATTTTATGCTATTTATATCGACTGAAACAAGTCGTGTTTTTGATTGGCTTCTGTCTTGGTACCCGCAGGAGATTTCTCGCTGCTTTTTAAGGAGAAGAGGGGCATAGCCTGACTTGTCTACCTTGCCACTGTTTCGTTTCCCCCCATGTTCCACATACGATCTGAATGCCTCCAGCGAAGTCATGGAAGCCCAACTCTGCCAAGTGTGCCGGGGCATATTCATAGGCGAGAAGGTGCTTCGGGAACCTCGGCCTCATCACCAGTCCAAGAATGATATGCTTGCGGCGGCGGCTGAAGGGTGTCGGCTGTGCAAAGTCATCACCCAGAGCCTGGGATTTGGGCACCTTGAGTCCAGTGAATCACTGGAAGCAGTGTGGTATCTCTCGCCCCTACAAGACGCGGAGAGTCACCATGATTCGAGTTCGACTTGCCCTTGGTTTCGGTTGACTATAGATGCGATGGACGAAGACGACGAGATAATCGACACCGAGAACGATTTAACTGATTTGCCTGAACGGTGTCAGGATGTCGATGAGAAAGGACATGTCCGGCTGCCCAAATCGGGGGCAGATATAAGAGACCCGGATATACCGAGCTCGCCTCCGGCATGGGCTTTCACCCTTATTCCAGCGACGGGTAGGCTGAACTGTTGGAGAGCAGACAGAAACGAGCTGAAGTTTTCATTTCTAATCAACATCTTTCAGATCCTGCGGTTGCAGACATACAATATGAGCCTCCTTCAAGCCCTCAGGACCCTCGGATGTGGTCTCTAGCCAAACAATGGCTCGAGAAATGTCGGAGCGGTCATGCAAAATGCTCAGAATCACGGAATCCCACTTTTTACCCAACAAGACTCGTTGAGATCATCGACCACAGCACCCTTCGGGTTCTCGACTGTAACAACAGAAGACCATCGGGGCCTTATGTAGCGTTCTCCCACTGCTGGGGCCGCGCCGAAACCCTCAAGCTCCTCGAAGAAAACAAGGCCCGGCTGGAAACCAGCATCGACATCGACGAGTTGCCTCGGAGCTACAAAGAGGGCATTGAAGTTGCTATGAGGTTCGGCTTTAGGTACATCTGGATTGACTCGCTTTGCATCATCCAGGACTCTCTGGACGACTGGCGAGCCGAAGCGGCCACCATGAAGGACGTGTACAACAGTGCCTCGCTCACAATAGCCGCAAGTGCCGCTTCGGAGAATTCTGAAGCCAGTTTCCGGCGGAGGGATCCCGCTGGTATACAGCATATCCGAGTCAACCCGACCTGGAACGGCATTCCGAAAGTGCAATATGTTCTAGCGAGCATGGATCTCTACCAAGATGAAATCGCACATTCTCCACTACGCCGCCGCTCCTGGGTTATTCAAGAGTATTACTTATCTTCACGCACGCTAAGTCTAACCCGCTCCCAGATCTGGTGGGAATGCCGCGAGACAATGTACAGCGAATCGTGGCCGAACGGGGTTCCAGAGAGGTTGCGTCACACAGTACGTGACGACCAAACGCGCGAGGAACTGCACAGAGAAGGGCTACAGGGGGTAGGAGGCTCGGGTTACGGGGCTTCCTATTATCATCGTCTCTGGTACAATCTCGTGGAGAAGTACATGAGCTGCCGACTTACCGTTTTCTCGGACAAGATGATCGCGATGGCGGGTCTTGCCAGCTATTTCCAGCCCAACTTGGGGGACGACGAGTACGTTGCAGGCCATTGGCGATCTCAGCTGCCCCAGTCTCTCTGTTGGGATACCTTTCCGTACTTGAGTCGCCCTAAGGTGTACCGGCCATCCCAGTACAGAGCACCATCGTGGTCCTGGGCGTCCGTCGAAGGCGACGTGACGTTTCAACACAACACCCACGATGCAGATGGAAGCAACACCGTCCACGTTTGTGAAGTCCTCGAGTTTAAATCCGTCAAGGCAGGTCCGAGTCCTACTGGAGATTTGAGGGGGGGTTATTTACAACTCAGGGGCCGCTTGTTTCCGGTCAAAATCAGAGAACAATTTCTGACTGTTCCGGATGAGGGTGGCGATTACGGCTACATCAAAGGGTCCGCCGAAGATGAGAACAGAGTCACTGACGGAGATGATGACACGACGGGGGCCAGCCTGGACGAGTTCACAAGTGACAACTGGCCTGTGGTGTCGAGCCTTGACACCTCTGCCGTGGACGTGCTAGACAACGCCGTTCTAGACACGACGAGACGTGTTGCAAGGCTAGCGCACGAATGGGATGGTAGGCTTTTCTGTCTTCCCCTGATTGAGTGGGTTTATCTTGAAAAGCCACGACTGCGAGGCATCATTCTAGGCCATACCCGAGGGGAACCTCCAAGCCGCTATCAGAGAGTAGGATTCTTCTATTGCGAGGGGTCTATTACCACTTCTCACTTTGAAGGAGGCGAGGTTGAGGAGTTTTTTGTTATTTAATATAGGCGAAGTTGCAACTTATCGAGCCGTAGTTAATCAGACTAGACAAGAGTAAGTCTAGTAGCATTTCCTTTGTGTAAGTATGCCATGTATATAGTTTCGTTTGTACTGCAAATCAAGCCCGGCTGTTTTAAACTTCTAGTTTATCCTATATTCCTGGTACAAATGCGAAGTCTAGGTGTCTCAAATGCGATAAATTTCAAGCTTAAGATAACCATTTCTATTAATTATAAGACTATGCTTATGCTATACGAGGTAGTTTCGAAAATCGAAACTTTTCGCAGTATGATAGTATCTGATGAATCAATTTTAGTCAAGAGCGACATGTATTATGTGATAACTAAGACCTGGCTAACTAATATTACTATCAACTGACATTACTAGTTCTATTACTCCTTAACTTACCCATACTCATATTTGATATAACGCAAGACGTTATTGATGTAATCAATTTAATACACTATTATCTATTCAAGAAACAAAGAGGGATGCGCCTGTTCCTGTTACATCAAGCAGAGTAACAAAGCAAGCCTCACAAGAAACCACACATATACGGCCCGGGAAACTGCAGAACATAAACCCACAGCCCCCAGGGCGAAGCCCGCACCTACCTTTCCAACTACCTTCACGAAATTATCCTATCTTTTCTGCACATTTACTTTTCCAATCGCCTGACTAGGTAAGGATGCACCATTCCCATACTTCAAGTCTCTTACTGCTTCCCGATTTCTTACGTTATAGATGATAACCATACCGACCGGTCTCTAGCTGTATCCGAAATGCCTCTCGCCATCACATCCGAGTGCTGGGGCACTTGGGGCGCTGTGATAGAGGATCTTGCCGACAACTTCGAGTTCCCAGCTCGTACTTTTGAGACAGTCAACGGATACCTCACCATATTTACTGGTCCAGGCAGCACACTGCGCGTCAACACAGAGATGTGGAAGTTCATCCTCGACGTAATCCGTCAAGAGGATTCCATTGTCGACATTATTGCCATCACCATTATCTCCAAGGCTGGCAAGAGCTCCAATACCCGTGCCGGTTGGGTTATTACGCGGTCTTGCGCGTCCACGGGACCATCCTGGAAGGCGAGGTTGGCCCTCCTGCTTATATTACGAACAACAACAATAGCAATGGTCACGACAGCGGTTTTCGGCCTCGTTGGATCAAGGTTACAAATGGAGGACGCAATATCATCAACTGCTGCACAGCCGAGTGTGACGGTCCTTTCAAAAATTGCAAGTGGAAGGTTTTCGACTCTGCGCGGATGCAGATCGTCAACCAGGTGCTTCGGCAACAGAACGTTGCTTTGAAGGAGGAGCGAGATGAACACGATAAGGAGAAAGAGCGCATGCGGCGCAGCAGAAACATCAGTAGCAGTCACAATGTGAAGCTCTCCCGAGAGATCACTCATCTAAGATCGGAGGGATTGCACCATGAGCTGCAGAGGTGCAAGGAACAACTTGCTCAGCGAGAGGAAGAAATGCATCATCTCAGGAGCCTACTGGCCGAGCACGAGCGGACGATTCGAGCCCTTACGGAAGAGAAGATCAAGGCAGAGCAAGCCGCGACCACCCTTGCCCACGCCGCCGAGGCTGTGAAGCAATTTGAACTTACGGATCCTCTCATACATCGATGCGACCAGAGCCGGCTCCGGAGTTTCCTGCAACTACGCACGATAGAAATACAAACACACAGGGACAAGGTTGGCAGGGAAATCATAAACGGCAATGGAACTATGGGACTGATGCTGCATCTCCGGCTCAACCCCATTCCTGGTCTGAGCAGTCCGGAACCTCGTTTAGGGGTTCGACTTGGCGTGGACGGGGAGGACGGCGTGGTCTAGGTCCAACGCCTAGGGCGCATGCCTTGCCGCCGAGAGATCCCCAAGCTCAAGTTATGCCAACGCAGCAACCCCACGTAAATATCGGACCTTGGACTGGATTCAACGCTAGCCATGGTCATAGAAAGGAATACAGGAAGGTCCAGAACCCAGGCCTTTCCGCGGGGCCGCAGAGCATTCCAGATGACAATACACCTCCGTCCAAGAAACGCATGGCGAAACAGAAGACGGAAGGACGCTAGGTGAGTTCTGGGGAAACATTCGGTGGGATCTGAAATGAAGAGGCTCTTGTGAGCAACGTGGGTTGGCTGGGGCTCTGCCTCTCTGACCAGCTGTGTTCATTGCTAGGCTAGCCCCTGAGTCCAAGACATGTTAAGCTTCAGTTAGGAAAGTAGCCCAAGAGATGAGGATATACAATGGGAAGAGAAAAGAAGAAGAAAAAGAAGAAGAAAAGAAAGACAGCACGGTCAACCATGAGCCCCTCCAAGAACATATATGCACAAGAACATGTATGCAGCTTATCCATTGTCCTCCTGATCGGATCGGGTGTCGCCGGGACCGCAACGCTGGAAGCTTGACCCTGGCACCCGCACCCGGGCCCTGGCCCCACCATCAGGCCATCATCGAACGTTGCTTCAGTCTTCAGTCACAGCACAGCGCGACGCGATTGAGCTTCAGCATCAGCTCACCTTAACTCCAATGGCTTGATGGTTGATTTCCCAAGTTCATATGACGTCGTCGGACGAGGGGGAGGATCAGAAGTTAGAACCTCAAATACTCCTCCACCAGTCCACCTCGAAGCTCCGTCCTGGACTCCTGACCGTCCTCCCCCCGTAACACCCTGTTCTTCGACGTACTGCAAGGCAAACCATCGAACGCTCGAATTGTCGACTTCCCTTTCTCTAGGTTTTCTTTGAAAAAATTTCTCGAAACTTACCTAGACAGAATCTCCATCGTCGGAATTCCTCCACTAGGCAATACAGTAATAGCAGACCACACTGGAATCGTGGACACCAAGGGCTGAAATGAAGAACCATCGCCATATAACGCACATTAGTCGGGAAGATCTCTACACAGATCTCGAAGCCCGCATTCGGTATCTCCATTCTTTTATAGATTTCAGCAGCAGTACGTGGTTCTTGTTCTCTACTTGAAAGGGCCCCCTTCCCCTTCCCCCCCCTTTTTTCCATCGTTCCGGGACGCCCCATGATCCTTGACCATCTTACATCTCTCAACTAATAAACCTGGTCTGCAGGAGACATTGAAGCCCTCATAACCGGCGCCAAATATGTCAGAGCACTCATCCCCGCTGTGGTCAACATTGTATACAAAAAACTTCTCCAATACGACATCACAGCCCGCGCCTTCACGACGCGATCCACGAGCTTCGAAGGTCCCATGGACGAACAACCCGACGAAGACAGCCCACAGATCCTCCACCGCAAGAAGTTCCTTCGCGCCTATCTTAACAAACTCTGCTCGGACCCCAGCCGCATGGAGTTTTGGGAATACCTCGACAAAGTAGGGTGCGTACATCCAACATCCTGTGCTCCCTTCGTCTTATCCTCCACCCCTCTCAATATTCTGCTTTCGTTTTCCAAGTTGACAACGAGCTCCCGAACAGTATGATGCATGTTGGCCTAGGAAGAGCACATCCCCTCCACATTGAATACGTCCACCTGGGCATATGTTTAGGCTTCATCCAAGACATCATGACCGAAGCCATCCTAGCACACCCGCGACTGCAGCTCCAGCGCAAGATCGCCCTCGTCAAGGCCCTCGGCAAAGTCATATGGATCCAAAACGACCTCATGGCAAAATGGCACGTTCAGGACGGGGCCGAGTTCGTTACGGCCGGTGTTGAGGAGGTGGTCGTCGAGGAGGAAGGGTATCTCCACGGCAAAAAGATCCTTGAAGAGCTCGATGAGATGACGACGCCAGATCGGAAAAAGTCAAACGAGACAGGGGAGGCAGGGCATCGTGGTAGCGGTAGCCCGCCCACTTCTCCTTCCAGGTTACCAAGGCCGTCGTCGACATCGGGTGGCGTCTGTCCCTTTAGTGGGTTGGCCAAGGGGGTCGGGGGCATGACGTTGAAGGCTGAGGAGACACCCAGGGTCGAAGTATCTCGCACGGAGCAAGCGGAGGCTGCATCATAAAGTGTGAAATAATCAAGTTCAACCGCCCTTTGTTGTGATTTTCTTTGGGTATGAGTTGGACATCGCCGCATATCGCTTGTCTTCAGGATTCAGGATTCAGGGGTATTTTGATCAAAGCTACTTTTCTCTTGTTTCTGGGCTTGGAGTTTGTAATTTCATCTGGAACTTGAATCCCTTATTATGTCCACCAGTCCCTCCTCCTTGGATTAATCTCCCTTACAAAAAAATCCCCGAAGGAATACATCCTCATATGACTTGTTCTTGGACTTCACTCCAAGGTGGAGAGAAGCATGAACGAACCTGAAAGGTAATACAGCTGGCGACAGCCGTTCGGTGAAGAAAGCTGACCGGTGGATCTCACGACTCACCGACCCCTTATTCACAACCAAATGCAGAATGCCAAGGCTCCTGTTAGAACATCATCCGCCAGTCAAGAACCACACTGGGAACTAAGATCCTTCCAATTGTTCATCTTTTCATATAACAACAGACTCTTCTTCTCTTACCAACCAACATGACACCCGACCACTTATCCAGAATCAAATCCCCCTGTCGGCTGTCGCCATGCCACGACCTTCGCTCATCCGACACGTCGCCTGCAAGCTCCTTGCCGTCCTTATTTTGCTTTTCATCCTAACCCACATCCGCTGGCCCTTCAATCGAGCTTCAACCCATAGTCATGGCGCATCCCGATCAACTGTCGCATCAGACTCCCCCGTTTCCCTCCACAACCTCCACTTCCACGGCCAAGGACCGTGCCTTCCCCCCTCGGCATCCCGCTCCGCCCTGCTAAACAAGGCCTCCTCCATCCGCGAATCCTGCCGCGCCTCTTCTCCCTTTTCTGCTCTCCTTCCTGCCAGCGACGCTACCACCGATCGAGGACCCCGCCCCCGCGTGGCAACACTGACAACCCAATGGGGCGACCCGAAAGCCTACTACCAAAAAGCCATCCAGACGCACCTCGTCCACGCCCTCGTCCACGAGACCAACCTCCACCTCCTCTGCGCCCCGACCATCCAGGCCCCCAAAGGCGCACCCGATACCCTCGCCAATCGGCTGGAGATCTACTGGAACAAACCCGCCCTGGTCCTCTCCGTCCTCCTCTCCGAAATGGCGAAACCCAAACCCGAAAGGCTGGACTGGATCCTCTGGGCCGACGCCGACACCATCATCCTTGACCACTGCCGGCCCATTTCCACTTTTCTCCCTCCAGAGCTACATGACGACGACGACGACGCCGAAGCGGAAAACGACGGCCTCCCCCACCTGCTATACACAAACGACATGCTGGGCCTCAACAACGGCGTCTTCCTCCTCCGCGTGAGCACCTGGTCCGTCAACCTCTTCACCGCCGTCCTGGGCTTCCGCTTCCTCCGCCCCACCGTCGATCTCGACTACCTCGACCAGACCGCCATGGAGATCCTCATCGCCGAGGACCCGCGCTTCCGCGCCCGCGCCCTCGAGGTGCCCCAGACCTGGTTCAACGCCTACGCCGACCCCAGCGGCCCGTCCTCCGCCCGCGGCTACGCCGGCGACGGGGAGGCCCAGCAGGCGCTGAAGCTGCGGGACTACCATGCCCGTCGCGGCGATTTCCTCGCCCACTTCCCCGGCGATCCCGAGAGGGAAGCCTCCATGACTGCGTGGCTCGACGCTGTCGACCGTTTGGGGAACGTGTGGGCGTCTGGCCGGGTGCAACGCGACGCGTCGGACGATGTGGAACTGTTTTGGAACCGATGGGCCGGGAGGAGGAGTAACACCAGAGTACCAGTGTCTTGATACGATCAACATGGGTTGTCGGTATATCTGTATGTCTGTGTCAGTGTGTCAACCCGTAAGCCTTGCGAGAGAAGCTGCACATCTCAACATTGATTAAAATCACCGAATCTGATATCAAGAGCCGCGGGCCTCAAGGGACTGAAAGGAAACACTCATCATTGCAATCTAGGCTTATGAGACGAACTAGGACTAAGTTCGCGTTTAATGATGCGGTACGGTATAAAGGGACCGGTAGCAAGCGTACAGTCCACCGCGGGATCACGTATTCCCCTAGCCTGCTCTGAGTCTTGGTTATTAGTATAAAGGCTGACCGTAGCGCAATTGCTCCTCACCCATTTCCACTTACCTTTCACCCCTTTCTTATACTTGTGCCATTCTGGTTGCACATCTCCCGCAAAATCTCTTCCCAAGCCCTTATAGTCTGGTAGCATTCAGAGACCTCGTGATGCAGCCTGACGATGCGCCATGGACTTGATCCTCCACCGAGGCCACACAGAAATCGTCTCCTAGAGTGTCACTGCATGCTGCACGCAAGCTGTTGACGTGATCCATGGCGACCTTTCCTGGGACGATCGGCGGTCCTGGTTGGAGCAGATATTTCCAGGCGATTCTGCTGGGACGTTCCCGGTGTCTTTGCGCTGTCTTCGAGAATGGTGGAATCTGTATTCGGGATATTCGGGTGGGTGGGGACGTCGCGAGGGCCTTCCTCAGCTTGCAAAGCCATCCTTGTTATCCAGTTGCTGCGGCTGTGAATAGTAGGATTGAGTTGTGGTCATCGGCCCGTTAACTCCATCGTTGGGACGCATGCTTGTGGTGTGTAGAATGGGATCGCAGGCGGGAGACTATGTCCGTTCGATTTGGTTTTTCAGACCGAAGGAGATCAGGTCGCAAATACCATTGTCGGCGAAATTGCCCCGCGGATTTGGTCTGTCATTCTTGTCAGTCACAGATACGGCCCGTTTCAAAGGCGAGTCTGGCGAGGCTCACCTCGCATCCCCCCCAGCGCCTCAAAAGCCATAGCGTAGTTCTCCAACGCGGCAGAAACGGACGTCAGTCCGCTCTGAAGCCGTGCTAGCAGGCTCTGCACCATGGGCCCGCCCATTCCACTCTGCGGATACATTGTCTTCGTCTTCTCGTGCACCATGAGTAGTGCGTAAGCAGATTGCATTGCGCAGCAGGCGAAAGACGGCATGGTCCTCGACGCCACAATGTCCGACGTCGGACCCAGCAATCAAGGAGCAAGACACAGCTGACCGGAAGGGTTGGGATACGGGATATCATCAAACGATTGGGCAATGTTGAGGGCCGCTCTGAGACAGATCTGCGCAGATTGATGGCTCGTGAAAGGAAAACCAATGCCGGTTCCGGGTAGAACATCGGAATGCGGTGATAGGTGCGAGTGCGGTGATGCAGAATTCGCATCGGAAGACGTACACATGGCTTGCGCAGACAAGGCGCTGCACGCACATGACGGCCAATGTTGCAGCTCAGGAGCACCACCGGCTCCATCCGATTTGCCTTCGAGGTCGCAGTGCTTCCCGCTGAACACCGGGGCGTCGGAGAAGGCGCAATATCGGTGGCATTTGATTCTGGCACTATAAATGGACGTCAGTGATTCCGCTGTGAATATGCCGCGGTCAACGAACTAGATGCGGCACGGTCAAAGCAGCTACCTGTTCAGCTTGATTCGAGCGATACACCGAATGGCACGTGAAACCACCTCTTCTGTCGGGTCAACAGGTGATCCGATAGAAGAGGGTAGTATCCAGCTATCGGCCCTGTTGGTCAGCGGCTCCAGGGAAAGTTCCAGCTCATGCATTCGTTCGTAGATGTGATTCATGTCGCCCTGATCGGCGAGAGTCTTCTTGAGGCATCGGACAAATTGAGTCGCCTTGAGGATGGCTTGCTGGGCTTGAATGAGGATCCCGAATCCCTATTACCCGTTAGCAGTGGTGTACTGGGAGCGGCCTGAACTCCGTAGGAGTTGGGCATCAAAATACCTCTGGATCGGATGCTAATGTCGGGTATTTGGCGGTGAAGCTCGGTGCGAGGGCGACGAAACTTGGTTCCTACGGCAGCGTAAGCGCAAGACGTCATTTCACCCGAGTGTAAAACAAGACTCACAACGCTGGCGACGATGGCGCTTTGACTGGCACAGATGTACTTTAAGGCCCGTCAGTTCCAAAGTCCGCGATTCATGACACCTCTAGGGGGGCAAGGCAAGACCAACTGTCATCCACCAAACTCTGCTTCTGGCTTCTGTGTACTCATCTTCTTCAGTAGAGCAATGCAGAGACAACTCCATAGCTGATAGGAGGGCTTGGCCCGCCCTAGCCTGCATCTTTCTGATATTACCGCGCTGAGCATACTCGTATATGCTGAGTATGTCCAAGGCGACAATGCTCTCCAGCTCAGCCGGAACAGCCGAGTGAAATGGGTCGCGGACCTTCTCGCTTGGTAACCTGTTTAGGGCTTCGTGAGGCGCAACGGAGGACTCGAGGATCTCATTTTCGTCCTCAATGGCCTCGATGGTACACTGCGCAAGATACTGAGCATACTTTCGCCGAAAGAGTAGGCTTTCTCGAGCTGCAGGGTTCGGGTCGTTGGCACACGGGATGAGAGCCAGTATGGCTGATATGGCCAGACTGATGGGTCTTGAAAGAGCAAAGCTGTGCTCGAAGCGGTCTGTGTCTGTCTGGAGCTTCGGGACTGCTTGGTCCGTGGGTATGCTTGTCGGAGGTGGCAGAATGGGGAAGTAGGGGTGGATAAAGACGTAGTAGGCATCGAGTCTTGGGTAAAGTGAGCACGAGAACTTGGCCGGCACCCAAACCAAAGTGAGACTTACATCGCATGGTCGCTCTTGTATGTTCTCACTGTGGAAATTGGAAGATTATCGAACCCGAGAGAAGCGTGGGGAAAACCGTCGCCATTGGCAATTGTACTTGAAACGCCCGGCATGAACAAGTCGTCGAAGATGAAGTCGCTGTCTGGGAAGATATCCTGGAGCTGCTTCAGACCTGCCCCAGGGTCGACGTAGTCCTGCAGAGAAATGGCTGCGGTGAAGAAAAAAAAATGTTAGCCGGATGCTGATGGACCGACCGAAGCCGTTTGACTGGGAGGTGGAGCCCACGATGCTGGTGCACTTCCTCGTCCGCAGAAGTCGGAGAGATGCTCGGTTGTTGCTGTGCCGTATCTCCTGCTTTTGCTTTGTTCCGTACTCGGGCACCTCCTCTCCTGCTGGGCTTGTACAGACACTGCCGGTTCCTGATACGACACTACCCAAGGTCTGTGTCAGTCGGTATGAACAACTCTAGCCTTGAGGAGACGACCGACTTGCTCATACATTGGCACATGGCTGACCACCATCGCAGCGAGTACGAGATGCTCGACTATAGTATGTTATTAACTGGTAAAAAAAAACGTGAGCACCAGAGGCTCGGTCTTGCGGTTTGAAAAGACAAAACATACCATGCGAGGCACGCATTCTTCACAGGCGGGGTTGCGAACTTCTTCCTCCTTACGCCTGGTGCAGCAGCCGACTGCGCCGCCATCTCCGTTATGGGATTCGTCATTCTATTTCGTGCTGATACTACCGGGGTGCGTTGTGTCTAGGCCTTCCGACGCCGCGCTTGTGTCGTGGGTCGTCGCGACTCGCAACGGGCCAAGGGATGTGAGTGAGTAGCAACGCAGCGGCCTAGAAGTCACGCGAGCTTCACTCGTCTCCGGGAAAGCTTGTAGTGAAAATGCGAGGCGTCGAAGTGAGTTTCGAGAGATGCCAAGGAAATGTTCAAGAATCAAGTAGGTAAGCGACGGACACTGCTGCATAAGAGAGGGACATGGCCTTGCTGTTGGTGAGTTCAGAGAAGAAGTAGCAGATGATACGACGCAGGTCCCGACAGGGCATGGTGTGTGGATTACTCATCATCTACCATCTACTAATTCGGACGACCAAAAAAAGAAACCAGTCACATGTTACATCACATGATCTCGCGCTCCGTCCTGTATTCATTAGGTACTAAGAAGTTCCACAGACTCGGATACGCGCTTCGTCGCCAACCATCTCACATTCCAGTTCCGATAAAAAAGACCCTATGTCTTCGCGGGTGAAATTCGGAACCCAGAGCAGTAATACTGCTGGAACCGTTGGGACGCAGAGGCGACGTTGATCTCATTGCTTGCCGTGTGACCCACAGCTTGATCGTACCAAAGGCCAATTCCTGGGTGGAAAATTGCACCGGCGTCATCGACTATCCGTGGAAAAAGCGTAGCAATAATAGGGCCTGCAGTTGGTGAGGGCTTCCGAGTCAAACCGGTTCGGCTCTGTGTGTTTCTGCCAAGCTCGTCCCATTCCCGAGGCGGATTCTCGCCGTAAAAATTGGGCTCCGAAGATAGGGACTCGGTCGATATGTGGTCTTTGGATATCTGTGCACGGCACCAGATCTCAAATGCCCTCTGGAATAACACCCGGACCCTGTCCTTCAAGTCGGCAATGTGTGTTGGCGCTACCAGAGGTAACAACCATCCATAGATGCTGTCCAAAGCCCGCTCCACCACAGAATCCCGGACGGAACTATCAGTGCCAGTCAATCCGAGAATCAGACATCGGAATATGACCATGGATCGTCCGCCTCGTCCAGAGAGGTGGCTGAGCACATTCTCAGCAGACTGCTTGACGCTTTCGGGGATGTAAAACGAGCAGAAGACGAATTTGATCAGAGCGTCCACGAGGCGAACTCGGACAGCAGCGCGGTACAAATGTGTGGTACTCGGATATGTACTTGAATCCAGTTGGATATTCCCGTTCTGAATGGGAGGCAAGGGGATCTTCTCGGTAACTGGGTGCGTCAAAAAGTCGCGAGGATCGTACAACTGGACAGAGATGTTATGTTTGTTAGGACAAGGCTAGCAACCCGGAGACAGATTTAGTTGGACTGAACTTACCACCTTGCCTGTGCGAGGGAGAAACAGAGAGACCACGTCTTCACAATCCTTGGACAACGCCTCGAAATCATTCCGTCTAGTAGTCACTGGTCAGTATCTTTCCAGGTGTCTCGAGAGTCGAGAGTGTTTCCACCAAACTCACAGTTCTTCCCTATCGTCATCATTGAAAGCCTGCAGCCGTCCCTCACCCACGTCATTCTGCAATCTTTTGAGCGCGGACTGCGACACATCGAGCTTCGCATGGTTCAGCTCAGACACTTTCCTAGCCTCCGTAAGACTCTTCTGGAGCTCGTTGTTGGTCTTTTCAAACCCCCCTAAGCGGCTTTGGAGCTGGACTTCTTCTTGTCCTACCCTGTGCAGCTCCCTCTCCTTCTCGAAAAGACTCTTCTGGAGCTCGTTGTTGGTCTTTTCAACCCGCCCTAAGCGACTTTGGAGCTCGACTTTTTCTTGTCCTACCCTGCGCAGCTCCCCCTCCTTCTCGTTAAAACTCTTGTGAAGCTCGGTGTTGAACTTTTCAAACACCCTTAACCGATTTTGGAGCTCGGCAATCTCTTGTCTTACGCTGTGCAGGTCCTTTTCCTTGTCCTTAAAACCCTTCAAAAGTTCGCTGTGTTCCTTCTCAAATGTCTCCAAGTGCTTTTGGAGCTTGCCAAAAAGCGTATATAGTGGCTCGGTATCACTGTCGACTGCTACTCGATGGGCGAATCTCAGTCAAAAATTCGTCATAAGAGTGGCGTTGTATCTCCGTGCACTGTCCAGTTTCTGTCCCAGTTCCCTGATTTTGGCCTCCTGTGCCTCGGATATAGCATGATTGGAAACTCTAGGCATGATGTGTGACAAGTAGGTATCTGTCTGTCGAACGTCGTGTGTCCCTCGAGTCGCGATCTTTCAAAGGCCTTGTCTGCAGAAGCGGAGCGCTGCCATGGAAGGGGGATCTTGCCCTTCTTATCTCTCTTGAACATTCAATGCCCCGTTTGCGAAATGGTGGTATGCGTAGGTAGGCAACCAAAGGATGGCGAATCGCAAATTCCGTGTGATCCTGGTTCGCAAGTGGGGTACATATGCCGGAGGCCGACCACATGCAGCGTGCTGATGAATGGCATCGAGAGGCAGACGCTGTGTTACGTCCATGGCACAATCACCTATGTGTAATAGGTTGGAGAGTGAGGGAGCTTGAAGAACACGCATTGAGCTCTTTCTTCCCCTGCACTACTTACCTACCAGATCTGATAATGCCCGCAGCGATAATGGCGATGCCGGCGATAATTCAAGCAGCTGGCGAGTAGCTTAGGATAAAGGACGAATCGTGAGATGTGCAGTTTGAGGTCAGCCTGCATATCTGGTCGGGAAAGATGAGGATGGAAACTTGGCCAATCCGTGCCATAATACCCCAATCATCCTTCAGACCAACCCGACGTAGTTCTGACACCGAAGATTGCAGAGATGCATGAGCCCGCATGCGTGCACCAGCCTACAGGAATCGAGATGGACAACCATTGGTGTGTTGGACCTGCCTGATCACCGTTCCAAAACATAGAGTTCGACAGACACCATGTCTTGGCCAATGACAGGAAGCGGCAAGGCCTCTTTCTCAATAACGGACCAGCCCTGGCTCGCCATGAGGCCGTGCAAGACCTCCTCCGAAGAATGACGCGGCTTCGTCGCCAGAAGAACCCACGTCGTTGACGAACTGCCCAGGACGTCCCGCCATGTCGTGTTGGCTTGATGCAGTGCAGAGAGCGTCCCCACGAGAGCCGGCAGCATGTCGACGTTGTAGGTGCAATCGCTCAACACGATAAGTGGCCAGGGGCGAGAGCGGACTCGGGGACCAAATGTGCCCTGCCGTCCCTCTTCCCAATCTAGACTCTCGAATTCCGTCGGACAGGTAGTTCCCGGGGACGACGGCAGAAATCTGCGAGAGATATTGGCCAATGCCCTTTCCTGCGCATCAGGTAGGTCGGTCAGGAGGACGAGGGACCGCGGCCGTGCAGATTTGGATAGGGAAGATGCCATGGCGAGGCCGAGAATGCCGACTCCACATCCGAGTTCGAGGACGTTCAGCGGCTGGCCAGAGGCGAGGCGCTGCCGCAACCTGGGCAGGCATGGATCTTTCACGGGGGGGGCTTCGTTGTGGAGGAGAAGCGAGGCTGCGACCAAACCTGCGTCCCAGATATGGCGGGCAATACTCTCTCCGATGTCCTCCTCAAGGTCAAGACACATCAACGAGTCCTCTCTGCCGATGCGAAGACGGCGGACAGAGACGTGTGGAGAATCCGTTCCCGGGCTATGGACGTCGGCCCATGCGGGCATGATTCTGCCAGAATCGGCATGGTTCAGGGAGTTGACAACGTCCCAAGTGCTACCGGCCCATGACTGAGCGGTTGGGAAGACAAACACGCGAAGAGAGACGGATGTCTTGGGAAGATTGAGGTCTGACTTGAGGACTCTGGTACCCGGGTGCCATTCAAGGATTCGGGAAGCCTTGATGTCGGCGGGGCCTGGTTTCCGGCCGCCCGCGTCGGCTGCCGCCTCATATATGCCAGCTTTGAGCTTGATGGGGTCCTCAGGACTGAGGAATGAATCACCTAGATCGGTAGTTATGGTGAAGGATATGCTCACGGCTGACACATCGCCCCGGGTGTGCGAGAGCGAGGGTGGGCGAAGGAAGCGGATGTAATGCATTTCGGTACCATAGTCAGGGATCGATATAATCCATCGGACGCGACCACTGTCGATTGAGAGGGGGTCTAACCGGATCGCAGGCGATGGAATCCACAATTAGGCAGTGGAAATACGAAATATCTCAGTCGCTTACTAAGGCCCCGTTCGACAATCTCACTAACTTGGTAAATCCCACTAAGTTGGCGAAAAAATGCATAACTCATGACCCACCGATAGCATAAGAACCCCTTTTGTATAATTATTTTAGTGTAACTGCATTTTTTATGCATTCCTCTATTATCCCCCTATTATCCAGGTACCACGCTAAGCAGGGGCCTATTAGCTTGTAGATTTTACTATGTTAGTAGGATTTTTATATAGGAGGGCTTAGTAAAGCAAAAACACGCTAATAACTTAGTGTTTTTTTTACTAAGATAGGGTCTATAATTACCCGCGCCGTAATTACGTAGTAATAAGGCCCTAGGTATAGGTAGTAAGGCTAACAACGATACTATCGCTACTTAAGATAACGGAACTATTAAGTATATCACTAAGTAACCCTTCTATAATATCCTCTATACTAATAGAACCCAGGGCCGCTATATCGATATACGTAGTAGTATTCACGATATTCTACACTAGCAAAAAGTAGTGTCTTTTACATACGAAAGACTTAATCCTGCATTACGGAATCGGCTTAATAGTTCTCCGATATAGCTCCCTTATTTCTGCATAAACAGATATATCGAGGCTAAGCGACGGCGTTAAAATAGCGCCTTAGTAGCGTTATCACTTTCACAAAAATCGTGGTGAGATTTCACCAAGTTTATGAAATTGTCGAACGGGGCCTAATAATAAGGTAGTCGGTCACCAGTAAACTAGTGCTACCACGGGAGTTTTTGCAACGATGACCCCGAGCCGAATTATGGTAGGTTAGTCATCAAGTTTTTGACGTGGGTCCGAGCTGTCGTTTCGAGCATCGAGCAACCCAATCTTCCCTCGTTGTCTTCCTCGCTGGTATTTCTTCCTCTTTCTCTCTTTCGCAACTGGTCAAACGGTCGATAGTGAGGTACGACTAATCACTCAAAACACAAGCACTCGACCCGATTAGTCGTATCTCACTATCGTCCGTTTCCCAGCGATTGCGACTAACAACGCAATCGATCCACGTCGGAAGTCTCCGCAACCGGCGGGCAACGGCGCTTTATCGAAGACGCGGACAGCTCCGATACCAGCGATGGCAGCGATAGCGGCGATGGTCCCCAGGGATTGTCGACGTAACATGCTAGATCCGAGGGTCCTATCTTCATTGCCCGAATCTTAATCCTGCCACGCGAAGAAACAATCGAATCGAACGACGTGATACCTGACGACCAATCGTCCAGAAGGAAACCGACCGCCTTGTTGATGAACGACCGAATAATCGCAATGGCCCCCTCTCACCCTCCCGAAGACCTGCTCGGTGCCCTCCTCGGCACCACCGAATCCGACATTATCCCCCTTACCCACGCCGGCGTCAGCTCGGGAAGCAAGGTCTTCGGCGCAGCCATCCTCTCCTCGGCGTCCCTCAAACCGTACACGGTAGCGACGAACGACGAACGCGCATCGCCCCTCCTCCACGGCGAGATCAACTGCATCCAAAAATTCTACACCTCCTTCTTCCCGGACCCCACCAACCGGCCGGACCCCCGAGGGGACTGCGTCTTCTTCGCCACCCACGAGCCCTGCAGTCTCTGCCTGAGCGGCATCGCGTGGTCGGGTTTCCGGGAGGTGTACTTCCTCTTCACATACGAGGACAGCCGCGACCGCTTCGCGATCCCGTACGACATCGACATCCTCGAGTCCGTTTTCCGAGTCCGCGCCGAGGGCGAGGCTGACGACGCTCTCGAGCGCCGCGCATTGTATAACCGCGACAACAAGTTCTTCCAGGCCCGCAGCCTCGGTGAGCTGGTGGAGGCCGTGCAGGACCCCGTGGCGCGCGAGCGCTGGCGGGCCGAGGTAGAGAGAGTCAAGGGACTCTACGATGGTTTAAGCGAAGTATATCAGGAAGGCAAGGCCAAGGGCGTCGAAAGCTCTAGTGTGTGGAAGTAGGCCCCAAATTTTCTCTACGGGAAGAGGAGCGCACTGTGTTGACGATGCGGTTGGGGAGGGGGTGTGTACATGGGAAGGCGTGGGATGCAAGCTGGAAACAGCAGCCCGCGTATGTAGGCCTGGATGGCTCGGGAGTTGTGATGATAGACTACCATCTAGCGTACCTTTCCGTCGGCGAATCTGCGTGCGATGTGACGATCACTGCCAGGATGCGCACGCGGGATCGCATGTCGGGCGAAGGGACTGAAGAGTTAGGGGTAACACGAAAGCAGCAGGTGTGCAACGAGCATTGGCCTTCGTCCCTGCGCCATTCCCTCCCTAAATAATATCGCATTTTATCCTATGGTTCCCATCCTACAATGACCGAGCAGAGATGTAACTACGCCAACCTGCTTTGAAGATTCACGATGTCTATTTTCAGCAAGTACCACACCACTCCAGATGCATTCCCTGCTGTTATGGGTTCTACTACCACCTACCTTTAGGTAGATGTCTGACAACTACTAAGCTGCCTTGTGACGCGAATCGGCAACCGCAAACAGGTCAGCCCCTCATCCGATCAGCGTCACGTCATCAATCTGTCTACCTATTCCTGGAAAGGAGGAGACGCTTCTTCCTTCCGTGGGATGCATACCTTTTGAAGGTGTGATGGTGGCATCTCAATCATCGCACTGCATTCACCGGCCACACTTCACGCTTCCCTCTTTCAACCAAGTATATATATGTACGGAATATTCTGCCATAAGGTAGTTAGGTACATATGTCCTGTTCCCGTTCCCGCATGCTTACCCCTCCATTGCACGGACACTGCCCCTGGTCCCCCAAATCCTCCCTTGGTATCCAGATACAAGTCATCCATAAACCCCTTCTCTCTCCAAACCTCCCAATCATCTGGATAAAATCGAGCTTCGGTTTCTTCTACCTTTGCCTCCCGGGTCTTAAGTGGCTTTCTGGATGCGTCAGACGGTTGTTGGTGGATGAATCCCCCAAAATTCCCTTCGGATCCTAACTACATCTGTGCGTTTAACCCTCGAAGTGCACTTTGAAGACCGAGCGAGGCTGTCGGCTCTTTCGTTATCGCGGAGGGAGTGCGAACCGCGGAGTCCATACAATACCTGGCTTTACTACCTATGAGGACATTAATGGCTGGTCGTACCAATATTTTCAACTCTCGGTTTTTTTCGCCTGTGTTTCCATCATCGCGATGACTTGCCGTTACCAATAACCTAACCAACCCCTTCTGATCATCATATAGATCGTAGCTTTTTCGTAGCTTTTTCTTGATTTCTCGGCATCGCGTATACCTTTAGCTATGTGCCACCGCTATCCAAACCCTTAATACTTTACCTACCACACACTTGAATAGCCCGCACTGGGATACCAACCATACAGAGTACCCGTGCGTGCCATTTCGTCTCCTCGTCTCTATTATGTCTGTGACCGACTCAGCTGTCCTTTCCTCTTGTTCTTCTTCTTCTTCTTTTTTTTTATTAAAAAAGAAAAAAGAGAAAAAAATCCTTTGTCCACACGTAGGAGTAAGGGATGCGGTCAACTGTCGAACCCTATCAGCCCATTGGTCATTGAAGCGCCCGTCAGATCTTTCAGACTGATTACACACTCACAGATCATAGGGCTCGTACCTCATCATGGAGGGTGTACAGATAGATGATATCTTTGTTCCACCCCGTATCGTCGACGGAACCGTCCTAGACATTCCGAGATTGTCATAGCCATGTCTTGCTAAAAAGGTGGTCGACGGGAAGCTGGTCGGGTAGAGCCTTAGATTGTGGCTGGTGGTGTGCAACCCATTGGAACGGGAAGCCGTTGAGGAGGCCGAAATAAGCGCCGGGGGCTTTCCATCACCTCCCCATCCCGTCATTCCTTCGCACCCAGGTTCCCACTACCACACCCTACGGTAGTCGAAGATCATGCGAGATACATAATGACAGGATGGAAGGAATATAGGCGTAAGAACACGCCCGAATGTCTTTACCATGAACCCTGTACGGCATCTTGACTTGAATGTCACATCGGATGGGTGACTGATTTCCTACGCCCCCCCAACCCCTTTCAGGCTTGCTTTCCCTTTTCCCTCGAGTCCAAAAACAGCGACGCACTAAAACAGAAAAGAAGCAAACTCCCAGCCACAACAAGAATGTTCCAAAAGCTGGGCATTTCGGAACCAATGGCCAAGACATGCATATGCAGTAACCGTACTCGGCTGAGTACAGGTCCCCTTTTTAGAATTTATCCTTTGTTCTCAATACTACCTAAGGTATCTACTGTATTCCCCCATTTCCGTCATCACCAAGGGCCGAAAAAGCATATGGATACAACTGCATGGTACTGTACGTACGGTCTTCCATGTTCAACCCGGTTTTTGATAGGAAGGCGGGAAGAGACAAATGGGGCAATGGATGTAACGACCAAAATGGGACGAGCGATAAATTAGTGTCGGTCTACTTTTCCCTTGTTTCTGGTCATAGCAAGAGATACGAGTCCGAGAATCCAATATTTTTGGTTCTCAGATCGTTCAGAATTATCGTTTTCTGTGCGACTCGGTAAGACGCAGCAAAGATGAGATTATTATTGCTTTTTTCTTCCTTTTTTGACATTTATGCACACGCCCCTGACATATGCAGTACGGAGTTATGCCCATTGCCTAGGTACCGTACCCTCAGACAACTCGGGTGAACCTGAGCGAAGTGTCCGTACGCCGTACGACAGAGGTGGGGTTCGGTGAGTCTCGGTGAAACATTCTGTTCCTCGACAATCTTGCTTTCGAAGGTTTGTCTCGCACACCATCCACTGCAAGTTGAAGTAAAAAGCTAGGACTATCATTTGTCTATCTTCTGCTAGAGCCTCTGACCAATGGAAGTTTATGTGAGCCCCCGGGACTTCACGTCGCGATCAGGACTTGAACCCACCACTCCTTCACCCCTTCTCCTCCGATCCTTTGGGGGGCATGTAACATCGCGTAACTACATACACAATGAAGATTGCAAGTCATCCCATCTGGGATTTATTGTTTCATTATAATGATCCAACGATTCCTGTCACATCACATGGAACCCCAACCGCTTAGGTATCGGGGAACCCTCCTCGCCAAGCAGTGAGCCCCCTTGTCCATGAAGTCATGCAGAATACCGCGTGACATGGTACCGCGGGAATGCAGCAGCTCCCTGTCAGCCCACCCAAACCCCTCATCACGCATCATCACACGAGACGGACCCTTCACAAGCAGGAAAGTTGCCACTACTGTGTGGTAGATCATCCCGCTTTGCGCCCGAAGCCGTCACTACGAACAAGTAAACAACCACATCTCTACTTAGGAAGTAGGGTGTGCGCATAGAGAGAACGATGCGCATTTTGATTATTGACCAGAAGCGTAAACGAACGCGGAAAGGCATGCGACTGGGATGACTGTGGTGTTCGGAGTAAGAATGTATATTGTCCTTCTATCTATCATGTGTCTTTCTAACACGCACCCTCTTGCGTCTACCCCGCGATAACAAAACCAAGAGCTCAGGAAGGGTATATCCATGCCAGCACAAATCTGCCCCCAACCTCCTGTCGGACTCGATTCATCAAGTCAGAAGAAGAAGGTCTTTGACAACGCCACCCGTGCGAGTAGTAAAAGAGGAAGAAAAAAAAAACAAAGGAAAAATAAGAAAGTGTTCCAAGGCCGGGTCAACGAACGTTGACTCTTGTGCCTTCTTTCGCAAATGGTCATCTTGCGATGGTAGCTGTACTAGGTAAAACCGAGAACCTGATGGCCGCGATGTAAAACAACCCTTGATATCTTCGCTGAAATCAGAAACAAAGGAAAAGAGAATAATAGATAAATCAAAATCCTGGCCTCCCATTTTTCCGTGCCCTGTACTTTTTGTGGACTGGCGCCTCGCAAATGATAAAAAATCGCTGGGAAGACTGAATTCCATGGCCTCGTATATCGACGGTAGCTCTCCTGCTTTCACGCACCCTCCTCCTTGAATCCGTGGGGCTCTGCAACGGACGGCCGGGTATCATAAAGGAAATTCCTCCAAAAGAAAAGGGCCCCCGGTGTATGGTAGCTTGCGCATGATTAATGTTTATAGGTAAAAGAGAGAGAACCCTGAAAAGCCCCACGCGACGACGATGAAATAAAAATCCCTGGGTAAATCCGGAAAATAGTCCTAATGGTACAAATCGGTCCCCTGGTCTCTGTTGGTAATACTCAGATGGATGTAATGGCGGGTTTGAAGGCCGGTCCTTGGGGCAGTGTTTTCCTCGGACAAGAGGGCAATGGGTCGACATTGAAATCCCTGGGCCATACCTTGGCAAAGGCAAAGACAAAAAAAAAAAAAAGGTGAAATGAACCGGGCTCATCATTTAGTGGGATTCCGGATAATGTCCTCACAGTTAGCGTCGAAACGGAGGTTGAAGAGACGGACACCCTGCATGAACCGCTCCGTCTTGTCCAATTCCCGCTCTCGACCGAAAAGGGTCTCGACGAACTCGACACCGGCGTTCTTGCCGAGTTGGGAGCCACCCTTCTTGGTGCTCGCAGCCTTGAGCATGGGCTGCTCACAGGCCTTGAGAAGCTTGCGAAGTTTGTCCTGGAGGCGTTCGCCGGAGTCGATAAAGTCCTCCATGATCTCCCGGTTCTCTTTGGAGCGAACTCGTTCGACACATTCCTCGGCACGCTTCACCTTGCCGGACAGCTGGATGAGAAGCAGCCAGAGATCGCCAGCCACCTCCGCAATGGGAGTAGATGGTCCATGACGGTAGACGGTCCAGTCGTAAATCCACTTGCCCAGGGAGTTGGCATCGAAAACACTGCCCAAGAGGAGAATGGGGTCCTCAGCCGGGTCCCAGTTCTTGAGCGAATAGCCGGGAGGGATGCGGTGTCGCTTGGCGTCAGCCTCTGTTGCCTTGGCTGGTGCTGGGGCAGCAGTCTTCTTGGCGGTGTGGGAGCTGGTGGGACGTGCCGTGGCAGGTCGCTGGGGGACGGTGGCCGACGATCGCCGGGCGTGGGTGGTGGGGGTTGCTCTGGGGCGAGGCTGAGGTTGTTCGTAGGCAGCGTCGCGGTCTTGGAACGTGTAGCCGCCCTGCGGGTACGAGTGGAAATCAGTGGAACGTCCACGAGAGGCGTGTAAATAAGAATCTTCGAGGTACGTCCTGCCCCCCGCCTGACGCGACTTTGCCGGGATGATGTAGGTCCGACCGTCGACCTCGATAATCTCGTCTTCATCGGAATCTCCATGGGGGGTGGAGGACCGGACGTAGACGAAGGAACGCCGGCGCTCGTCCCTGGGACGTGTCGGAGTGGACCACGAAGGCTTGCGCGAATGATGACCACTACTCACATTGGCCGTGGCATAGTAGCCATCGCTCGTGTACCGAGGCGACGCCGTCGGGGGACGAGGACTGTACTCGTTGAAGCCAGTGCTGGCGTTGCGGAAATGTGCCCGGGTCGCTGGTCGTTGTGGTGTGGCTTGTTGTTGGGCGTAGTAGGAGTGCGATGCCCGGGGCGATGGTGTTGGTGTGGCGGACTGGAAACGTTCCCGGCCGTAGTAATACTCGTCGCCGGGAGTCGAACTGGTGTACGGCGAATAGGCCATCTTCTCTTTATCCTCTTTCGTCGTCTTTCTTTCTTCCTAATCTCTTGCGATGTCCCTCGACACCCGCGAAAAATCTCGCCCGACTTCTCCCCAAAACGTCGTGTTATTTATGTGGTGGCTTTCGAGTCCAGTCCAGTCGCGCCGATGTCGAGGCGCGTTAGAATAGTGACACCTGTCACCTTGGTATGTGGTCTGAGAAAGGAGGGATCAAAAACTGTGGTCTGTTGCCGGACATGTCCAGATGTATTTTTGTGTCGATATCCTCCGGGGTTGGAAGGATTAAGGTGGGCACCAAACGAGGCCGAAAATCTCCTCGATGATGCTGGAAGGTGCTGGATGCTTCGGGAAAGCGGCCAACACGATGATGCTTCCCTTTTTCTTTTCCGTCTTCTTCTGTTTCTGCTTTGCCTGTCTGGGCTAACGCGCGAAGCGATTAGCAGTTGGTGCGATGTAAAATTGGGAAGAGGTTGTTGGGTTGGCAGAAGCCAAAAATTATGCGAAAGAAGAGTAAAAGTTGGGGGGGGGGTTCTGTGAGGGCGAGGCCTTTTAATATTGTCGCCAGATTTGTGGGTGCCGGACCGATGCACAGCGCCTCCTGATGGGGGGTGGGGTGTGGCAGGAAGAGAAATTTGTCTTGCCTAACATGGGTGTGCGAACAAGGGGTGTGAAGGGAACGCCAAGGGAGACCAGGGGCAAGGGGCCAAGGCAAAAACAGACGGAGCACAGCCTAATGGAGGCGGCCAGAGGGGTGGAGGGGTGACTGCAGGCCTGGGTCCTAGGTACTTCGTCCTGAACACCTACTCGGCCGGCCAGGTTTGCTGCAATGTGTACGGATAGCTCCCGTCTACCCGGAGACAAGGTGGGGTGAACGTATCAACATATTCCCCCCTTTACGGTGGAACGTCTACAACGGTTCGTACAGACCCGATAGGAAGAGTTTTCGTAAGCCTCTGCCGATTCAGCCACACGGTGCCAGAAGATTCTCTAAAACGGAGGGCGAGATGCCAGTGGATTAGACATTGACATTCAGCTTCCTACGACGTACGAATCCTATTCCTTACGCTCGTCGGTCTGCGTGGTGGTGTAATATCATATGAATAATGCGAGCTGACTCGCCGAAATTAGGTACTGTAGTTCCAATGAGGGGAATGGGCAGCACTTGGCCGGTGCGTTTTGGAGGTGTGGCTCCCCTGTCTACGATAGGAATGTGAAATACGCGCACAAGTTGGTCATCTTTTCCCCCGGAGTCGGGAAAGGCTGCGTGCGTCAATTCATCAAATATTACCTTTTAATTTTGACCCAGATAACACAAAAAGTCGGAAGAGGATTCCCGTCATCAAGAATGAACTGAGCGGTCTTGCGAGATTTCGTTCCTTTATTTCGTTCCTTTATCCGTTGCCAACCCCTCGGCTTTCCCAACTGCAACACGAGGGGCGGCTGGGTGGACAAGGGGGGTTTCCCCCGGTGAAGGTTGGTCCACCGAAAACTCCGGGTCCCAGGGGATAAGCGAGATTGTAATAAGGTGCCTCGAGGAGCACACGGGCCCCAACATCACCAGAGCGGGATCTCACGTCCCAGTGCCGCTTGAAAAATTTTCTCCAAGGACGAGCGACGCTTCTGATTGCCGCAATCACACGGCCCTGGACAGGGGGCATATCGATTGCAATTGCAAGAAATGCCCTCCCTGGGTCGCAAAAGCGTCACCTAAACCCAATCAGCTGGCGCCGACGGAATTGAGGCCCAGGCATGCAAGGGATTTCGTGGACTCGGAGAGAGTAATATGCGGAATATGATTCAAACTCGGCACGGCGACAAGAGATGAAGGCAGTGGCACGATATCTGCGCTGCCTTGTCCACGGACAGCAGAGTGGGAGGGCGGGAGGAGAGAGGGGGTTTCTATTTGGGTCGGTTCCTGCGAATTGCTTCGTCTCGACGAGAGTTCCTATGAAATGAGAGAACGAAGGTCGCCCGAGTTGTGCTCTTACGAATCCTTGTCGCCTCTTATCCACCAACGGGAGAACAAACTCTTGTTTGCACGCACAACACCAGGTTCGTGTAAAAAGCGGCCTGCGATCCTCCGTGAGGTACTTTTCGAGAGGGCATGCGAATGGGTCCCGGAGGTACCACCTTCAGATCCCTTGCCCTAATTCACACCACCAACCATGCAAAATCCGGATCCTCACGTTTCTGTGCCGTGCTACAAGAGTAGAAAACCCGATGCGGCTGGTAATTATCAGTAGGGACGGCATGAGACGTCCACCTTATACCTACGTACGCACGCACGCAGGGGACGACGGGAGAGCGATTTCAGTTCAACTTGACGCCGACGTACACGTACTTCGCAGATGTCACGGTGGCGGGGTAGGGATTTGGGTGGCCCGGGCGATGCTCAAGAATGAAGGACAGTAATTAATACGCGGAATACCTACACGTTTATGAAGCAAAATAAGGAACGGAGTAAATGTTCAGAGAGGGCGCATACGTAGCGCAGCGCGCAGCGGGAGGGGGATGGTTGGTGGAGAAGGAGGGGATGAGGGGTTTATGTAAAGCGTCGGCCTGAACAAGCATGGAATTAGGAAAGTGTGACGACGTGATTGACTGACATGATCATGATATAGGATGGATGATAGCAGGGTGTGGAAGGGGTAGGTAAGTATGGGCGGCGCCCATGATGATCTTCTTCACGAGACGTTCGGCGTTCCCCCATTTCGCTGCCGGTATCAGATACCTAAGGTAGGGGCCAGGCCGTACATGCGTACGTACGTACCTACGTACGTACATACCTTGTTCTTCCAGCATGATTCGGCGACATCGTACATACAACGTACGTTTGTATTCTTTACGGCGGCAGAGGCACGGTCCGAATCTGAGGGGGGGTCATGGACGACTAGCCGCTTCCCGCCCCCCTTCGATAGATCAGGTACATAGGTACGTACTACACTTTGCCACTTCGTCTCTGCCACGTGAGTTGCTGCGGCACTGATTCCTGTCACTCAGCGCCGCTACTGTGCCCAGAGTTGCATGAACGACTACGATATTGTGACATGCGATCGTACAAACTTTGATACGGTTCCTATACCGTAGTTGCGCCTTCTAGAGCCTGCATCGTGGACCAGGCACCGGGCTCTGCCTGTTATCATGCAACCAAAGCTCTGAAGGCTTGTCAAAGAGCGTGACAGGAGGACTTCATGAAAGTCGAATCATACGTCCCTAGGTGATATTGCATGCTTACATCCCATTTCGTGGAAGAGCACACATCTCAATATCCCTAAGGCCAGGTCTGTCTCTTTCACAGACTGATTGGAGGAGTTCGTCAATCACAAGGACGCTTGTGCATGGTGACGGAATAACCTGGGGTACTTGCAGCGGCTACCTTACGCACGCTAACCGCTAAGGACCCTTTCAAAAGTAGTCACATGGGCCCCAGATACGTACCTGAGCACCAGCAATCCAATCTTCTCCTCACGAAACGTACGAGAACCGCAGTAGAAAGAAGATAGTAGGCTTTCCGTCCTGTCCCAAATTGATGTTTCTAGTTCTGTTTGTCTATCGTTGACACAAGTTTTATCACTTAGTACTCTTTGCTTTTGGCAACAGAAGCAGGCGCCAGGGGGATTTCAGGAGGTTACTGTTGTTGACTCGGTACACCTCATGCCACGATACCTTTGCTCCTGATAATTAGAGCCCTTAGCTGTGTTTGCCTTCGTCCCATCTCGCCGGGTAGCTTTACCATACTTGGTTTAAATCAGCTGGGGTTTGTGATGGTCGGCCACATGCCATGCTGCTGTACCAACTAGGATTTGTGGAGCGTCGTATACCTGTACTTCGCAGACGCCAACGGTCCATCGTCGTGGGGGCGGGGGCGGGGGCGGGTCAATCGACCACCAGAGCTTAACACCTCTTATTTTGTGGTGTCGAATGGGGTTGACGTTAACAGCATCAAAGCCATAACGGCGTTGTAACGAAGATTCTGCGATACATTGCTTGTGTGTGGCCCCGTGGACCTCTTATTGATCGTACCAACGAAGTTGGCGACCTTTAACTTGGTCACCGGTACACCCTTGTCGTTAGTAGCATTATCGACCCGTCTAAGAAGCCTCGCCCCAGTCCCTCGACGACGTTTTCAGGCTTCTCCCAGCATACACTGTTCTGCGAGGCCCGAAGAGCGGGGTGTCTTTGAGATTAGTAGAGGCCCTACATCCTGTACGAATGAGATAGTCGCGAATACAGTCTTGCACACCGGCCGTCACTCTCTGCCCTGCTACTTTCTGCCCTTGTGCAACGACCGAACCCTCTGCTTTATAAGACATTGCTTTGTGAAGAACTTGTATGGTTGGTATAGTAGCTCTATGGAGTAGACGAGGCGAGTATTGAATTTGAGGAAGCGGAAATGCGAGAGATCTATACCTTTTCCTCATTTCCGTCTGGTGTTCTTAAAAAAAAAAAAAAAAAACCCCCCAATACTGTGTCTGTATTTCATTTCCCAGCCACGGAATTATAGTTTCCCAAGAGTTGAAATGACAACCAGCCACAGGAGTATAAAGTATAGAGGAAGCTACCTAATGCATGCACTAACAAGCTCGAGAGCGCCGCTAACCTTCACCAGCCCTAGGCAACTCTGCACCTACCGGCACTGCGCGCGTTTCGTACAGAACATTGCTGGAACAGGTCGGACAGATGTGGTCTTTGCCCGGCACCCTGTCATGCATCTGCATCCGCGGTCTTGCCTATTATGTTTCTACAGAATACTTCGTCATTATTGGCACACGCCTCGGTCAGCATCGGTGGAAAGAGATTATGGTACACCGAGGGACGCTGTCGGTACATAAGTTTTGAAGACACAGCCCTTCAGCGGGCGGACCGGAGTGTTTCTCCAGGCCTTCTTTCTCTCCATTGCCCACCAGGTCTTTACCAGCCGTACAGTACGGGTGAGAGGTAGTCAGACTGTTTTCGGGTCCCTGAATCCACTGCTGGCACGACTCCTGTTCCTGCTACCGTGTCTGATATTCGATAGCGATACACCACCCCCTTGTGGACCAGACCGGGAGCCCTCCTTCAGAAAAGAAATTGGACGGCCAAAATAATTTCGAGGCCTTCGTACTTTCACCCCCTTATCCCTGTAGACTCTGGAATGATGGCGTCACCCTGCTCCAGCCTTCCGACCTTTTAAGTGGATCCCAGACGGAACGCTCCAAGTCTTTTCCAGAATCCCTCAGGACGGAAGGCCAGGAGTGGCTTGTTTCCTATCCCCTGTCCACACACGCACGGTACGGAATATCGCCAGCGCTTTTCTTTTCCGTCGGCCATATTGCTCCCTTTGTCTTTCCTTCCCTCTTTTTCTTTTTTTTGTGTTTCTGTTTCTCCTTCTGGATGGCAAACGAGGGAAAAAAAATCTTCGCCGAAATTACCTCTCACTCAAGGTCTCCAGCCTCGCTCTATCTCAGTGCCCCGACCACTTTCTGTCCTCGCACCGAAACCCGAGGAGAAGGCGTTATCGCTATTATGACTCACATCACATGGATTTGGCGGGAGTTTGCCAGAGAAGGGAAATGATAATTAATGGCGAGTAATTTCCAGGGGGACGACATTTCGTCCCAATGCCATGCTGCATCGCTGTCCAACGCCAATCTTTGGTCGACACACCCTAGGGGAGTTGCGGGCGAATCGGACGACCTCAGCGACTCTCTGTCGACGCCTATTGGTCCCTGTGGTAGAATCTTGAACACGTCGCACGGCAGGTTTGAGACTATTCAGCATTTAGCGACCAGATCACTATTCGTCGTGGTTGTTGCTATATTTCGTGGATTTCACCAAAATAGGAGGGGAAGCTGTTGTATCATTGGTAATGGGATCCACGTGTAACGCACAAGCGCAACGCGGTTTGGCTTATGGTCCTGCGCAGTGATGTCGTTGCAGATGAGAGGAAGAAAGGAACGGGAGATGGCTGATGCCTACCGATAGTGGTCGTAATGGTGATGGTGGTGATAGCACAGAGTAATCTCTTTCCTGATGATCCATCCCCATGGTTCCTTCAACTCGGACGACGATACGCTTTGGCGTTTACAACTGCGTTGGCACCTTCTCGTTGGGTCTTGATTGTTATAAATGTGCCTATCACGGCATTAACTACTGGAAGAGGATTTTCAGCCAAGACAAATATGACATTCTGTGGTCCATCTTTCGCTGTTTTGTCACGAAGATCACCTTTGTTTCTTTTCTTTAGGGCCGGTTCCATCGTCTCACCGACTCGATTTTGATTTTTTGTTTTAAATTCATCGACTCACTCCTACCACCACGATCCTTTTTTTAACCCAAAGCTATCCAGTCGCATAGCCGGTCTTCCTGGGCGAGAATGCACCTGCAGCCGGAGGAGGGGTCCTGCTTCTTTCTTTACACTATCAAAATGTCCGCCCGGCTTATCCTGCGGTCTGCAGCGTGCATGCTGCCATGTACGGGTGGGCGTGTGTGAGTTGCAACTTGAGACGAGGCACACCCTCGTCCAAATTTATCGCAGGGATTAGATGACACCAGGACGCTAGGGCTCAGTGAAGTAAAGCTTTGCATGCGCCCATGGGCACACACACACACACACACACACATACATACCTCAAAACAGAGCATAACGGGACAAAAGGGGAGACTTGACATCGAATTTCTCTCTGCAATGGGAACCGAAACGGATGTGTCCTTCAAAATGCAGCGTAGTTGAGCCCTCAAATAAGTATCCAGACTAAGGGTACGGGAATAGGGAGCAGGAGAGGCGGCCCGAGCAGTATATTCACGGGCAGAAAAGACCACTACGATGACAAACCCCGGACACCAAATCCTTCTTGTCAGGGCCGGCTTCGGCCCGGTTTCTGGGCAGCAGAGGCGTCGACAGGGAAACCTGCAACGCACATCGTCCAAGCCTGCAGCCTGCGTGCTACGGAGTACAATGGCGGCAGGCATGGCGCACATATGGCATCTTCGGACACTTAAAGAGCACACAGCTATTGGCTCTAACCCGCTCGCCCCATTCGGGACGAGGGACCAAACCCTGCCAGACAAACCACACAATATCTTCAAAGCTCAAGTTCGATTTTTTTTTTCTGGTTATCATCATGGTCCGGCCTCACAGGCTCTTGACTTGTTTGCTGATCGGCCGGCTGGGACCGTCTTATCGCAAAAGCTCGAGTCCTACCAACGAGGTCGAGGAGTTGGTGGGAGAGCATCATCGCCAACACATCAAGCAGAGTTGACACCGCAGACACTTTCACCGACGAGCGGGCGCAAGCGATTGATAATGGAAAAGGTCACAGCGGAGGACCCGGCGGCCGACAATGCGGGCCTCCTCTTCCTCTGCCCTCCCGTCCACCCTTTCGCATTTCTCAGTTACACGCCTCTGGGTCGCGTTGGACACACGCCTACTGACCGATAAACTCCCGTCACCGCTTCACCTTCACGCACACGCCTCTCTCTTCTCTTTTGCGAGGAGCGATGCATATGAGCCCAGCCTATTGGGTTGGTCTCCGTGGGTTCCGTAGACTGCAAAACAGGCAGCTCGCAGGATAGGGCTGGACGAGCGCCGTGCCCTGATGGGGCTGTTGAGTCTCTCCAGGCATCCGGCGCGCTATTCCAGCAAATGGTAGTCACGAAATACCCTGGTAGCTGAGCTATATGCTGAAACTAAACACACAACAGGGCGTCTCCAGGACGAAGAAGCTATCACCGCCTTGGAAAAGACCAGAGTCTCGAGGTAAGGGCTTGTTCCGATTGCGCATCTTGTTGATCCGCTGTCGGTGCGGGTCTTGCAAGGCTCGGAAGCGCTTGTCCTCGAGAAAAATAGCCCTACCTATCACCAACCGTAACACAAAAGGTAACCCCAACGAAGGTGAGAGCAAGCCACCTAAAGCCACGTACCGGGGTGATGATCGTGGCTGTGTAAGCACGTGATGCTTCCATCATCGTTTCACGAGTCCAAAACCGAACATGTCGCCCCATCATGTGACTCGACCCATGGACCTCTCGACCTTATCTCCGGCTGTGTCTTCTCGAACGACCTTCAAAGAACGGTTCTCAACAACTCTGCATATCTACATCTACACCCTCCTCCTTGCCATTTTACTCAAAATCATTATCTCAACGAGTGACGCATGAGTGCAGCAGCTTGCATGACTTTCTCATTAAACATGCAGCTTGCAGCTGGTTTGGCGAGGTGGTCGATGTGGTCGATGTGGCTACGGTCGTCGGGCATCAAGGGGAACGAATAATCGCGAATTGGCCCTACCCCTCCAGTTCCTGTTTCTCTTTTTCGCACCTCTACCCCTCCCTCCTTGGTGGCACGACTTTTATTGCACGGATTTGACAGAATGAACTCGGGGTACTATTCATGTCGGTTGAAGAGAGCTACGGACAAAGCGACTGGGACTGCCTTTGGAAAGGCTGGACAGATTATTACCTCGTCTGTACACTCGACGGTACACGAGGGTGTGGTGACTCACCCTCCTCCGCTCATGGATAACGAAATCGAGCATCTGATTTGTATGACTGATGTTCCTATCCTTCACCCGGGGGCCAAGGGGGGTAGTGGGCATAAAGGAAGCCTGATGACTTTCCATGGCGTTGTCTTGGGCCGTGATAAAGACGGGAAGATAACCAAGGCACCTATTTACGAGACGTTGGTCGCTTGGGAAATCCTGACTTGGCCTACTTAGTACTCTGCAGCTTCGTATTGCTCGTCTCCTGACTGGGCGGCCGCGACTTGTCTGGCATCAGGTAGCCAAGTGACTCAAGCCCACGTAGACATAGAAGCCCAGTCAACGGCGAGCGGGCTGGGATCGGCTGGGATCGGGGGCTGTGTCAAAGCGGTGCCGCTCCGCCTACAAGCGGTCCTCTGCCTGTCCCGGGCTGCTTCTTTGGAGGGCATTCCCGTCTGTCCATGCACTGGCGCTTGATTCATTTGCCACTGAAGTCATCTCACCCTGAGCTTCCAGTTGGGTTATGGAGGCCTCGCTATTGTCTTGTCTGCACGACTTCGATCCGCGGGCATGGATGACACCAGTGACTTTTTCGGTGGAACTTGGAATATTGACACATGTTTGTCCCTCCAATACACAGGGTTTGTTTGTGTGAAGTAACCACATAGCTCCATTCGATTTTGGGCAAAGAGGAGGAGACCATCAATATGACTCTGGATCCCAGAGAAGCCGGCAAGGTTGCCGACTTCGGCGAACTTGGTAAGTGAAAGGTTCAGACGGCGTGACATTTCCACCCCTCCCCCCGGGGGGGTCGCTTGGTTCTTTGGTCTTGTGTACTCATCAGTGACAACAGCGCTAGGTTATTATTGATGGCAGTGAATGGGAGCGTGCTTCATCCTATCTAGAGATATCGATAATCTGGCTGACATGGGGCACTTGATATTGCTCCGTCAACTGACCTCTCAGCAGTTGAGTGCTTCTGGAGTCCGCCGGAGACAACCATACTGTAACATGGATAAAACAACTTCAAATTACAACGTTGATCGCGACAGAACTGCGAGGGTTCTGCTTCCGGAACCACTATTCAAACTGTCAAGTTAGACTGCTTCTAATCATAGACTGGAACCAATACTCAATGAAGTCACAAATGGGTCAGTGTTGATTACCGGCCCGTAGACTGTAGTCTAGTACGACTGGACTGACTTCTATTCGTTCGGTGGAGCTCATAGAAAGAACTGATAGAATCCGACTCGGTGTCGATTCGGAAGCCTGGTGCCCCGTAGCTTATAAGCCCAGGGTTACGGCTTGAGAAGTAGAAATGCAGCACGACTGCGGTACAGCTAACTATAGTCTCCCCCCAAACCAGGGAACATGGTTGTCTGCTCCGAGGTAGTGCTCTTGGGTAGGCTTGTATCTGTCTGTATCAGCTAGTCACAGCCCGTGGCGGCAAATCAACAGTCATCTCTTCTGGGCACTGGGGTTTCATGGTTTGAATTAGAAGACCGAAGATGCCTGGAAATCTCAGAGACCAGTGATCTCCCCTTCGACCATGGATTGGGAGAAAATGACTTTGGCTCATCACGGAAGGCTGGCATTAGAACGCAAACATATGCTATCATACACGCAGCGCCGTTTATTAACTGGATCTGTGTCGCCTGATGTGCTGATCCGAGACCTATACCGGGCTCTGACCACCAGGCAGCGTAATATGATGTAGTCTCAGCTTGGTCTTCAACGCTCAACCCCTGGAAATGTCGTTCGCCAGAAAGACCGAAAACAATAACCTAAATGTATCGAGTGGGAGATTAAGTTTGAAAAGGGGTTTGAGGATGGACAAGTGAAAGAATGCAGTGTCTGAAGAACCTTAGCCTTATTGGTAGGCAAACACTTACAGGTCATCCAAAAGGTTTATAGTAATGTTAAGCTGGACTGTTTCAACATGAGAGTAGCGTTGAAACTTGAGAGAGCTTGGTGATGGTGAGTCTGAAGTGGCGGTACAGGCAGCGTTGTGTTGCAAATAGAGGGTCAAAGGCAAGGCAAACCCGCAGAGGTCTGTCTGGGTTCATACGCTTTCAAGTTTCAGAGAGTTGTTGGAATGTGAATAAGATGACTTTCAAACTTATAAAGCTTTCTCCTAGGAAGTGTATGAGGAGGCACGTAGTCCAAGAACAAAGTCTCTTTTATCCTGCAAGTAAGTACCTAGGTAGTACCCATACTTTACATTGCCTTAAGTACGAATGCATCCTTGAGTAAATGTACTTTATCGTACACACGCAAAGGAAGACAGATGGAACTACCTTACCTACCTTACCTTACCTGTAAGACTGGGAATCAGAATCGAACTTTAAAGTTCTTTCCCCGAAGGCCACTGCTAGCTTGGCATGAAATATTTTGTGTTCGGTGTGAATTGGTGATGTAAGCTTGTTGGAGATGGTGCTGGAGTCCCTCAAGGTCCATGGCTCCATGCAACCCGCAAGTCGTGACATCATGGACCCTGCGAGTAGGCACGAGGCTTTCCACCATTGAACTCTTCACTCATTTCCCGGCTCATGACTTCCCTCATCCAAGATCCATTTGAGAAAAGAGGTCTGTTCATATTAACTGCTTTCCGAGACCAGATTCTTTGGATATAATTACACCATGAAGGGCACTGTTCAGAGGCTCCTGGTCCTCCTTGCCCTACTAACCCTCGCGCCCATTATTGTTGCTTCACTCTTTCCCTCAGATCAGCACATCATGTCCTCTAAGAACAACGACATGGTCGAGGTCCAGAAGCGGTAAGTCCCGCTCTTTTTTACGAACTGAAGAGTCAAGATTAGCAAGTGCACTTCCCCCGTGACCCTACACCTGACTTACATGGTTACACCCTTACAGCCTCTTCGACGCCGAAATCATTCCCACGGTCATCGACGTATTCAAGCCCATTATGGGCTTATCAGTCGAATGGGGAGGTTCGAAAGATGCGGCGTCCCTAGGAAATACCCTGGATCCCTCGCATCTCCAGTCCTCCCCGACAGCTCGCCTCGAAAGGGCCGATCCAGAAGGGGACTCCAGAACTGCGAGCATCCTACGCCCAGGCATGACCTACGTTCTAACCCTGACCGACCCCGATGCTCCCTCGCGAGATGATCCGAAATGGTCCGAGTTCTGCCACTGGATCGCGTCTGGCCTTGTGCCTCCCTCGTCTGCCAGTTCCTCGTCCCTCCCCCTCGCCGACCTGAAGGACGTGATGTCGTACAAGCCGCCATCCCCGCCTCCTGAAACAGGCAAGCATCGCTATGTTTTCCTCGTCTTTGTTCCGGCGAACGGGACCAGTGAGCCCCTTGACTTGTCGAAACCCGGCGCCCGGAAGCACTGGGGCGGTGATAAGGCAGGGCATGGGGTCAAAGACTGGGCCGACACCAATGGACTTCTTCCGATCGGTAGGTCCAATTCTGCAAGGTCCTCTAACGATCAAAGGTGAGACTGATGCTCTGATTACAGCGGCGAACTTCATCTACGCGCAGAACGAAAAACAGTGAGTCTGCACCAGGGAGGAGCAAGGTGTTTTGATATGCGTGGTTTATAATACTGGAAAGCGATAGCTGGGCCGGCTGGGTTTGGACATAGGGCTTATAAGTTGGTAGTCGATGGGCCAATGGCAAAGAAGGGCAGAATAATATAAGGACCCATGAAGGACAGCAACAAACTCATTTGACACAAGAAATTGGCTCCAGTTTGCAGTGTAAGGGACCGAGGACGAGATAAGAAAACGTGGATGGACGGCAGGCAAGGCTCAAGAGCGTCGGTTTTATAAAACCAGATCAAGGCCCGTTCTCCTCTGTCTTGTAAATATCATTGTACCCTCTCAAGCTCTGCCGCTCCAGATCCGGGAGGGAGTTCCCCTTGAAACGTTCAGGATCTAACGCCTCGCGCAGTCGCGTATCAATCTCTTCTCCCTCGATCAACTTGGAAATAAACTTCGCCGTGCCGGAGGCATGAGTAACCCAGACGGCCACAGCTACATACAGTCCCTTCACCGATGAGACCTCTCCAGCCAGCGGCACATTGTCAGGCGTCATGGAGAAGATGCCGTTGATCTTGTCCGCGCGAACCGCGCCTGGGAATTCCTCCCGGGTCGGATCTGGAAACAACGTCGTCGCGGCGTCCAGAGCCGGCTGGAAATCCCCCACCCAATTCCCAATCGCACTGCCGTCGATGGGCTTGTAATGCAGCGGCCGGTGGTCGTACGTTCCGATTCCGTAGAATGTCCCGTGGTCCCGAACGTAGGCATGGTGCTCGGGCCACCGAACAAACGGCAGCCGACGGAGGAGCGGACCCCGGACTCGACCGTACATGTACGGATGGCCAACGGGCACTACGGGTAGGGGGAATCCCAAAGCCGCCCCAAGTTCCTGCGCCCATATGCCCGTCGCCAAGCTGACGCGATCCGCGACAAGATGTTGGAGGCGGGAGTCGTCCCCGACCTCGACCTCGACACCGGTCACTTTTCCTTCGTCGATACAGAGCCTCTTGGCCTCTGCCTGGAGAAAGCGTACGCCCGCCTTCCTCGCCTCGTCTCGGTAATAGTTGGTAATGGCAGGAGCATCCGCCGTCCCGTCCGCGGGGAAATGCAAGGCGGCGTCCGAGTCCGAGGGTTTGACAAGCTGCGGTGCCAGCTCGGCCGCGTCATTGACGGTAATAATCTCCGCAGAGAGGCCACGCTTCCTAGCAAGCTCGCATCGTGGTTCGAGCCGGCGTATCCCTTCACTGCCGAACGCGACTTCGAGCCCACCGACGGTGCTGAAACAACCGGGGACCTTGAGATACTCGGCAACAGAGTCCCTGGCCAAGTGTGTGAGGACTTCGGAGTCGATGTACTGGCCGATGAAGCCCGGGGCATGGCCGGTTGATCCGACAAGCGTGTCGATGGAGCGGTCCACTACGGTGATGGATCGCTTCTTGCTGGACGACGACAGGAAGTGTGCTAAGGCGGAGCCGACGATGCCGGCTCCGATGATCAGAACGGATGCTTCGGCTGACATGGTGCACTACCTGTAACCTGACTCGCTCCGATGTAGAGTAAGTAGCTGTGACTCGTGAGCTGTGGACCTGTGGTGGTTCGATTATGCCCACGCCTTTGATGTCATGCGTGGGGCCGCACATTGCCCCAAACCGTGTCGACCATGGCTATGGGGTGACTGCGCCGACGTCGAGCAAATCCGTTGTTTGGTGCTTCTTTCGACACTGATAATGGAAGAAGAGGGGGAGGGGAGTTGTTTTCAGCCCCGCAAATAATTACCCGTTGACAAGGATTTGCGGATATGTGGGGCGTAGCTGGAATCTGATAAGATCAAATCTGGTATATTGATTGGCTCTTAGAATCAATATGATTACGTCACGTCAACTTGTTTACCGACCCAACCCACTCATCGTTAAGCTACCTTACTTACCTAAGCACCTAATCGAGTCCCAAACTTGATGTCAAGTCATGCCTTGATATTGCTCATCCTCTGTCTAACAACCGTCCAGAACAGGCCCCAGATAAACTGGTATTGAGGGCCGAGGCCGGGCTGAAGCCTGAGGGTTGCTGTGGTGTATGGTGGAACAAGAGTAGTAGAGTTGATAGAGGAGACGGTTCAACTTTCGAATCTCATTTCTGAACTTTATGACAACTGGAGTAGAACAAACATATGATAAAGTTGAAATAAAACTCTACGCCTCAACTCAGTCCCCGCGCCACCATGCGCGGCAGCAATCTTCAGTCTTTCCCCGTAAGCGGCCAAGTTACGATTATCAATATCAACGACGTTTAGAATCGCCCGGAATCACAGAGTGGGCAGTTACGTTCATAATAGCAGTGTGATGATGGGAGATGTCGACATAGTAGTCAGTCGAAAATAAGGACACCAAAGGCAGTCGCCACTCAACCAAAACAACACCCACATTATCACAAGTTCACAACCCATTAAAGTACCTTACTGTTAGAGATAGAATTCGCTTGGGGGCAATACAATTAAAAGGGAAACGCTCAAGCAGCTAAGTAAACCGGCATTATAAAAGTACCAATAACAATACTCGATAATAACCCCTCCTATCCGTCTGATCCATATTAATTAAGCAAAAACCCAATCGACGTCCGTTCCACTATGCGTTTTTGGATTTCCCTTTTCGCTCTCCGATTCTCCTTCCTCTGGATATCTCGATTAATCCCAAGCCAGTTCTTATTGATGGGGGTAAACCGGATGTTAGGCCAGGCCTCTTGCGACGACGGCTCTTGCGGCGACGAGCTCACGTCATGTTTTTCCCCTTTCGTGAACATCGTGATGTTATGCGAGGACGCTGGCAGCCGTGGTGACCTCGGGATTGCCTTGCGTTTGGTGAAGGAACAACCCTCCTTCAACTTCTTGCACCGACTGCAAGCGGTATTGGGCCTGGTTGGGTCTTGGAAGCACAAGTGGCTCTTGTTCGTGTAGGTGCACCTCACGCAGGGACCAGGAGCCAGGTAGCCTAATGCCTCGACTTTCGCGGCCATTTTGTGCGATTGGATCGTTGTCTTTGTTCGTTCTTTTTGGGGCTGGCTGAACTCTGCAGTGGAAGAAGCGGAGTCAGGGGTGAAATGACCGTCGGATAACATTTTGTTGAGAAGGAATGGGTCTGGGGAATATGGGAGTAAAGAGAGAGAGTGTGTGTCCGTGGGAAGACAGCTAACCAGTTCAAGTGATTGATTGACTTGGCTCTCTCTGGCCGTGGAGCAAGAGATCAAAAGAGTCTGACTATGTGGATTGCGCCTGGTGACTGACTGCAGCGGAAGTGTCCAAACGAGGTTGGCTGCTGGGAAGAAAAGATCAAGCGCTCTACGATGGAGAGGGCCTTCTCATATAGTTTATCCAGGAGAACAGATCGGCTCCAGTGGTTCGGGCCTCGCAAAGCCGGAATCCCTCTTCAGGCTACAGGCCGGACACGGGTTTGGCCTTCATCTAGGTGGCTTTGACATGGGGGCCGGGGTAATTGTATGGCGTCGGCTTGCGTGCTTACTTCGTGCCAATCTTACACACCCCCTTCGTCCCGGGTGCTCTTCGTGCCGGCATAAGTGTTGTCTGAACCCTTTCCCCAAGGTCTGGTGGGTATCGTGGCTTCGAGTCTAATACGTGGATGGAAATTCATGGAATTCGAGTTTCATACAGCTTACGGGGTGCATGGACTGAACGCATCGGATTATCCGGTGCCGTCGAGTGCCCTTGTGTATTGATATCTCGGGGACTAGTACAGGTTTTGCCGTGTATATTATACGATACTGATATGACCCCGGCAGTTAAACTTCGAGGCGTATGGGAACCGGTTGCGTGATACGCGATCCGATTCCCGATGCATAACAACCCGGGAGGCGGGGTGTGTGCGAGCCGGAGACCTGTGCAACAAGCAGGCACATTTTTACTAGAAGAATGCTGTTATTGGACCCGAACAAGGTCTGTCTTCCCTCGCCGTCTCGTCATTAGTGGTTTCTGACCTCGAAGGCAGTGGGGCTTTACACTGCCTGATGAGGGGCCGTATGAATCTATGGGGTGAGAGTACTAGGGGACGGGAGTCGAGAGTACCAAAGACTAGAGCGCTGTGGGACAGGGTCCGGGGCGAGACAGCACTAAGTTCCTAAGGTAGCAGTCAGACTATCAGAGTTCACGATGCTGTATGGCGTGTTGGCCGCCGCGTGTCTGATTACAGCATCCTTATTTGTCATCCGGATCTCCCTAGACACAGTAGGGTAACTTGGCAAGTGAAGGCCTAAGGGGCCTAAGAGACCGCACGAGAGAGTCGCCCGGAGCGTACATTCATTCCACCCCCTCCTAGCGGGAAATCACTCGGGAAAGTCTTACCGAGACACCCTCACAGCATAAGGAATCATTGGTTCCATCATATATCAGATACCCTAACAACGCCAAATACAAGAGACATAAATGGGACCAAAAGCAACACGTAAGCTACAGTCCATCCTGCAGTGTTAGGTTACGTATGAATGGGCAATTGGGTATGCCACGGATAGTATCTGCCAGGCGAAGGGAAGGAAGGACTCAAGGAGGTACGGTGTACCGTCTACTCGCTGCTATATACCGTGGCGCTCTACGGTACTTTACACGATCGCATCGTGACATCGTGAAGAACGGCCCAGTCCTTTTGGCTTTGGTGCCGACTGTATACTGTTTGTGGAACTTGGAAGACGAAAAGATCCTACATTCTCACATGAAGCATTGTCTGTCAATTTTGGGCCATTCCTGCTAGCTACACGGTACGTATTCCTCTACGAAACGTGCATGCTCAGATTCCTTAGGCCTCTTCCGTCTTCTATACTTTGTGCCGGTAGTTCTGCGTAGGGATCTGCTCTAAGATTTTACATAGGAATATCATAAAATGCCGCTAATAGGTACGAATAAAATTACTATCTACCTTAGAATATGCAGCTTTGTATTTTCGATGACCATTTCTTTACCCTACCTTAACTGACATGTAGGAGTTGAGGACTGCAATCACTGGAATAATTAGAGACTGGAGTTGCAACTGAAGTAGAAGTCGCGTATATGACGAAAGACGTTGTGTTAGCGTATCCGCATTCATAAGCAACCTCAGGGACCCGAATATCATCAAAGCAGTAACGGGCTTCTATACCACTCAGCCTTGATTGAGTTCAGTAATAAGTATGGTAAATAGGTCGTGAAACGCTGCCCTGATGCAGTCAATAGATATCAAGTACGGTACAGGGGATGCGGAACTCCCTGTGCTGCGTAGGTAGCTACGAGCGAACTCAATCATACTACTAGAATAGGACCCTGCTCCTACGTTTCCTAGCGCGTTGCCGGCTCGTTTAAACTTGAAAGAGCACCGTGAGCACGTTATACTGGACCCTGGTAACAACGCACATCGAACATGCCGGCGATACGTGTGTGGTGGCATCTGACAGCAGCTGTGGCAGCTGTCAGCACTGCCCCTAATCGGGAACAAACGATTCGTTACGCGTGAATGGCGCTGTACGAATATTACGTACCTTAGGCAACCAATTCACTGAATCTCGGGTATTAGGTACTCGGTGGCTCCTTTGGCTGAAACCTTCAAGGAAATACGAAGTTATAATAATCACTACCTTATTAGTTACGTTCGTTTGGACTTGCCGATTATAAGTGGGGCGTTGAACGAGTATTTCCTCGGAGCCTCTTTATCTAAAGTCCTCATATATGGACCGACGAGCACGGCTCCCGGTCTCGTTACCTTGTCCTAACCCGACTCGCAGTCTCTGGCAGACCCCACCGGCCGACATCGCCGAGTTCCAGTCGCCAGAGCTGCCAGCTGCGACCGACATCGTCATCGTCGGAAGCGGAATTACAGGCGCTGCCGCTGCGTGGAATCTTCTTAGTCGAGTGGAGCCAGCGGACCAAGAAAGCCACAATGCCGGGCTAGTGAACCACGCCACGCCGCAGCGCGTCGCTGACCAAACCCACGAACCCAGCCGCGTCGTCATGCTCGAGGCCAGGGAGGCATGCTCTGGCGCCACGGGCCGGAACGGTGGTCATACCAAAGCGGCGTCCTACCGCTCCTTCCTTGCCCACGCCGATGCACTCGGGAGCACGGAGGCGGCCTGCCAGATAGCGCGGATGGAGCTGGCCAACATTCGAGCCGTCCACTCCTTTGCCAGGGATCACGGCATCGATTGCGAGAGCCGGTCCTGCGGGACCGTCGACGCTATCTACGACCCGGACCAGTGGGCGCACGCCCATAAAGCGGCTGAAGCCATGACGAAAGCCATGCCGGGGGAGGACGCGTCTCGCTACGCGTTCCATACCCCGGAGGAGCTTCGTGAGCGGTTCCATCTCGGAGAAGGCGAAGTCTGCGGCGGCGTGGAATACGAAGCGGGAAGCATTTCGGCTTACCGATTTACCATTGGCGTGCTAAAGCTGTGTCTAGAGAGAGGCCTCAACCTGCAGACATTCACGCCCGCAACGCGGATATCCGCCATGGAGGAAGCGGACGATGAGGGGCATCGATGGGTGGTTGAGACCCCACGCGGCTCTATCGTCGCGAAGGAAGTGGTTCTGGCCACCAACGGGTACACCGCCGCAGTGGAGCCCCGGTTCCAGGGCGTCATTGTCCCCTTGAGGGGCCAGATCACAGCCCACCGTCCTGGGTCCGGTATGCCGAAGGAGGGATTGCAGGCGACGTACAGCTTCATTTACCGGGATGGGTACGAGTACATGGTGCCCAAGGCAGAGCGAACCAGCCACGCTGGCGACATCGTTATGGGCGGGGGGCTGGTGAAAGCACCCGACTTGGGCCTCGACGAGTATGGCACAACTGATGACTCGGAGTTGAATCCTATCATCAGCCACTATCTGCACGGAACCACGCCTCGCTACTTCGGGTCCAAGTGGGGAAAGGACCACCCGGACGGGCGTATCCGCAGTGAGTGGACTGGCATCATGGGATTCAGCCCTGACGGCTTCCCCTTCGTTGGCGAGATGCCCGCCCGGCCGGGTCTATGGGTTTCTGCCGGTTTCCAGGGCCATGGGATGGTCTTGTGCTGGCTATGCGGCAAGGCGCTCACGGAAATGATGGCGGGTCGCGATGGCGAGGAGCTGAGGGCTTGGTTTCCGAGCGCTTTTCGAGTGAGCGAGGAGCGTTTGCTGAGACGATTCGACGGGGTCCAGCATACGCCAGTCGGTTCTCGCACAGGCCCGAGACATGAAATGAGAGAGGAGTAGCGGTGTGTCGTCTGGACTCTCCTTTGAGACAACTTGGTAGTAACCTTCACACCCGCACGATTATTAATTCCACCTGGCACGCCCAAACCGCCAAAAGTACGCACGATTTGTCGGTTCCGTCATTCCGGTCTGGGCTCTGGCCCCCCCCTCTAGCTGAACCAGCCTGTCGGACTACCCAACCAGATGATGGTCTGCCACGAGAACCGGACCAGCGGCCCCGGACACCCTACGCCGCGGTGCTGGGTCGGATTCGTGTCACAACTATCGCTTCTTGTCGCACTTTCTTCGGCCCAACCCCTCGCTGCTCCATGGCAGGGGTGGATGCAGAGTCTATTCACGGGCCTACGGGTTTGGTCCGGGATGGCTTCGGATCCGATAATATCACGGAACAAAAAGACGGAATGCAAGCCATGAATGAATGCATGGGCGGGGATGTCTTTTGACACCACCAACGGGCTCCTAATCCATGTCTAATCCATGTCTGACCGGGGGAATTCCCCGTCTTGTTCCGCCACATCCTTCATATCATGGCGACATACAACGTATTGCTCCTCTCATCCGGGCAAGCAATTTTACAGCATGCGGGACACATGCAATCCACGCATCCTGTTGTCTCGACGCATTGCTGCACCTACGCCAGCCTGCAGCAAACCATTGGGTCTGTCCCTGTGGAGGCTGTCCTGGGGCTCTCTGGGACGGCCGGTTGCGGCCAGACGACGTAGGTATGGTATCATCCAATTAAGTACGCCGGGGAAGTGGCAGGGAAATACGCTCATACAAACCGAATAACCGGGCCGTTTTTGACTTGATCTCCTCTGGGAACGGCACGGGATGGAGGTTTCCCCCCCTTCCTTCACGGGGGGGGTTTTTTTCCCTCCCTCTCTTCCCTCCTCCCCCTTCGAGGCCACGAGGCCACGAGGCCACGAAGTAGTCGAAAACCATGTAATCCCAATTGGGCAACTCGTTTTGTATCGCATCGACAAGACGTGGTCGGGCAACCCAGTCGATCAAGAGGGGAAACTGTTTCGTATGCATGCATGGTCGGGAACTCATTCGTCTTGTCCAGCTATCAACGCCCGTTGGGACCGATAATAATAAATGCTGCAGCAGGATGGTTTCCCCTTCTTTACTTTGCCGGACGGGGGTTTTTTGAGGGGGATTCCCCGCCCAGGAATGATTTTATTCACACGGGTCTGAACCCTCCCCCGTCGTTCTGGGCAGGTGGGTAAGTGGGAGAATTGACCTGCAGATGCGCCCGCGGCATACAATGGGACCTCGACGATCAGCGTCATATTCTCACATTTTCTCCCGTGATGGCGTTGGCCCGTTCGGTTCAGTTCACGGCCCATGGACGTAGACCTAGGTTTTCTCCGACAATGAACGGTGACCGGTGACTTTGCGGGGCTCAGCATGCATGCAATATGCTTTTCCCAGATATCCCGAAGCATACAGTGGGTGGTACCGCTGGCGATCCCACCGGGACTGTCGCTCCCGCTCACAGACAAAATTTCGCTCCTGGGTCAACCGGGTCAACGGAGAGACGAGACCTCATGAGATCACTGAGGTTTTCATCAGCCGTCGGCGATAATGTCGGCGGAAACCCCACGTAGGTTAGGTACGTTGTATGAAGCTTATCCATAGATTACATATTGATCGGCCCCCTCCATGAGCGACCGTGTCTAAGGTAAGCTAAGACTTTGTAGAAGAATCTTATTTCTTGGAAACCGCTTGCAGATTTCGCGGTACGAAGTACGGATAGGTACTCAGAAGGTACAAGGTAAGGCAGTGACCCAGTGACCAGGGTCTGTTGCTGTCTCGGGGCTGGCCAGCGGGCAGGGGGGCAGTAGTGTAATTACCGGGTAAGGTAAGCCAAGATACCGGGATCCGTTTTAACGGGCTTTTTCTTTTTTGCTCCTTTTTTTTTTTTTTTTTTTTTTTTTGTTTCCTTCACTTTTCCTCCCGCGTACCGTTTGGATATTTCACCTCCCCAAGGTGCCTGTCTACTCGCACCATTTACTCGGGCAGGGCGGCAAGGGAGGACCCTTATGGATCGCAAGAGCGACAAGAAGTAACTTCGTAATAATCGACGTCCCAACAGCCTGGAACAGTCTCGGGAGGCCTGAAGCTCCCCCGATGAACAGCGCGGTCTCCTAACTTTCCATATATTTCTCTCTCCGTGTGGTGCTCCTCCTCGCATGCAAGGGAGGGAGGGCTCCTCTTTTCTCATTTCGTCACTACCGTCGCGATTCCAACGTACACACGACGTACACAACGTCCTCTATTTATTATTTCCGTGCATTAATAATTAGGACATAACCATCTTAGGAGCCTGACAAATTTACTTCGCCACGACCTTCTTATTCGCGTCTTTCTATATTTCCCCGGAAGCGGTATAGTATACTTAGTTAGTATGGTTCGCTGGGTGAACAACACCACTGTATGGATAGGCATTCAGGGCATTTACGGCATTTAGGTAGGCCTAGCTGGTTGCATCCATCCCGAAAGCTGGTCCCACCTATCAGCCAACAGCATTTTCTCTCTTTCCCTACCCCCCCACCAACGGACGACCCCCATGTCCTTGTTGTCTCAGCGTCCGGTTGCCATACTGATTACTTTGTACACCTATGGCGGTCAGAAACGTTAGGTCGTATACAAACGAGAATAAGTGGCTGAGGATAACAGGGGACCCTAGTGAGTATAGATGTATCCGAATATAACGAAAACCTGTGTTTTCCCCTATCTCTCGGTCAGGAATCGTTCGAACCAAACTCTCAAAAGCTCCTATCAACTACGAGTTACCTCCCAAGCAGCGTCGACAGCTAGCTGCCTTAAGCTCTTCCCTGCCTATCCACTAGCACTAAGTGTTTCGGTTAAAAATATCGTGTATCGTGAATCCGGCAATAGCTTCAATTATCCTAACGTTAGCCTCGTGGCGAGATATGCTTTTGTATCTATTCCTATAAAATACGCGGCAAAGTACGGATCGAGAGTATAAATCCAATGAGCGATCGAGACGTGGGGCACAGTCTCGAGCTACCTCAACGTTTCCGACATCTGCATAGGTGCCCTGTACATACAAGGTATTTCGGACTTAAGGAAGTGCGGAGTACTTTCCTCCTCAGCATGCATGCAGTCGGGTAACAATCCCAACCCGAAGCACCCAATCGTCAATCGTCAGTCCGTCGGTTCAGGCGCCATCGTTCCTTTCTCTTGGGTCCTCCCCCACCCCATGAGGCCGGCTGGTCGGTCGTCTTGTTTTGTCCCAAAGCTTCGTCATATACGGTACCAAAAAGTCAACGCGTCCCAAGGATAAGCCAGATGGCGCCGTCGCCTTGGTAGGCTGGCCGGGAGACTTAGGTACCTTAAGGTAGACTTGCGGTAGTCTCCACAGCGGAGTTCGCAACGTTGCCGATCCGGGGCACGACGTAATTACTTGCTTATCACCGTCTGTATGGGTCCTTGGTGGTAACGCACTAATTAGTCCACATACGTACGGTAAGGTAGCCAAAAGCGCAGGTGCCTCCAGTGCCGTCTCGGCCAGGAGGGGTTAAGGGGACCAGCGAGACGGGTAGGGGGGGTCGTCTAAAAGCGCCACATCACCAAGGTACTCACTCCCCACATACTCCCACCCTGCAGGACGATGATGGGTCAAGAAGAAGACAAAAAAAAAAAAAAAAAGAAAACAAGGGGAGCAAAGGGGGAAAAAAGGGAAGAAAGGACCGGAAAAAGCCAGGCTTGTCTGTAAGTCCTCCTTTGACCCCCCACTGATTTGATCCAGCATCTTCGGTAGGTATCATATAGTGCGGAGTGCCCTCAACCATCCCCTCGGGAACGAAGGCAAAGGAGAAACCAGGACGAGACTAGGCTACCTTACGTTAAGGATACCTATTCCCCACATACTGTAGCTTGGTTCACTCTGGTTCGACCCATTCGATCCTCGACCCGTCCTCGACCCCATTGTCTATCGGCTCTTCATTTCCCCAATGCGAACTTTTTTTTCCCTCCTTCTCCTTACAGTTCATCATTGCATACGACTGACTCCATTTCAGGTCCCTGGTTTCGTTGCCTGACTCTTATACGCTCCAGTCACAGTGGCGCACGTCGATTTGGATTTTCCACAAAGTGTTTTAAAACAACTTCGTGGGTAGATGGGTGGATGCACACATCATTAGCACCCACTGCCTGCAACTCAACTGCCTCTCACACACGACTCCCCAGTGCAAGCTTGAGTGCATAGCACGACTATACACGTCGCTGGGCTGGGGCCGGATCAGTTGACCAGTTGGCCTCGCTCTTACCCCACGCAACCCAGGCCAACAAAAAGCACACTGCCCATCATTTCATGATGCTCTGTTGGCAAACTGGCACAGGTGTCCCAGACGATCAATGAACTGACTGACCACGCCTGGTCCCGCAAAGATGAACTCAACCACAACACCCGACTCTGCCTGCACAGGCAGAAGTAGCCAGTCCATGTATTCTCAGTCAGACCAAGGGGTCCCTGACACCTCGGCTTACCCATTTCCCACCGACATCTGTACAGCAAACATGGCGCGCCAGGAATCGCCCGAGAAGCGGCGTCGGGTTGAGGCCACATCGCCCACGTCGGGGTCCGCGTCCGCCGGGGCCAGCTCTGACACCTCGCACATTTTGGCAGCCTCGCCCTCGGCCCTGGAAGCAGCTGCCGCCGCCGCCTTCGCCTCCCATGTCGACCACGACCATGGAGCCGACACGGAGAGCCTCACCCCGAGCGTCCGCCAGCATAATTATGAGTACGGCCTGCGGTACCACGGCTACCGGCCGGGCCTGTACGCCTTTCCAAACGACGAGGCCGAGCAGGAGCGCGACGTTATCATGCACGAGCTCAGTATTCTTTTCTGGGAAGGGCGGCACTTCCTCGCCCCGGTGGAGAAGCAGTTGGAGATGGGAGGCCAAGTGCTTGACCTAGGTATGTGGGAAGAATTTGCATCCCTCTTTTTGTTGGCCGCGCGGATTTATACTGTCCCATAACTGGACGTTACTTCTACGTTTTCCCGTCCTCGATAACCCGGAAAAGAAAAAGAAAAAAAAGGAAAAAAAAAAAAGAAAGAAAGAAAGAAAAAACCCACCCCCAGGAAATCCCGACGGAGCGGCACCGGCTAACTGTTGATTTTGTGTCCCAACTCTAGCAACCGGTATTGGGATCTGGTGCGAACAATGTAGGTACCATTCCACCCCGTTGGGTCGCTCCCCGTTCCAACTCCCCGTTCCAATCCCACCCCCTTTTTCCTGCAGCATCCCCATCCCACCTTTAACTTCCCAACTATCCTCCTCTTACCGAAGTTGCCACAACGCCACACGCATCAATCCACGCCAAGAAATCACTTTACACTTACTAACCACTCATCTCTGTCCTCCCCGTGCAGTGGCAGACAGGTATCCGCTGTCTTCCTTCGAGGGAATCGATCTGTCACCCATTCAGTCGGGCGAAGTGCCTCCCAATGTGCGCTACTTCGTCGACGACATGGAACACGAGCAAGGGTGGAACTTGGATGGGAATAAGTTTGACTTTATCCACCTCCGACACACCCTTCACTCCGTTCGAAATATGCCTGAGCTGTTCCGAAGGGCATACGAGTGAGTTTTTCCCCTTTTTTTTTCTTTTTTCTTTTCTTCTTTCCATTTCTTTTCACACACACACACTATCTCTTTCCTCCCTCCCACCTCTTACTCTCCATCGATTTTCTCTTCTTGGCGCTGTGCACCCAATAGCCCTAACCGCCGCATGCCACAGACACCTCAAACCGGGTGGCTACTTCGAAGTCCAGGAAGTCGAAACCAAGGTCCGCTGCGACGACGGCACCGTGCCGCCGGGCAACGACTACGCCCTGCGCGCCTGGCTCGACGCCGTGGCAGCGGGGCTCCGCGTGCGCGGGGGGTCGGACCTGCGCGGCATCTCCTACGCCACCGCGGAGATGCGCGCCGCCGGCTTCGAAGCCGTCGAGGAGCTGTCCCGCAAGTGTCCCGTCGGTGCCTGGGCCGCCGACGAACGCCGCCGCGTCTGCGGCGGCTTGCTGGCCGAATCGCTCATTGGCGGCATCTGGGGGCTCAGCGCCCGCCCGCTGGCCGCCATTGGCTGGACCCGTCCGCAGATCGAGATGCTGCTCGTCACCGTGCGCGACCACGTTCGCAATCCGCGGCACCATGCTTACATGAATTTCCTGACCGTCTATGGGCGGAAGCCGCTCCGGTGAGGACGGGCCCACCTTGTATCCGCGGGGGATGCCGAAATGGTATGGTGCAGGTGTCACGGCGTTTTTTCATCGGGTTGTTGTCTTATTCCTTGTCGCCCACTCGCCGTTATCGGGGACCTTCCCACGAGGGAGATGAATTAAAATAACAAACTGCAAGATGGGGATATAAACAACGGCTCTATTTTTGTATGCCCTTACATAATATATGGGACTGGAAAATGCCGGAATGGCAAGATTTACGAGGAATGGCTTTTGCCCTCTCTGGAAGCAACACAGGGACGGCATCAGCTATCAGCGTCTTGTGCTTTATGAGCATATGACGGAATGATCACAACGGTACGGCGATGGGGGATATTTTACCTTATTGAACATGATATCTTTGTTGACAAGTCGAGTCTTGTATGGAAATGGTACTTTTTATAACACCGTCGGGAACTTAGTGGTCGTTAAGAGGGAGGTTGTATGTAAAGATGGCTACTTGTCGAAGGCGGCCTGTGAATATAAACCTATCTCGAATAAACAGTGACCGAAAATTGTGGCGGCGTATGTCTGCAATGGGCCACGGTAAGGTCCAATACCGGGTTCTGAAATAACGCGCTCGTATAATTATGAGGTTGTTGATTGATACCTAGAAGATGTCGCATTGGCACGAGCCTCGGGTGGGCATTGTCAGATAAAGGGTAGTCAAAATCGTCACTAAAACGGTCAAATTGATTGAGGCACTTGTGTATAATTATAACTGTGTTAGACCGTCAGAGAATTCCTGCCACCGTAATATTAGTGGTGAAAATTCTGTAGGTGTCTACCCGGATTATACTCTTAGTAATCCGGCCCGTTACGTAACCGAAAAGACTATAGTCTATTCGATATACCCCCTAATCGCCCTAAAACGTTAGTTAGGCGATTAAAGCTATTTATAACCGGTAAATATAACGGGTATACGGCTATCAGAATATACAGTGCTTATACGTTGCTATAGGACTAGCACTAGACTTATATATAGATAGGGGGATCGTAGTCAGGTTAGACCGTTAAAGATATAACGTGTCGAGGTTAAATAAGCTAGTTAGCTTAGAAGTCGGCTTAGATCTAGTAAGCTAGTTAGCTTAAGAACCAGCTTACGCCTAACTTAGTCCTAAGGAGGCCTTTTACTACCCACTTAGTTAGAAGACCTTAGGTAGGTATAAAGAGGGGAGTGCCTTCTATAGTTCCGAGAGTCTCGGAAGGACTTAACGAATAATCTTATCACGATACCCCCTTTTTAGTTCTTACTAGTCCTTAGGTAATCTTATATCGTTTAGTAGTCGCCTATTACTCCTTATAGTATATCTATAACATTTTATTCATTCTCCCCTTCTACACGGGTATAACGACTAATAGGAATTATAACGATTAGTCCCTAGGAGAATACTAAGAGACCACTATACCTTAACGCCTTAATCCGCTAGTTCCCCCACCTATAGGACCTATAGATAAGAACGACGAAGAATCCTCTTCACTTTTACCCCCCCTTACTCCGATAATACCCCTAACCCTAATACTCTTAATCCTAAATTATAAAGGGACTACCGTGTAACACGATATACTTATTTAGATCTTTAGAGTCTCCTTATAATAGACCTCTAAAATACCGAACTTATAATAAAGACCCGTTATTTTAAACTACGTTCTAAGAGAAAGAAGAAAAAACGCCGACTCGAACTTCTACGTAGCGGTATCGACCCTAATACCGTTACCCCCATAATTTCCTAGGAGCCCTCCCGGTCCTCTTTAAGTATACCCGTATAGGGTAATAAGGTAATTAAAATTAACGTGGATATCCCTAAGTAGGATAGAGTATCTTATAACGGATATCTTATATTCGTTAAAGATATCGAGTCCCGGATCGCTATAAACCCTAATTATTTTCGTACTAAACTACCTAAAATCTTCTACTCCTCTAATAGTCTCCTATAGACTACTAAGTCACTATAGCGTTAGTATTAAAGGACTACCTTCGGATATATAAATCGTGAAGGAGGAGCTATTTAGGAAGATATAAAAAAGTTCCTCGTTACTCTATTAGTTAACGATAATACCCGGGAAATATCTATCACGGAATAACTATTCTCCGACCGTATACTGTAAAAACTAGACTAATCCTATAATAGATTCCTAGACTTTATAAATAGGCTTTTTATAGAAGTTCCTATTATTCTTAACGATAAAATTCGTATATAGTTAATTCTTAATAAATTATAAAAGCCCCTTAAAGACCGGATCCGTGCTAGAGGATTACCGAAGTTAGTTAAAAAGCTTTATATAGCCGCCGGCTAAGCCTAGGTTACCTTAATTCAGGATACTAAGGATAATAACTAGCCTCGCTCTTCCTTACCTGCCTATTAGCGGGCTAAGCGTAACGATAAGCGGAAAAGATAATTAAGCCCTTCTTATAGTCGTAACCAGAATAACACTAAGGGTATTAAAGGATAAAACGAGGATATATCGGATAAACCCCCGAAAAACCCTAGGACTAGCCTACTACCCCCTATTAAGGAAATCAAGTATTTTTACTATCACGAGAAAGGCTATTATCGCTCCTTATATTTAAAGGACCCTAGGAAGACGAATTAGAATACTAATAGGCCGTAGACTGATAATAAGACGCCTAGTACTAATACTATACTAGTGGATCCTAAAAGAAGCATAATAGTAGGTTAAGTATAGGTTATACCTTCCGAGGAACCCTCCTAGTAGGAACGCGCGCTATCTATATCGGCACCTCTTTCTTAGGGCCCTTTAAAGGTATAACTCAGGTTATAATACGGCGGTGTATAATAAGATAACGAATAGACCTCCTGCTATACTTATATAGACTTAGGTTCGGACTTAGATGTTATTAACCGCGCTAGCCTTTTACCCGGTTATAAACCCTTAGGACCTACTAAGGATATCTCCTGGTTAGTACTAGGTTAGCAGGTAAAGACTTATAGTATAGTAAAATTAATCTACTAGATTATAGATAGTTAGGGGAGGACCTAAGCCAAAACTATTATATTCCACGTTATAGATTTAGATCCTAATAGCACCTAGGCTATCCTTAGTCTCCTATAGCTTTAGTCCTATAGTCCTAGTATCTACTAAAAGGATAAGATATAGACTTTCCGCCTTTAAAAGTCTAAATTAGCCCTTACTACCACGACCCGTTAACTACGGAAGGCTATTAACCGCGCTACCACGGTAATCCCTTTAATAGCATAGACTACTATAGCCGTCTATCCCACGCGTCTAGGATAGATTATAACCGCTACCTAAGACCCTCCTTAAGACTACTAAGAGGATACCCAGAATTCCCCTAAACCCTTTAATAAGGATACCCTCCCTAAACTATACCGAGATTTTACTAACGTTTTTAATATAATCGAAGCTAGATATCTTCTACCGTACTATATGTAGGACTACGTAATTAAACTTAACGATGGTAAATCGCCCCCCTTTAGTCCTATCTACGCCTTAGCCGAGGAGGAACTCGTAGTCTTAAGGGAGTATATTAAAGATACTTCGGAGAAATAATAGATCCGGCCTTTATCTAGTCTAATAAGCGCCCCTATTCTTTTTATCCTAAAGAAGGGTGGAAAGCTAAGACTATATATAGACTACTAAGGACTCAATAAGGTAATTAAGAAGGACCGTACGCTACTCCCACTAATTTATAAGATTTTAGACCGCCTATCCTATTCGACGATCTATATAAAGTTAGACCTTAAGGACGCTTATTACCGGCTACGGATCCGAGAAGGCGATAAATAGAAAACCGTATTTCGGACTAAGTACGGTTATTATAAGTATTTAATAATGTCTTTTAGTCTTTATAACACGCCTGCCTCTTTCTAATAGTATATTAATAAGTCTTTACGAGGACTTATAGATACTATTTATATTATTTACCTAGATAATATCCTAATCTATAGCTTAGACGTGGTATTATATCGGCGATATATACGGAGTATCCTATAACAGCTATAAGAATAGTCCCTATACGCTAATCCGAAGAAATATATCTTTAAAATTTAAGAGGTAGAGTTCCTTGGGTTTATCTATAATCCTTATAATGTCTTTATAGACCCTAAGCGGGTAGAAGCTATTCGGGATTAGGAAAAGCTAGACACGATTAAGAAAATCCAGGTTTTCTTAGGATTCACGGGTTTTTACCGGCGGTTTATTAAGTCCTACTCTAAGATTATAGCACTACTAACTAACCTATTAAAAGACGGGGGAAGAGTAAGGGTCTTCGTATTAACCTTTAGGGAGCGGGATACTTTTCGGCTATTATACTAGAAATTTCAGGAAACGCCTATTCTTCGATATTCTAACCCGATATTATTAATCCGGATTAAGCCGGACGTATCGAGTTTCGCCCTAAGTATAGTTATTAGTTAACTTAACGTAGACTAATAGTAAAGACCTATAGTATTCTTCTCTAGGAAGCTATAAGGTCCTAAGTTAAACTACTTTACCTCGGATATAAAGCTTATAGCTATTATAGAAGCTTTTCGATAATAAAGATACTATATCGCCTACGTGTAAACCCCTATAGAGGTGCTAACGGACTACTTAAACCACCCCTACCTTCTTAAAAAACCTAAGGTTAAGGCCTAGTACGCCCGATAGCTTAAGGAATTAGTAGTCTACGACTTTATTATCCGATACCGACCGGGTATTAGTAACCCTATAGATAGCCTCTCGAGGAAGCCCTAGTATATAGCAGGAAGTCTTAACCTTCGCGTAGAGGGATAAAAGCTAGTAGAAGCGTTTACGTAAAAGTTTACGGTTAGGCCCGTTTACGCTATCTCTAATACTATCCCTGCCCCTTACGAAGATATAATAACGTTATTACCCAGTCTTAAGCATAATATTATAGAAGCCTAATAAGAGGACCTCTTTTATAAGTCGTTACGGGAAGGTAACCCGACTAAACCGTGGTCCTATAATAAATAAGGTCTAGTCTTTTTCCGCGATAGGCTTTTTATTCCGAAATACTCCGGTCTCCGCGAATAAGTATTATAGGCTTTCCACGACTATCCTATAGCTAGATACTATAGAATTACTAGGACCCTTCGACGTATTACGGACGCCTTCTTTTAGAAATATATAAAACAAGACGTTAAGACTTTCGTCCCTACTTGACCTATTTATTAAAGGACTAAACCTAGATATTATAAACCCTACGGGTGCCTTTAGAGTCTCTCTATACTAGGCCGTCTATTCTAGGAAATTTTAGTCGACTTTATTACCGGTCTACCGCCCGTAATACACGGAGGTAGGAAAAAGGACGCTATCCTTATCGTCGTGTACCGATACACGAAATTTACCCTATATATCCCGTGCAGTTCTAGTTTAAATACGGAGGACCTAGCGAACCTTATATAATTAAGTATCTTCTTTATCTTTAGCCTACTAGATAGTATTATTTCTAATTA